TATCTTAACATAATCTCCTTCACTTATGTTTGGATATTTTCTGTTGTGCTTTTCTTTCAGTTTCTCATTTGTTCTGACCTGAGTTACAATATCAAGATTGTGCGCATTATTAGGTGTTGTCTTGGTGCTACCGTGGATTTGGTTGTTGTATCTATTCAACGAGGGCTTTAGCACTTCCACCCATGTTTTGTTTTTGTAATGCCTCAATCTGTCCCCAATCATTTTTTTGACCGTGCGTATCATCCTTTCTGCCTGATTTGCATGCGTCTTTGTTATTACGTGTGTTATACCTTCCTCCTTAAACAATGTTTGCAGTTTCTTGCTGTTCAACGCTCCTTCGTCGTCGCTGTAAATCGACAAAGGCTGACCCAATACCTTGAAACACTCCATGATTGCTTTATAAACGTCATCACCATCTTTATTCTCGATAGGGACTCTGTGACATTTTTTACTGAATATATCTACGCAAACTAAACCATATCTTAGTTGACTTTTGATTTCAGAACCTACGTCTCGCAGCAAACTGGTGACATCCATCAAGTCATTTTGGAATTCATACTTGGGAAACGGAGCAGTGTAGGAATTGTAGTTCTTGTACTTTTTTGTTTGCTTGTTGGGTTGCGCCCTCATCCATGTAGATACCATATCCAAAGTTATGCCTACATCGACTTTCCAAGCCTTTTCGTATAAGTCCCTCACCGAACCGAAGCCCTCGTCCACGTCGTAGTATATTCTTTCCAGTACCTTTTCTTATTCTTATCTTGTCATTAAAGATGCTTAGATTACAATTTTATGATATTTTTTTGTATCATAAAATCATAGTGAACTCAAACCAAGAACCTCCGGCACTTCTTCGTTTTCTTATGCTTTGCCAAGTTTGATTTACAGCTCATGGCAGAGCCGCATATATCGCATACACACGGTTGTTTCGTTTTCTCTTGGTAATATCTTTGGAAATACTTTTTGTCGTTCGGTTTTCTATTGTAGTATCCGTCGTCCTGCTTTCTCCACTCAGCATTGGTGTTCTTGTTAACGGATGAGTTTGCTTTGTAGCTTTCTTCAGATGAAGAATTTTCGCTGTCAGTCAGTTCTTTGTTTCCAAAACCGTTCCAAATAAAGTCGAAGGTTTCATTCGTCATCGGGATTTCAACTCCACTACTTACAAAGTAACAAGGCATATTGTGTATATATAGCTAGTTATATATATAGCTAGTTATATATCTTAATATCTGTTTAAGTATTTTTATTCTCAATAGGAACTTTGTATATCAGTTTGTGCTTGTCAATGATAAAAAGGCATTCCAAGAATAGTTAGGTAAAGTGATATAATATGCTGGGTCTAATCCATAATAGTTCAAACACATATCCCTAAAATTTTCAAAAACATCAGTTAGTAAATATACATCAGTCATCAAATACAAATCATGACATTCACCAACTTCTTCTTGATGCTAAAATGTTTCCACACAATATTTGCTCTGGCGTAGTCTTTGTCAGTTATGTTTTCTTCATATAGTTGACTGTAAAAATCGTCTTTGTCTGGTAGTTTTATTTCATCGAATTTCTCCCATGAGTTCATGTAGTCATAGGGATAGACACCCTTATCAGTCAGCAAATTCAAATCAGTTTTAGATTTGATATATGGGTTGGTGCTTGTATATCTGAAACGAGTTTCCCAATCTTTAATCTTTTGATTTCCTTCATATTTCTTTAAGCCAATTACCCCGGGTCGCTAACCGCGCCGTAGCCTTGTTTAATCTAACTAACTTATCTAATGAAGCAGTTAAGAAAGCGAAACTGTCTTTAAACTGACAGGCACCAAATGAAAAGGTTATGAACTTCTCACTGTTTTGTGCTATTACATCTATTCTTTTGTTTTGGTTTAGTTCTATGTTTAGTTCATTTGCTCTGGCAATGATTAAGTGAGCGTCATAGTTTTTGAGATTATGAAAGAAAATAGGGATTTTAAAATATCTAAATGAATAATCCAGATTACATTTTACATGCGCTGCGCCTCTGTATTTGCCTGTGAAGTGGCGGTGGTCGCGGACTTTCTAATCATCAGGTTCAAATTTCTTACCCCAGATGGAACAATGAGACGATAATTTAAACTCAAATTTTTGTTCGTTTGTTAATTCATCCATTGGTTTATTAACATTCATTTTTTCAAAAATATCTTTCTTAATTTCGGTCAGTTGTTCTACAAACTGTTTCATGCAATCCTCACCTCTGTATAAATACGGTTTGCAAGTATTATCAATCCTGCTTACAACATTCAACATATAACCGCGAGGTTTATGTTCTTGGTAAGTTCCTCTGGGAGCACTGCTTCCAGAGCAACTTAGGGCACCTTCGGTGCCGTAAGTTCCCTTTATTTCAGTATTAGAGTTAGTGGTTAGACATTCAAAATCACCATAGATTACAAAAGGACAAGGCAATTTAGTATTATGCTTTTCAAATTCTATATAAGTGTCTTTCTTTGGCATCTTTGTTTGTTGCCCCTCTGATGCCATACATCCTTTTTCAAGATGGTTCTTAAATGCCTTTTCTGATTGAAATGGATTTAAGCAATGGTGACAGTAGTGTTTTTGCTTTGTATTAGCGTTGCTTTGACAGTTAAGTAATCTACTTTTGTTTTTTACTAAAACATAGTGATAATTATTGTCTTCATCATAGACCTTTAATAAATCAATCTCATATTTGGCATTTGTATTTTTAGTGCCTCTATGTAATATGATTTTATTGTCATTTAAGCAGTCATCAGGTTCAAAAACATTTATTGAAACTAATTTATTGTTCTCTTCAAATCTGTCTATGTCCCTATTACCAGGCGGAAAATTTACACCATCCCAGTTCAAAATATAATCTTTTAGTTTATTGCAGTGGAACATTTCTTCTGGGTGATGTTTGCTTATTTTGTCATAGACTACCGATTGAATACAATATCTGAAACATTTTTGGTCTTTGGTTTTAATGTTGATACGTGCCTTTTTTAATTTAATCCATTCTGGTAGTTCTATGTATCTCCCTGCCCTTGTTGGGTCATATCTGTCATAATGAATGGTTATTGATAAAATCTTTTTGAAGCGTGAATTAGATGCTGATGCTTCTAAATTTTGTATTTGTAGTAAGATTTGTTTAACACTGTCTTCTAATGCTTGTGTCAGTTCATCCTCATTACTGATATTGAAGCGGGTTGAAGGTAAAGCATATACAAGTTCTTGACTGCCGATGTCATTTCCTCCATCATCATATTCAGGTTTTTCAAAGAGTGCTTCTGTTCTTATGTTAAGTTTCACGCTTCTATTCTTTCTTAAAAACTCTACTAGTCTTGGTTTTTGATGTGCAATCATTTCCAGTCCTCTTTCTCCTTCAAAGTGTCTATATATTTTCTAAAACTATTGAATTAGCAAATCTTCTGAATGCTGATTGAATATCTCTGACCCTAAATTAGTTTCTGATTGCGTGTTTGGTCAGTATTTGTCTCACTCTTCCTTCACTGAACGCATTGTTGAACGCATCTTTTGCCTCGTTTAAAGCATAACTTCTGTATTCATTAGTTTTCTTTACTGTTAATAGTTTTTCTTTGTTAAAACAGTAGATATTGGTTTGTCTTTGTTGTATCTAAATCTTTTATCATCCATTATTATTGACTTTAATTCTCTCCTTCCTCGTTTTGGTATTTCTGCTAAATCATTACTTAGTAAATAGTCTATATTTTTTTTTCATCATATAATAGTATATATTTTATCTAGTTAATTTATCTTTATATAAGTAGGTTTTTAAATAATGATATATTTTAATCTGAGAATATTTGCTGAAAGAATAGTTATTTAAGTATATATTATTAGGATGATTTTTATGAAGGATTTGCCTGTTGATGTATTGAGTAATATTGTATCATATACTCATGGAGATCCTGAATATGTGAAAATGAAATATAGACATAGTGAAGCATTGGAAGAGTAGAGGATACATATAGAGTATCAAGACTTGGTCCGAAAAAGGACAGAACGATAAGACAAAGAGACAAGATGTATATAGAGTATTGTATTTTGAGAGAGGGAGTGCCATTTAGTTTGAAAAGTATAAGAAACATCATAACAGAAGAAAGAAATAATTACTATCTTTAAGTTTGAAGAAATCGAAGATAATTTAGACTTTAGGGTTAAACCTGATATTCAAGTCCAAATAATGGCAAAACTCCCAGATAAAGAATATGGGGATACTGAATTTAGTTTTAGAGATATATATTGTCACGGTCAATATTATGAAGATACAAATGAAGATGATTTGGGAGACATATTAAATGCCGCAGTGGATGAAGTAAAAAACGATATAGAAGAAAACCAAGATAACGATAGTATTATGGAATACAAGCATTTCATTTTAAACTAGTAATTATTAAAGACATTTACCCAACATAATTCTAATAACATTATTTAGTCGATTTATGGACTGTTAGAATAGGATTATTCAAGACTAAGAATTTATCTTTATTGTTGGTCTATTGTCTTGTTCTTTGTGTTGTTCTTTGCTTGGTCTGTTTTTTTTTTTGGTCTTGTTTGGTTGTTTTGCTTTTGGATATAAAATGGATGAGGTAATGACGTGTTGACTGTTATGATTTCTAAAAACGGATGAGGTGAAGCATGATAGGTGGTTATGATTTAGTGGAATGAACGAGATGATGACATGATTAGTTGTGATGATTTTGTGAAAATGAATGAGGGTGTGATGAATTGACTGTGATGATTTTGAGAAAATGAATGAGGTAGAGATATTGCAGGTACTGATGATTTTGAGAAATGAATGAGGTAGTGGAAATGGTAGGTGCTTGTGATTTTGTGGAATGAATGAGGTAATATATGGTAGTCTTTTATGTTTTTGTTTGCGAATAATTTTTGACATGTTATACAGTTATACTGCTATAATTTGAGTTTAGAAAACTTCTGTGAATGTAGTTTTTTAATATTTTTCCCCTGACCTCCAGCGAAGCTGAGGTTCACTGCTGATGACTTTTGGGAGACCCTTACAGAGATCCAAAGCGAGGATTTTACTCCTGCCGTTGCCTCTTTGCTGGCCTCAATGTCTGGCACTCACCACACTGAAAAAGGGCTGATCATGGTGCTTGATATCCAGGTCTTTGATATCAAGTTGCGTGTGACAGTCATGAAATCATTGAAATCTGTATAAGAACCGATCTAAATCCAACAGGCTCTCAATCTGCGCTTACGATTTGTTGTTTTTTGTGCAAGGTTTTGCTGTTTTTGATCCCAGGATTCGTGGCATCAATGGCCTGAACACTCCAGACCTTCAGCGCGTGTTGCAACAACGGGACGTGGCTTCAGAGGTGGGTCAGTGGTATTCCTTGTGCCACTGCAGGTTTTTGATGTAAATTGTTGGAGCGTCACCCAGGATTTTGAGGTTAGAAGCGAACCAGAAAAGTGAGATTTCTGGAGGAAGTTTTGCAGAATGGCTCAGGTGCTTGACGTCCTAAGTGGCTCGTAGGGGTAGTTACTTGAGGTCCACTTGGGCCAGCACATTTGGGAATATTTGGGGAAATTGTGCTAATTGTTAACGCAAGATGCGCCCGAATCTACAGAATGCCTTTAGCCAGAATTGCTTTGCGCTTTTGCCACGAGTTTGACCTACCACAGGTGTAAAAAGTTGCATTTTCCTGGCTAAAGGCACCGGCTTGTGTGTGAAAAGCATGCATTCGCTACTCGCTATGTCCACCGCAAAAGCGGCCCCAATTCGTCAACAAGAAGATCCGTTTTGCAACGCAGAGGCTTCAATGCGCAGGTCAAAACTTGCAAGTGCTGAAGCTGGTTGGAAGATGGTCTTGCCTTGGAACACCACGCATGAGAGCACCGCTGTTTTGCCATCTGCATCTTGGCGATCTTCGCCCATGTTTGCTCAAGTTGTAAGTCTAGCAACATTGCCGATAGTCTTGAGCCGAATGGTTTCCAAGTACAACATGGCAACATTCTCTTCATGACCTAGCACTGAGAACGCGTTGAGCAGATTAAGAATGCTAGTTTTTCCATGTCTAGCTAGATACATTCAGATAGATTAGATCCAGGAGCCTGGGTCTTGCAATTTTGTCACATGGCAGGGACCTCAGACTCCTCAAGACAGCGCATCCTCCACGCCTCACGCATTGCTGAGGTGGCGGCCATGCAAAGAGCTTGCGTGGCGCTGTCATTCGCGGCAGCTCATCACCCAAGGATCTGTTTCAACATGGTCTAGTTACGTTGCATTGTTTGCTATGTAATCTGGGTTTGTCTGGAAATGGGGTATGCGGTATGCCCCCAAATGGCATTTTTTTTTATCGGGATAATGCCAATAATATCCATTTGGGGGTGGTCTGATTTTCTGTCAAACCCATGTCCCTCTTCCAATTGTGAGGTCTTGTGGCAGGCAACACATGCAGTGGCAGAAGATGAGGGTGTCGGAGATGAACAGATCTTAGAGGAGCCTGCTGTGTGGGTTGTGCGGGGTTTGACCTACCTTAGTTTCACCCTTCCAGGAGAACAGATTGCCCGGAGCTTGGTAGCAGCTGGTAGCATATGGTAGCATATGGCTTCCACTGAGTTGCTGATGAGCCACTTTGAGGCGTGATGATGTGACGGAAACAGCTTCTGGATTGCAGTATGAGGCACGCCGTGGAACAGGATGAACATGGCCCGAACACTTCAGAAGAAACGGAGTCAAGCTCACTGTAGGTTGTCAAGAGTGGTGCAGCAGATGGTCCCAACCCTGAACCTCAGTCAAAGTGCGTTGGCGTCTCAGTGTTTTGTTTGACTGTGTTTTTCTTTGTGGTGATGATTTGTGAAGAGGAACCCTAGTTTCTGGAAGGTTTGTCTGCAGTGCATGATAAGAGATGGCTTTTCTGCTTGCAGCCGATTTTGGCTCAAGATGAACTTGTGAGACTTGAAGCGCTATGATCAAAGAAAGCTATTGAGGATGAAGAAGGCTGCGGACAAGCTGCCACTTTTTTTCTCCTCTTTTCTGGTGCTTCTAAACTTCCACTTCTTTGGCGGCTTGTTGGATGCTTGCAAATTTGGTCACCAAAACAGCATTGAGAAGCAAGATTCGAAAGTGCCAGGCTCTGAAGAAAAAGGAAGGAAGAGAGCCTGAGACACCTGACTCATATTGTAGAGTCATATCTTTCCATGACCTCAACGCCTTTCTTTCTCGCTTCTGAGGACGAAAAAGAAGGATGCAGAGGGCAAGGGCTTGAAAGAATCGAACGAAAAAGAGGCGGAGATGAACCTGTTAATTACCCTTCCATCATGACTGGGAAAAAACCAATGGGCATTTAAATGGGAAAATCATGCAAACTAAATGGTAGATTTTCCATTGAGCACCCAAGAGGGCATGGCATGTCGTTTTTTGCTCCGAGCCTGGTTCAATCATGGTGATCATCTCGCCCTTGAAGGAGGTGAAGCAGGTGTCGCCGAAAGAAAAGAAAAAGCTGACAGAACAAGCCATAGCTGAAATAAGGTCGGACTGTCTTTTTCGGAGGGTTTGTTAGTTTTGCCGCAATTGGACCTGGCAATTGGAATCGACCTGCCACAGGCAAGGCGTTTCCAAGATTGGTGTGCAAAAGGCTGGTGCGCCATTTGTGCCTCCGGACTGGTCCGAGAAGTACAAGCCAATCTTGGGTCCGTACAAGCAGTCTCTCGGCATGGATAAGGACCCTTTGCAGGATGCCGATTGGGTCTTTGTTCATTTTGTTCTGGTTTCAGTTGCTGTTCCAAAAATCCTCAGGGTCTAAGATGCTCTCCATGAAGAGCCTCACCTCTTGCAACTAAGGTTTCTGAAAGATCATTCTGATGAGTTTGTGCTTCTTTCTTGCAATTTCAGAGATAGTAATGGATCTTGCAAGCTTTCCCACATTTTCCGAGCATATTCAGATCATACCAGGCTGGTCACGGAGAAGAGCGGTGACTTTATCATAAGGCCGGAGCAACTTGCTTTGCATCATTTGGGTTTGTCTAACAGCGGGGTATACCCCAAAAAATGGCATTTATACAATTAGGAACATGATGATAATCCATTGGAATTTGGAGGTGTGCCCCATTTCAGGCTGCCAGATCAGCTGGACCCACCTTCTATCCCAGACAAGAAGGTGCTGGCACTGCATGGGCTTACACCAATCGAGCAATCCCCAAGTTCTATCAGCGATGACGCTGGCAGGTCTGGGAGAAGCACTTGCTAAAAGCCTGGATGCAATATTGCAAGGTTGTCCCCAGAGAAGGCCGTGATTTTCGTCATGGCTTCCTTTCCGTGCTGCCAAAGACCGCGCTGGCCACGGCAAAAAGTGCCAAAGTACCACCTCAGCTGCTTGGACTGGAAAATCAACCTGGAGGATCCTGAAACCATGGTGCTTTGCTCCTGAATCATGGTTATTTGTTGGGTTCTGTCGAATTTCTGATCGAGGTCGCCAATTCTGACGCCAAAGTCGCCCGGCCTTTCATTTGCGGCGGAGCCGAGTATGCCGAACACAACCAAGAAAGGCGGCTCAAAACTGTCCATGATCTTTACTGAATCGAACACCTGTAGGCACTTTCCACGCTGTTCAGACTCGTAGCTCTACAGAGGCAAGCGAAAGGCAGATGAGAAAGACAGCGCTGGTTCGAAGAAGAAGAAGCTCAAAAAGAAGGTGCTGGGTCAATGTCTGCAATTTCACTGGGCAAAGATGAAGCGTTTTGCAGATCTGTCAGGCAGCATGAAAGTGCCTGAGCCAGCCATAGCCGGCTGCCATTCCAGCAAGGGTTGAAGTTGAAGCTGTCCAAGTAATAAGTAAAATAGAGCAAGTTCAAGCAAATGCTTGGCTAATTCATATTTAGTTGAGAAGGTCGCAGAAGGTCGCAGCGTCTGGAAAGACCTCGACGATCTAGACGATCTAGAGGTGGAACTCGTGTGTCGAGATGACTGTAATGCAGCCAACAACCCCAAGCCCGAAGCCCGAAGGAATGTCCAAAAAGTCCGTCTGAAGCCGTTGCCAACAGACGTGACTGGATGCTGCCAACCGAAGCTCTTGCTGATGTCCGGCGGTACACCTAGCACACCTCTAATCATCTGATTATGGTGCAAGTCTGTACTTTACCTTAGCTTATTCAATTCTGGGGAATCTGGAGACTCTTAGGTGTCACTAAATCATAGTCCGTTCAACAAAGTGCAAGCCATCCCACACAACTGCGTCATGGGTAGTTTAGTGATCCAGGTGCTACACTATCGTGGCACCTTGCTGAACGGAACTGAGTTAGCACCTCAGTTGGGTTAGGTTTGTGCAATGATGAGCATTGGATACTGGCAGGTCTTGTTTCAAGCAACCCACAGGTTCGACAGCTCCTACAAGCGTGGCTCACCGGCAACTTTCAAACCAGCCTCTTTGATGCCAGGGTTCCAAGAGGCCCCAGATGTGATTCCATCGGAAAACACTGTGCCAGAAGTGCACGTTGGCAGCTCTAGAGCACGTTGGACATTTGTTGACCCTCAAGCTATTTGGGTCAGGCCTTGCTGATGTTCGGGACTCAGCCGTTTTGTTGTTGACAGAAGGTGCTTGAATGTTTGCAACCGAATGTCTTGACGCAGGATGAGGCCAGGCGACACTTGGAAGATCTGGATCCCCAGCAAGTCGGAAGCCTCAAAGTCGTAACGAGTGTCGTGCAGCATTTCTTCCTGATGTTCCAGTGTCCGGCTGTGCATTGAAGTCGAACTGAGAAGCCAAATTTCGAAATACTGTGAAGCCAAATTGTTCATAGAGGTGTTCCAAATTCAAACCGCCCAATCTCAGGATTGGATATGGATCCAAAGGCGCTGGCGGCCTCGTTCCTAGCTGTGCTGCCAGTTCTGCTCCTGAAACAGCCTTCGAATTGCACTGCTCAGGTGCGATCCCTCCAGATTCCGGTCTGTTCTTCGAGTTGGAACTGTTGGAGGTGAGTCCTCCAGCCGAAGGTCTTGCGTGGCTGTGGGAGCAAGCCATGGCAAACCCCATGCCGTCAGCGACTTAGTAAGCTTCATCTCGTTGTTCGCCTTGCTGCAAACGTGATGCTATTTGCTTCTAGCAGCCTTCATTTCCCTGAGCTCTGGGGGAAAACAGACGGGAAACCCTACACTCGGATGGAAAAACGCAAGGGTTTCTTGCAATTCCTCCCTTAAACCAAGCCATTTTTCTCAGCCACACTGCAGCAGCCAGGCTGGCTTTGTTGGGCCTCTTTGCTTTCCAGATGGTGCAGCAGTGGTTCTCCAAGGGCAGCACTGCCGACATGAAAGTGCCTCGATGCAGAAAGTGATAGAAAGTGAATCCATGATATAACAATGGAAATGACCAATCATCGTAATATCCAGAAGTGCACCCCCAAATGCTTCGAAGTGCGGTGACCCTTCGTGCAAAATTTCCAATCAAGTTCTTTGGAAATAGTTGGGCCCTCTTGAAACCCAGGAGCTGAAGATAGATGACCTCAAGTCGGAGGAAAACCCAAAGGTACCCGTGTGGCTGCTGTCCTTGGAACGAGCTGGGACGGGACCTGAACCTAGCTGGCTTCAAGCCTTGTGGGGACCGTATCTTTTCAGACTTAGCTCCAAGACTCATCTTTCAAAGTGGGATCCAAGCCTTGCTCAGAAAGTCCTTGAGCAATGTCAGCAACGCAAAGATTTTTTTTGAGGTGCCTTTGTCATCCTTTGTCCTTCTTGTCAGGTGTTTATGAACATCAAGATTGGAGACGATGAAGCTGAGAAGGTGGAAACATATAAACAAGAAATGCAGACTTTTTGTTCTCGGGTGGGTCGGGCATCATGGAAGGTCGGAATCGAACTTTTCGCGAAAAGCTATCCCAAGACTGCAGAGCTTCTTGCCAGCAAGCCTGTTATATCTCTGCTCGTGTTGTTGCATTGCCATCCCCTAGGAATTTTCGTGCACTTTGCACTGGAGAGAAGGGCACTGGCAAGTCCGGAAAGGCTTTGACCTTCAAAGGCAAGTGGAACATGAGTGGAACATGCGTGGAACATGAGTGAATCACGTGTCTCGCCACGGAGACAGCGGCATATGGGTTGCCAGTGTGCACAATTTGGGCCAGGCAGCACCTTCCACCGGATCATCCCCGGATTTATGTGCCAGGGAGGGGTGCCTTGGCTACAAAAGCAGTGAAGCAAACTGCAGAAAACACATCAAAGCACCACGAGAATCAGTCTGACAATGTCTGACTCACATCTTTCAGGACTTCACCCGTGGCAATGGCACTGGCGGCGAGCTTGCTCCTCGCAACGGGTGAATGGTGAATCATGCTGCATTCCAGACAACGGTTTTTCTTTTTAACAAAAGAAAGTGCCAAGGTCAATCTATGGCGAAAAGTTTGAGGATGAATGGACCAATGGTTACATCACGTCGCCCAGCTGCACTTCGCTTGACAGTCACACTACCAAACTGTACTGGTCCAGGCACGACAAAGCTGGGCTGCTCTCTATGGCCAATGCTGGCAAGGCTGACACCAGATGTGAATAGATATACAAATTATATACAATAAATATATAATTGTACTGATGTGCATGTGCATGATACAATATCATATAACATAATATGGTATGATATGGTAAAATATAATCCAGTATGATATAATACAATATAATTAACAGAATACAATATAAATAAAACAAAATACTAGAACATAATACAATATAATATACATACATATTATATACATATACATATTATAATGATTGGCTGAAAATTATTGACCCCCAAAAAATCCCGAAAATGGATCGTCAATTAACTGAACACAAAACTGCTTGAAGCAACGCAATCTCTGGTTCCATGGGTTGCAACATGAGCCACGTCACCCTGGGAGGACACCAACGGATCACAATTCTTCATCACATTGGCGGCCTGTAGCTGCCTCGAACAGCAGTGATTCACTAGTGATTCACCAGTGATGCAGCAGTACTGGCCGTTCTGAGGCTCTCACCTTGATGGGAAGCACGTCATTTTTGGTCATGTGATCGAGGGGATGGTCAGCTTCACAGCCTTTTCAGTGTCTGGCTGACTGTGCGAAGTCAGCGTGCCAAGCCTCCAAAGACTCAGGATGTTGTGAAGAAGATGGGTGATGTAGGCCCGTGATGAAAGCAAAGACTGCCTGATGAGACTTTCCCCTTTCTTAGCCAATTTTTCCCCATTTTTCTCTACCATCGACCTTTTTGATGTCAGGTACCAGTGGTGGCGATCCCAAGAAGAAGGCGTGCCCGAGTTCAGTTGGATCTTCAGTGACTCCAGTGGACTCCAGTGGACTCCAGTGCTGATTTGGCAGGTGGTGGTTGAGGATTGTGGCGAAACCAAGAGCAAGTCCACCTAGTCCTGAACTCCTGAGCCGCTGGCCGTTGGCGTCGTAGATATGTGGTACCCTGGCCTGACCTGGCTGGGGAACTCTGCGAGTCCATTGGAAGTACTCCAAGACCGCTGAGACACAGACCCCAAGGCACATTGGTGCGTTGGTTGAAGAAGCGCAGTTGGATGGAGCAGATTCTTCAAAGATTTCTGCCACATGAGGTTAGCAATTGGTTCGGAAGCACTGTCAGTGCCGAAGCTTTGTTGCTTTTGGCTCGGTAGCTTTGCACCCTTGTTGAGCATGGTGAGCTTTTGAGCTTTCAATTTTTCTAGCATTTGGGGGGAGACTAGGCAGAAGGGCCATCCCCACCCCAGCAGAACCACCCGAAAGTTGTCAAGATTCTGAGAAAGAAGATGCATATCTTGGCCACTACTGAACCCATCTTTCTTTTTTGGTGTGCCTTTCTCACTTTTCTTCCTACTCCAGCCGAAACACGCCACAGCGCACATAAGTAACACAACTTGAATCAAAGACAGATGCCGCAGCCATGGTTGAGGCATTGGATTGCTCGCAACCAAAAGCGGCTGCTGATAGCAGTCTTGACACTGCTTTCAGTAGGGTCCGCCCGAGCTTTGTGGAGAAAGCTCTTGGCATGGTCTCTGAGCTGTTTGCGACTGACAGCTCCCTTACAAGGCGCTGGGGTGAGGTACGCATCACTATCTCAAAGTGGTTGGAGGCATTGGCTCAGCTGGCGTTGGCCCGGTTGGCCTGGATGCTGTTGGAGCGGCTTATGCCCATGCTGCAAGCGGCCACTGGAGATCGAACTCTGTGAAGCTGTGAAGAGGCCAGAAGTGGCTCCTGAAGCCGTGGGTCGCTACGCCTATTTGATTTGCCTTTGGGGGGCATCTGCTCAATACATGGTGGGGGCCATGGTTTTAGGTGCTTCACTTCGCAAGACAGGCTCCAAGCACGACCGGGTGTGCTTATACACGGAGGATGTGCCGGAGGAACACCTTCAGTGTCTCTCGAAGCTTTGGAACTGTCGGCTGATGACCCATGTGGATGTGGCCATGGAGAAGCTGAGTTTCCCAGACAACGAGGAACGCTTTGCAAAGGTCTTCAGCAAATTGCGTGGCTTGGGCTTGACGCAGTACGAGAAAGTGTTGATGATGGACATCGACCTGCTGGTGAGGTCAAACATTGATGACCTCTTTGAGCTCCCAGCTCCTGCAGCTTTGCGCAGAGGAATGAATGAATGGGGCCAGTGCCGTCATGGCCAGCCCGTGGATGGCCGTTCTTTTTTCCTGGGCGAGGACAAGAGCATGCCTCGTTGGTCATGGGGTCAGGGCACGGGAATCAACGCGGGCGTCATGTTATGGCAGCCGAATCAGGCAGTGTTGAACCAAATGCTGGCTGAGGTTAGTGAGCCAAACCATCCTGAGCATGTGAAAGGGAATGGGCCCGAGCAGGACTACCTCAGCCGCTATTGGGCCGATGCGCCATGGACATACATTGGGCCGCAGTACAACTTTCAGCTGCACCAGATGTTCTTTGCCTTGCATCCTGACCGAGCGCAATATGCAGAAAGGGCCAACCTCCTACAGAATCCTCAGGAAGTAAGAGTGGTCCACTTCTCGGGCAAGCCTACTGCAAAGCCATGGCATCGCGTGCTTGATGAACAGTGGAAGGAATTTTGGCCAAGCAGAAGCCGCGATGAGGAATACGTCAAGCTTTTCGCAGAAGAATTCATGGGATACTGGTTGTGGATCAAGCGGGACCGGCAGATGTTTGAGGCCCAGGTCAGTGGCAATAGCTGGGATCTTGAAGGCATGGAGATGGATGAACATGGAGAGTTCTGTAGACGATTTGAGGACCGGGTCGATCCCCTGCCTATCCCAGAAAGCTGCACGCATGGTGCAATGACGCTACTTTCGTCTGTTCTCACCGAGTGGTTTGATCTTTTCCAGTCCCTGGAAGCTGAAGTTGGCCAACTAACTGGTGCACTCCCTAGCCTCTCCAGCATGAATGGTATGCCCGAGGGAACGCCAGAAGCCTCGTCAGAAGCCTCGCCAGAAGCCGTCCAAAGCGAGATTCGAAGGAGCCCACCTTTGAGAGACACTGCTTGGAGTCGCTCATCGGCTGAGGGCTGGTGGGCGGAATCTGACAGGGCGAAAGAAACCAAGAGCCAAACAAAACCAAGTGACCACGCATTGAACTTGGCCAAGGTGACCGTGACATGTGGCATCTCCGGTGATTCGGACGCAAATTTTGTGTCCCTGAGAGACTCCCAGACAGTCTTTCAAGAGAGAGGCTTTGATGTAACAGGGCTTTTCATCAAGATCTGCGGTCAGTCGGGTGCCAGATCTTTTTCTCTAGATCATTTGTCACCAGATGGTCTTGATCCACTCCACCTTTGGGTGGACACCGTTCCCGATGGAGCCGTGATTTTGATGGCCATCGTTGGCATTGACAGTGACATCCAACCAGTACTGCAAGCCTTGAGCCGCCTTGGTGTACCGCAAGAGGCCCCCCCTCCCGGGATGCAAGTGCTGGCTTGCATTTCAATGGCAGGCGCGGAACCCAACTCAGAGTCGCTGTGTGCCAACCATGCGTCCCCTGACGTCGCATATGCCTCGCTGCTGTTTGGAGCAGATTGACGCAGCTTGTCACAAGTTGATCAAGTTGCGAAGTTGCTGAGACAAGATATCACCACGGCTTTAAGGGGAAAATGAAAGGCCTGTGCAGCGTTTGTTGCAACGAATTTACGTTGAAACCTTGGGGGAATGAAACTGTGAGGAATGGAAGCATGCTGTGCGCAAATTTTGATTTTCTTTGTCCAGGTTGTTTTGCATTTTCAGAACGAGGAACATGGTGGAACAAAGATGGGAATCATTTTAATTCATGCATCATTCTTCAAAACCAATTGATCTTGAGATTTGAGATTGACACTTTGACATCTTTGACACTTGCTGTAAACAATTGCTCTTGATGCAGAGCGGCAAGGAAGATGTGTGATTGACCATCGCTGTTGCAGGGGAGGTGGGAGCAGAGTGGAAAAAACATGGTGTGAAAAGGATGGATCATTTTTGTAAACCCCATTTGTTAGCGAGACTGGGGGGGGGGCAGGGCGGAACAAAAATGCAGGGGCATCAGTGGTTGACTTACAAACCTACTTCTTTTTGAAGGGGCGGGACGAAAGAGACGCTGGGTATGGGTGGAGGTTGGCCCTTCTTGTAAACTTGTAAACCGTTGTTTCTAGTTGTGGGGTCGGGCAGAACAAAAAACTGAGCATGCGGCATGCGTATTTGATCATTCAGGGTGGAACAAATGGCATTGGTGGAGTGGTTGATTTTTTTTTTCAAAAAATGGTTGTTTTTTTTTTTCGAAAAACATTGGTATTGACATAAATTAATTGTTTGTGATGGGTGGGACAGGTTGACAAAAAAACAGGGAATGGGTGATTGACCAGTCTTGCTGGGCTTCAGCCATCAGCCTTTGAGCATGCAAACCTCTTGAATGATTTTTGTGGGTAAAGGTGAAAACGGCCAGGTTTCGGCTCAAGTCCTTCAATGGCAGCTGTGGTTCAGCCAGACAAGGCATGGAATTGCAATTTTGCAGGGAACTACGACAGTTTGGAACAGTTGCATCAAGTACTAGCTGATGCACAAGGATGGCAACACTTTGCAGACATTTTGGCAGATCTGCGGAATTCCCAGAATACGTGGAACGAGTTGCTTCGCTCTGGCAGAGCAGAAGATGCTGGATCAATCGCTCAAAACGCCATTCTCGCATCGCATGGAACGGTTTTCCAGCCAGAGGCTGAAGAAACACTGGCAGATTTTTTCAGAACAGTCGTGAAGATGAGCCATGACAATCCGTTGATGGCAGCTCTGGTCCTTGGAGGGACCTTATCAGCTTTGCGGAGTGATGAATCTGAGAAGTCTAATACAAGGCCTCAAGTCATCCCAATACACATGCTTCAAATTTGGTTTGCAGGCGCTGCTCTTGAAGCTGTGGTCAATGCTTTGATTCGTGGTGATTTTAAGGACGAAGTGGCCCAGGCGTGCAATGGATGGTTATGCAGCCTTCCAGACAGGGTGAACCAAGCCTTTGGAGGATCCTGTTCCGCCACAGTGATAGCATTTTCAGACTGGTTGCAGAAAACATATTCGCAACGCTTGGTGGCTGCTATGCTGTCTTCCGTTTGTGACCTGGAAATGAACAAAGACACTGATTTCACACCAACAACCATTGACCTCTTGGCACGTGTTGCGCTAAGAGGCAATGCAGCTGTGTTGGCCGCACATCTTTGTGCAAAGGCACTGACGTGCAATTGGTCGGTTGGCGTGGTGGGTCATATCATAGCAAAACTCTCTGAAGAACATCCTTCTGCTGGCCGAAGTTTGGTTTGTGCAATTCTGGAAGCAACTGGTGCTGTCTTGCAAAGCACTTCCTCTGAACTCTTCGCATATAGCGGTGCTGGCAACCTTCTGAAGATTTTGCGCCCCGCTTTGGGATGTGGCCCCATTCAACAACTTCTTGCAGTGCACATTTGGCACGTCCCGCTGGGGAGTCAGCTCTCCGCCCCTGTAGTCTTCGCCTTGGTTGATGAGTTGATGAGTGAGTCATCTGATGTTTCGCATTGGTTCAGAACTTGGGCCAACCCTTCGCATCGAGAGGCCGCTGAGGCTGAGCAGAACCTGGCTTTGCGGGTTGCCCGCACCTTGCGATGGAAGACTCCTTCGCCGGAGCATCTGCATTTGCTGCTGCAGGGTGTGCACAATCGACTTTCTGCGCAAGCCAAAGAGACTCGCTTGTATGGTATGGCAGTAGCGGAGACTATGGCCAGCTCCTGGAGATCTGAGAGTGACAAGAGTGAAGAGAATGAGGAAAAACTTCAATTTGACAACTTTGATCGGTTTCTTGGTTTGAATATGGCTATGGATCAATACCTATAAATACCATTTTTAGGGGGATGAACATCCATAAATCCCAGCTATTTTGATGTGAACTACAGGGGTACTATTGGTTTTGACACACTGCCATATGTTCGAATGTCGTGCCGTTTTCTCAGTTTAGAAGAGACATCTTGCAGTCGATGTCAGTGTCACCGAGGGACGATGCTTCAGTCCCTTGGCGGCAGCAGATGCTACGGACGCTGTTTGGTCCGTGATGAAAACGGGGCATCTACTCCAATATAATTGGATAGGGAAAATGATGAACCGAGATTAAAAAGTAGATTTTCCAGGCTAGCCTATTTTCTAGACAATGCACCAGACAAAACCAGGTCCCTCTTGAAGCCAGTCTTGTGTGTTCGAGTCCTTGCAGGTCATTGCCTTTCGTTTGGTGAAGTCAGACTTCCAGGCAGCTGGGGACCATCCACCAGCGGTACCAGCACCAAAAGTCTCGCCCAGTGCTGCGGCCATGTTGGGCGCCTCGCCGGAAAAAGCCGCCACTGCTGGTTGATCTTGGGAGAAAACTGCTGGGGTTTTTGCCGTGCCAAGGTGAGATGTTGGCAGCCAGAGAAGGTTGGACCAGTGAATTCCATGTCCAGCTGAGCCAGCTGTGCTCCGGGAATGACGTGTCGTTTGTTTCAGGAAGTGCAGGGCAGCCTGAAAAGCACTTGGATGCTTTCATCGTAGAGTCTGTGGAGCCAGAGAAGGACTGATGCAGCACAGAGTTGCATCCAGAACGTACTTGCAGCAGCCAGGTGCCATTAGATTTATATATTTAATGTCAACCCGGATTACTTTGATAACGCGCTGGGTCCCGGGTCTGTTTGATCGCGGGGATTACCATTTGAGGAGTAGACTATCATTGTTGGGGGGGTGTACCTGGTATCAACCAAAGTCTACTGATCCGGGGTTCACATTGCTGGATTTACACAATGGCCTATTGCCAAAGGCTTTGTCTGAGAACAACTGCAAGAGTAGCAGCCATAGAATCCTCCTTGGAGCCAGTGGTTGTCGGGATCTGAAGGACACACCTCAAGTTGAAACCGTTTGGCCAGCTGATAGTGATGACGAAGATGAAGATCATCCACTGAGTACCTTGCTTGGTTGGAGGGGATTCAAAGAAGCTCACAGTTTGAAAACACATGAAAACAACTGTCTAAAAGTTTAAGGGCTTTGACACAGACACCAAGACCCGTTGTGCGTCAAGGAATGAAATTGGAAGTGCAACAACAAAAGAAACGTGCTGAGGTGGTGTTCCGCCGCTGTCTCCGCTGAATGCTCTGCCAGACACTTGCTCTGATTTGCTGTTGGTCCAGTTCACGCCTCAGCTTGAACAAGGGCTGGGAGATGTGAGATGCGGATTTGAAACAGTTTGAAACAAACGCATCATAGCGCATCATTATGTCATGCTCTTGCCATGCTCTTGCCATGCTCCAAGGCCTCCACATTTCTTGCGAAGTGCATATGAAATGCTGCTCCATCCTCAGACAGGGCTACAACACGCGGCGAGCTCCGTGGGACGCCATGAAGCTAAGGCTGGGGCCTTTGAAGACTCCGATCACTCCACTTTCCGAAGAGGCACGACGTGGCAACGGATCTGACCCATGGTGACTAATGGTGACCCCTTGTTTTTTGGTTTTGGGAAACCTCGACACCGGAAATCTGGATGACCAGGTGTATGGCAAGCCTGGTGATGCACCGGAGCCTGCAGTCCGAATCTAAGGGCAGCGAATAGTGAGCCTCGTGAGCCTCGTGAGTTGGTTCGCTCGAGGCCACGGCACGTGCGAGATTGTTGACTGCATTGGCCTGGACCTTAGCTGCTTAGCTTTTACCCTCTGGTAAACAGTTGGACCCTGAAAATCACCAAATTTTAATGGAAACTAGTCTTCCAACCCCTATCTGCCAGGGTCTATGTTAATTTACTAGAGGGTATCTTGTCATGTCTGGTGAGGTTCGTAGTCCAGGAAGGCCCTGAGATTTTACGAATCGTTTCGACAAGGCAGAGCTTCCAAAACTCATTCATTGTGGCTCCGAAGAACTGCCAAGGCTCCCTGTTTCGACAAAATAGAGCCCTTTGAGCTTCTGGTTTTCACATGTTTTCACAACTGTTCTATTTTCTCCCAAATATACAATGACAATCCCAAATATACAATAATAATATTAATATACAATTATATATTTATTAAGGGGCTACGCCCCCTGCCGCCGACCCCTGGGAGAGAGGGGGAGTTGACACATACGTCACTTCCGGAACCTAGAAGAAAACTATATGGGTACGAGTCAAAATACAAGGTATGGATCAAGGCGCCAAAGCTACACACGATCCATACCCCCCAATCCATACTTTGATCCATACCCTTGATCCATACCCCAGATCCATACCCCTTTCTCGTTGAAGAAAGACTGATGCTGGCCTTAACGATGCTTTTTATCCTAATATATACTGCTTCTGGTCGTCGTACTGCTACTCCCATCGCTACTACCGTTGCTTCTACTGCTGCCTCCACTGCCTCCGCTGCTGCTGCCGCCGCCACTACTAGTGATTATCCTCCCAGGAGCTGCTGCTACTGCTCCTGCTGGTCGTGCTCTCGCTGCTGGTGCTGGCTCATGTTCTCCGTGTGCTTCGGTTGTTGGACAAATGTAACTAGTTGACTAGCTACTCGCAATATTGCAAGTGCACCTTGGAGGCTAGTAAGACCGGTTCTACTTCCACTAGGTGCTTATTGTACTTCTAGTGGTGCTATGACTACAAGTCCTTCTGTTTCTACTTTGCCTGGCACGTGTAGAGCTAAAAAAGCATGGTGTCCTGATCCATACCCCGATCCAGACCCGTTCCATGCCTGGTCCATATCCGAACCCAGTCACGCCACAACAAGTGCCAATATGAACGTTGCTTTCTGAACCTACAAGAAAGCTAGCTGTCTGACCTGTCTTCCAGCCGCCAAAGCTCACACACGGCGCGATTGCCATGCCAAAACAGCAGGGTCTTGAGGGACGGACCGGGCCTGCGGGCCACGGCCGCCACGACCTGTCTTCCAGCCGCCAAGGCTCACACAGGGCGCGCTCGCCACACCGAAACAGAAGGGCCCTGAGGGACGGATGGGGCCTGCGGGCCACGGCCCCCACCTGCCTAACGTCGCCCCCTGAACCCACAAGAAAAGCAGCCGTCTGACCTAAAACGGCGCCTCCGCCACAGCCAAACAGCAGGGCCCTGAAGGATGGACCGGGCCTGCAGGCCACCGCACTCAGTGCCTAACGTCGCTTTCTGCACCTACAAGAAAAGTAACTCTCTTTGCTGTCTTCCAGCCGCCAAGGCTCAAACACGGCGCGCTCGCCACACCGAAACAGCAAGGCCCTGAGGGACGGACCGGGCCTGCGGGCCACGGCCCCCACTGCCTAACGTTGCTTTCTGAACCTACAAGAAAGCAAGCTGCCTGACCTGTCTTCCAGCCGCCAAAGCTCATACACGGCGCGATTGCCACGCCAAAACAGCACGGTCCTGAGGGACGGACCGGGCCTGCGGGCCACGGCCGCCACGACCTGTCTTCCAGCCGCCAAGGCTCACACAGGGCGCGCTCGCCACACCGAAACAGCAGGGCCCCGAGGGACGGACGGGGCCTGCGGGCCACGGCCCCCACTGCCTAACGTTGCTTTCTGAACCTACAAGAAAAGTAGCTGTCTGACCTAAAACGGCGCCTCCGCCACAGCCAAACAGCAGGGCACGGCCGCCACGACCTGTCTTCCAGCCGCCAAGGCTCACACAGGGCGCGCTCGCCACACCGAAACAGCAGGGCCCTGAGGGACGGACGGGGCCTGCGGGCCACGGCCCCCACTGCCTAACGTTGCCTTCTGAACTGCCTAGAAACGAGCTCCAAACTTAGCTTGCCCGTGTCTTCTTGCAGCTGGCGTGCGTCCTGCACAGGTCCGGTCAAAGGACCCCTCCGCAGGGCCCAAACACCATGGCACTGAAGGACGGATCGGGCCCGCAGCCGGCAGCCCACGGTGCCTAACGTTGCTTTCTGAACTGCCTAGAAACTAGCTTCAAACCTTGCTTTTCCCTGCCTTCCTGCACTGCCAACTGCCACTTTGCCTGCGTCATCTTGCAGCTCAAACCTAGCTTTTCCCTGCGTTCCTGCACTGCCAACAGCCAACTTGCCTGCATTGTCTGACAGCTGGCTTTCGTGCGGCACAGCTCCGGTCAAGGGACTTCCTCGCAGGGCTAAAACACCATGGCAGTGAAGGACGGATTGGGCCCGCGGCCCGTAGCCCAGAGTGCCAAACATTACTTTCTGTCGCTCGTTTACTCTTGCTTCTGCATTCTTGCTTCTAACTTCTTGTTTCGTGCTTCTTTCGCTTGCTACGTTCGCTGAGACTGCCTCCCCTTTCTCGCTTCCTTTTTTGGGCTTCTTACTCTGCACCTGGCTTCCCTTTCTGTCCCCCCCTCGCTTGCCCCTCACTTGCACTGCACAACACTTGTTGCTTGTAATCTCTTCTCTGACGCGCTCCCCCTGCTGTCGGCAGGGGTCGGCGGATATATATATATATATATATATATTAAGGGGCTACGCCCCCTGCCGCCGACCCCTGGGAGAGAGCGATATCTGAGGCACCCTGAGGCATCCTGAGGCTGTGTTTGGCCATTTTGCAGAGGCTCGGAACGCATTCCTTCAAAGTGAGGAATCTTCTTTTGCCAATAGTGGCACCCACGGCACACAATCATTTAAAAGCAGCATGTAGTGACGACTGAATGGTTCCTTTCTACGTTCTATAGATATTTATGGAACAGTAGGATTCAAGCCCAAATCCCCACTTGCCCCTTTCAGTTTGGGGCAAAGTCTGTATTGATATCATCAGATATCACTTGCACCCTGTTTGGTTCCAAATTTGTTGGGAAGGAACAGAAGCCGCCAGTGTGAACACAAAGAAATCCGGAGCCCATTAAGGGCCTTTGCGGTCCCCATTTTCCTCATTCCGAAGTTGAAGTGTTTTCCCCTACCCGGCCCTTCTTCGCCGGACTAACCACATTGCTTCGCTGCCACTGAATCGTGCCAAAGCCATGTCGCTCTTCAGTGGAGATAATGAGCTGCTCGGATGAATTTGTTGGTTCAGCCAGAGAGTACAGAAAGTAGACAGCATCCAGAAGATTCAGAGGGGTTGTAGCTGTTTAGGTGGTGGTTCATTCGCGATAAGACGAAAGTGGCTTCTCAGGCAGGGCTCGTGCATGGATGCCATCGAGAAATACACTGAAATATCTTCGTCACGAATTGTTCGAAAACGTGTTGGGATGGAAGCACGGGGTCGACTTCCAGATCGTGAGTTTTCAAGCTGTTATGGCTGAACTTCTGGATGGCGACACGATACACCACGCGCTGGGTCTCGACTGGTCGGGTGACAGAACCCAAAGCTTAATCCGAGCCATGGAATGTGCGGGTCGCAGCCTGCAATGGCGATGGTTGATTCTGGACGAATTCAGCATGGTTAGTGCAGAATTGCTGGCGCAGCTGGAACTTCGGTGCCGCGAGCTGTTGCGGGACCTCAGCATGGCCAAGTATGACCGCGACGGAAAAATCCGGCCCTTTGGCGGTTTGAACGTGATTTTAGCGGGAGATCTGTACCAGCTGCCACCCCCAAAAGGAACGTTTCTGGGAGATATCCCCTGGGATTTGTTGGCCGGACGCAAAAGCACACGGCAGGCACCCGGACATCAGGGCCAAACCCTTCTTTGGGGCAGCCCCACAGCAGGCATGCAAGGTGAGCGCACACAAGACGCTTGGCTAGCGGAACTTCAAGGACAGCTCCGTCATGGGCAGCTATCTGACGATAACCATAAGTTTTTGCACGGCAAGCCCACAACGGTGCCAGGAAGCTGGATTGCTGGGCACGCAACGTGTCAACGACCTGCTTGCGCCGCTTTAATCACGCAAGGTTTGTCTCCAGAAGCCATTCAACTGGCCGAATGCGACACGTGTGCGACTGATCGCCGCTCGCGTATACTTGTCGCCCAAGGCGATGCGGACAGTCGGTTTCAGAACGAGTTCAGCGATGCAGTTGCAATCTTCGGCACAAATGACATCAAATATCACGTCAACAAGGTCCGCGCCCTCCAATGGGCAAACGCCCGAGGACACCTACCGTATTTATTTGTGGCACGCGATCTTGCTTCGGCAGCGGTCCTCCAAGAAAAGCCGAATCTGACGGCCGAGAAATTGCAGTGGTTGCAGCGACACGACAAGGAATGCGGTGGGCTGTATGGCGTCTTGCCGCTGTGCGTGGGCATGCCTGTTCGGGCCACAGACCACCTAGACCGCAAGCGTGGAATCCTGAAAGGCACCAAGGGCTATGTAGTCGGTTGGTCTGCGATTGCCGATGCGACACCTGCACCCGAAGGAATGGTGTGCAACAACTTGCCGGCCGTGGTATACGTGAAGTTTGACACCGCCACGTCGTGGCAAATATCCGGTGTCCCGGACGCAAACGTCTACCCAGTTGTGACCTGCAGACGCGTGTGGTACTTGGACCGGCAACGTCGAAGCCCCAAGCTCCGTGTCTCACGCACCCAATTCCCGCTGGCGCCGCAGTTTGCTATCACAGCGCATGTCGCACAAGGCCAAACCATCAAGGAAGGCGTGACGACAGATCTTTGCATAGGGCCAAGGGGAAATCCATTTACCGTCTACGTCGCCATTACCCGCGTGCAAGGCCGTGAGAAGCTCCTGATCTTTCGACCTTTTGACGCCGCTCCATTCCAGAAAGGTATTGGTTTAGGGCGGGACCTGCTGCTCCGACATCTTTGCAGGGAACCGATCAATTGGCAGGACTTGCTGGCCAAATATTGTGAAGAACGCGTGTGTTCAACCTGCGCAGAGCGCAAGCCATCTACAGCTTTCACCGGTGGCCAGTGGAAGCGCGACGACAAAGATCGCGTTTGTCGCGAATGCGCAAAGCATTACGCAGATGCCGGGACGCCATGGCAATGCAACGTCTGCAAGCTGTGGCATGTCGAGACCAATTTTCCAGCAAAGCATCGGCAACGTCAATGTAGTTTTTACCGTGTGTGTTTGACATGCGAAGCCAAGAAACCATGTTTCAAATGTGGCGTTGCGAAACCGGAAGCCGAATTTGGACCGGCCGCATGGAAAGCTCGCAACGCGGACCGCCGCTGCTGCAGAGAATGTACCACCAAACAGCGGGGGTGTTGGCAATGTTCCCAGTGCAGCGAACGCAAGCCACGAGCAGAGTTCACAGCTTGGCAGCAAAGTCGGAAACATACGCAGGATGGTACACAAGTATGCAATGCATGCACAGCCTTTGCCTTCGTGTGTCGTCTTGCTCATCGCACAAATCAACGCTTGGCCCGCTTGCGCCAACGCGAATCCCGTCAACGACACGAAGCAATCCTAGCAGACGTTCGCAAGGAGATTCAGAAAATGCACGAAGCTAGACAAACGTCGACGGGAACAGACGAAACCAGAACGGGCGTTGCCCAGACATCGACCCAGCCGCTTGCTGCGAGGCCCGACGCAGCTACGCCGCGAGTGTACACATACCTTTGCCCGCACTGCGCCAAATCTGTGCCAAGCACGGTGACGACAGGGCAAGTCGATCACCGCCGCGGTGATGGCTGCGGCAAATTTTTTCGCGTTGCGAATGGCCGGCTTGCAGGTCGCACACATGCACACACATGTCCAACATGCGGCACGGTGGTGCATTCAACAAAAGTTTCCGGGCAAATTCAAATAACGCATCGCACGCCCAACGGAAAGCAGTGTCGCACCGACCGATGGCCCGTGCAGAACTGATCACAAACGGAGGCTTCACCCAACAGCAGAACTCCGAGGGACGGATGCAGCAGAGCCGCGGCCCCAGCCGCCAGGCTTCACAAACGGCGCCTTGGCCACACCAAAACGGCAGGGCCCTGAGGGACGGACCGGGCCTGCCTCCAAAACAGCAGGGCCCTGAGGGACGGACTGGGTCTGCGGGCCACGGGCCCCACTGCCTAACGTTGCTTTCTGAACCTACAAGAAAACTAGCTGTCTGAGCTGTCTTCCAGTCGCCAAAAGCTTCACAAACGGCGCCTTCGCCACACCAAAACAGCAGGGCCCTGAGGGACGGACTGGGCCTGCGGGCCACGGGCCCCACTGCCTAACGTTGCTTTCTGAACCTACAAGAAAACTAGCTGTCTGAGCTGTCTTCCAGTCGCCAAAAGCTTCACAAACGGCGCCTTCGCCACACCAAAACAGCAGGGCCCTGAGGGACGGACTGGGCCTGCGGGCCACGGGCCCCACTGCCTAACGTTGCTTTCTGAACCTACAAGAAAACTAACAGCAGGGCCCTGAGGGACCTTCGCCACACCGCAACAGCAGGGCCCTGAGGGACGGACTGGGCCTGCGGGCCACGGGCCCCACTGCCTAACGTTGCTTTCTGAACCTACAAGAAAACTAGCTGTCTGAGCTGTCTTCCAGTCGCCAAAAGCTTCACAAACGGCGCCTTCGCCACACCAAAACTGCAGGGCCCTGAGGGACGGACTGGGCCTGCGGGCCACGGGCCCCACTGCCTAACGTTGCTTTCTGAACCTACAAGAAAACTAGCTGTCTGAGCTGTCTTCCAGTCGCCAAAAGCTTCACAAACGGCGCCTTCGCCACACCAAAACTGCAGGGCCCTGAGGGACGGACTGGGCCTGCGGGCCACGGGCCCCACTGCCTAACGTTGCTTTCTGAACCTACAAGAAAACTAGCTGTCTGAGCTGTCTTCCAGTCGCCAAAAGCTTCACAAACGGCGCCTTCGCCACACCAAAACAGCAGGGCCCTGAGGGACGGACTGGGCCTGCGGGCCACGGGCCCCACTGCCTAACGTTGCTTTCTGAACCTACAAGAAAACTAGCTGTCTGAGCTGTCTTCCAGTCGCCAAAAGCCTCACAAACGGCGCCTTCGCCACACCAAAACAGCAGGGCCCTGAGGGACGGACTGGGCCTGCGGGCCACGGGCCCCACTGCCTAACGTTGCTTTCTGAACCTACAAGAAAACTAGCTGTCTGAGCTGTCTTCCAGTCGCCAAAAGCTTCACAAACGGCGCCTTCGCCACACCAAAACTGCAGGGCCCTGAGGGACGGACTGGGCCTGCGGGCCACGGGCCCCACTGCCTAACGTTGCTTTCTGAACCTACAAGAAAACTAGCTGTCTGAGCTGTCTTCCAGTCGCCAAAAGCTTCAGAAACGGCGCCTTCGCCACACCAAAACAGCAGGGCCCTGAGGGACGGACTGGGCCTGCGGGCCACGGGCCCCACTGCCTAACGTTGCTTTCTGAACCTACAAGAAAACTAGCTGTCTGAGCTGTCTTCCAGTCGCCAAAAGCCTCACAAACGGCGCCTTCGCCACACCAAAACAGCAGGGCCCTGAGGGACGGACTGGGCTGTCTTCCAGTCGCCAAAAGCTTCACAAACGGCGCCTTCGCCACACCAAAACTGCAGGGCCCTGAAGGACGGACTGGGCCTGCGGGCCACGGGCCCCACTGCCTAACGTTGTCGCCAAAAGCTTCAGAAACGGCGCCTTCGCCACACCAAAACAGCAGGGCCCTGAGGGACGGACTGGGCCTGTGGGCCACGGGCCCCACTGCCTAACGTTGCTTTCTGAACCTACAAGAAAACTAGCTGTCTGAGCTGTCTTCCACTCGCCAAAAGCTTCAGAAACGGCGCCTTCGCCACACCAAAACAGCAGGGCCCTGAGGGACGGACTGGGCCTGCGGGCCACGGGCCCCACTGCCTAACGTTGCTTTCTGAACCTACAAGAAAACTAGCTGTCTGAGCTGTCTTCCAGTCGCCAAAAGCCTCACAAACGGCGCCTTCGCCACACCAAAACAGCAGGGCCCTGAGGGACGGACTGGGCCTGCGGGCCACGGGCCCCACTGCCTAACGTTGCTTTCTGAACCTACAAGAAAACTAGCTGTCTGAGCTGTCTTCCAGTCGCCAAAAGCCTCACAAACGGCGCCTTCGCCACACCAAAACAGCAGGGCCCTGAGGGACGGACTGGGCCTGCGGGCCACGGGCCCCACTGCCTAACGTTGCTTTCTGAACCTACAAGAAAACTAGCTGTCTGAGCTGTCTTCCAGTCGCCAAAAGCCTCACAAACGGCGCCTTCGCCACACCAAAACAGCAGGGCCCTGAGGGACGGACTGGGCCTGCGGGCCACGGGCCCCACTGCCTAACGTTGCTTTCTGAACCTACAAGAAAACTAGCTGTCTGAGCTGTCTTCCAGTCGCCCAAAAGCTTCAGAAACGGCGCCTTCGCCACACCAAAACTGCAGGGCCCTGAGGGACGGACTGGGCCTGCGGGCCACGGGCCCCACTGCCTAACGTTGCTTTCTGAACCTACAAGAAAACTAGCTGTCTGAGCTGTCTTCCAGTCGCCTTCGGCGCCTTCGCCACACCAAAACTGCAGGGCCCTGAGGGACGGACTGGGCCTGCGGGCCACGGGCCCCACTGCCTAACGTTGCTTTCTGAACCTACAAGAAAACTAGCTGTCTGAGCTGTCTTCCAGTCGCCAAAAGCCTCACAAACGGCGCCTTCGCCACACCAAAACTGCAGGGCCCTGAGGGACGGACTGGGCCTGCGGGCCACGGGCCCCACTGCCTAACCTTGCTTTCTGAACCTACAATGTTGCTTGTAATCTCTTCTCTGACGCGCTCCCCCTGCTGTCGGCAGGGGTCGGCGGATATACATATAATATTAATTATTGTGATATGTTCTTGGTACACAGCTATCTGATGCTATCTGAAACCAGTGGACATGATGCTTGCCTGACAGGCTCGCTGGACCCATTTCGAGCAAATTGCTTCGCTTGGAGGCACGTCGAATGCCACCTTGACACATTGATCCCCAGCCGTTGTGCAGCATTGACATGATCTAAACACAACCTAAACCGCCTAAAGCCTAGCAAAATGATGATGTGCATCTATGGAACGATATGCTATCAGACCTGAAACCTGAACAGTCGGAGGCCGTTCATGATGTCGCCGATCTGGAACTCAAGGCGTGGTTGACCGAGCGCGTCGTAGTTGTTGATAGAGACATGAACAGGCTGGTATAGAAGTAGATTGGACGATTGGCTATGCTTTGAACTTTGAAGGGACTTTCTTTTCATCATTTTTCATTTATGTGAAGTACTGTCAATGGTCTTTTTATTTTTAAAAGACAAAAGATCCAATCCAACAGGTACTGGTGAGCTTACTGGTTGCTGACTCAAGCAGACGGAATGCTGTCCAAAACCTCATTGCCGAGTTCGGAAGTGAGGACATGGTTCGTCCTTCCCTCTCCATGTAACCTTGCTTGGCAGGAATTGAGAGATGGTCCGGCTAAAGGGCACCCGAATTGCTACATTTTTGCATCGAGAATCATAGAATTTGTGGTCTACAGTCACTGAAGATCTTATCTCGAAATTCACCTACGCAATAATCAAAATACAACATTTCGATCTCAAAAAGGTTAGTATTCACATGTATTCACAGTATTCACCTATAAAATCATATAAAATCCATCAACAATTCATCATCCATCAATGCTCCATGAATACCCATTGTAAGTACAGCTGACTGCCGAGAAATCGAACTTTCCCGGCGACTTTCCCGGCAGGACTTGCCTTTGCCTTCTCGACGGATGATCTTGGATGCTTTGGGCACTGCGTCCCGGGAGCTCTCTGGCTGTCAGGCGAAGTCGTTGTGTTGGACACAGCCAATTTATAGCAATTGAATGGAGAAGATGATACAGAAGGATTTTGACCAACGCTTTTTCTTTTTGCCGGTGGTACACAGAATTTGAATCGATTTGATACTGAAACGGCCAGGAATTGCCGGTGGAAAGATCAGGAGCATCAAAGATGTTGATCCAGTGGCGATCCCATATCGGCCATATCGATCCCAAGATGTTCAGGAGCCTCGAAGCCAGCCCTGGGCACTGTGGGGAAGACGCGGCGCTTTACTTCAGCGACTCAAATCCCACCTTCCACCACCAACAGGATGGGCTGGAAATCACAATTGGAAACTTGATCACTTGATCACCAAAGTGTTGATCCCAATCCCCATCAATGAAGCAGTCTGGATGTTGTAATTTTTATTCTGGTCTTGGATTTCAAGAGCTCCGAACTCTGAGTGGAATCCCCATGAACATCCATGAACTAGTTGGTCCATGTTGGTCCATGTTGGTCCACATGTCTACTATGACATACTATGAGACTCTGAGAAGTTCGAGCCAGGGAGCTCCCCACATCCCCACATCCCCACATCCCCACATCCCCACGGCCAGGTTTGCCTCGGAGGCCCGACACTTCATCCTCCCATTGGTGGCCAGATGGAGACAGCCTGCCGGTTCGGCGGCTGCCTGGGCACTGGGCCCGGCACCTGGTGGACCTGGTGGACCTGGTGGACCTGGTGGATGTGAAAGGGGGAAGTCGGAATGATTCGGAATGGACATGATGGGAGGACCAGCAAAATCGACTGGCTTTCATCATCTTACACGTGTTTATAGCTTTAAAGTGCAATTAAATGACACTTTTGCATATTTTCAGACAGAAAGACGGTGAAAGAAAGCATCCTTGTTGCTGGCAAGGCAATTTCTTCATTGTCCTTTTTTTCGTGGCTACTGCAGAAGCCGGCACTTGAGGTGAAGCTTCCACTGTGGCAGAGTTTCTTCACAGCTTGGGGGCGTGATTCTCAGAACTCAACACTCTGACAGTCTGTGATAGTCAAGAGTTGGAAGAAGAATCACCATATTGGAGGATGGTCATCCACCAATTTCTGGAGATGAATATAGAGGTTTCCATAAATGGGGGTACTCCAAAATGCATGATAAATTTCCTGGAAAATCCTATTACAATGGAGGATTTGGTGGTACTACCATCTATGGAAACCTCCATAGAGAGAATTTTTTTGGTTTCCCCAGGTGATGCTGGAGAGTGCTGGCAGAGCTTGTCCAGACAAAGACCAACTGGCGCGTGACTGCAGTGAGCCAGCCATGGAGGTGAGGGAAACAATCGACAGAATAGCAGGTGCATGTACATTGAGTTGGTAGTTTGGTAGGACCAGTACTCTGTATAGTCGTGTTGGTTGTTGACCTGATGGCCGGAAAAATCACACGATGAATGAATCTACATGTATAATAATATGACAATGAATATGTCATTGTAGTTGGGGTATGTATCGGATTATCGCAATATATACATATATACGTACAATATTATCATATATTATCTCTGTCGACTATGACATCACAATATAGTGATTGCTTGTAGTTGGGGTTCTAAACGATTTCTACTGTCTTTCCCGCGATTTCAGTCTTTGTCGCTCAGTACACCGTTATGCTTGCGAGGGGCTTTCACACACAGAGCTGCTCGTTCGACGCTGCAGCCTCTTCGTGTTGCCACAAGCTTAATGTATAGTCAACCACCACAAAAGCTTGGAAAGTGGAACATGTGGGTGCGTCTGAAAATCGGGGGATTCCCCCCTCAACGATTTCATAGGGAAAATGCTGATACACCGTGGAATCTAGGAGTACCCAATTTTCACACCGAGGGCATAGGGCAGCACTCGGTCAGAACGGGTGCTAAGGTCTCGAATGGTCTTGATTGGCTGCGAGGAAGTACTGCTTGAGCTGCCGATTCTGATGCAGCTGGAGGTGAGATCGCGGTGTCGACAGCCTGATGCGAAATGCCACTCAGGGCAGAAAGAATGATTTTTTTACGTAGCTGGCACAAAAAAGCCGTGGCTAAACCTCTTTCACAGAAAATCCGTGGCCAAAAAAGACTTCAGCCATCCAGTTTTGGTCATTTTTGGTCAGAAATGATGTCAGTTAAATGTCACGTGAGGCGTTCCCTTTCGTGGAGAGTGATGATACTTGCAGAAGGCAGGAGTCCCACGGTCCCACTCCACAGCCATCCACAGAAAAAAACACGGGAGATTCCGCTGTGGCTCTGTGAGGATGGCGGCTGGCCTGGTTGCCTCCTTGAGTTGGAGACTCAGCGGGTTAGGAACGCTAGGAACTATATATATATATAATTATATATATATAAATATTGTACTGTACTGTTTGTGTATATATGTTATATAATGTTATATATCATACATGCAGAGATCGATTGATCGATCGAAATCGATCGATCTATCCAAATCAAAGTGGCGGCATTTTCTGTCTCAATTGCTCTTCGCAAAAGGCAAGCGCACCTTGAGCTGGCAATGAGCGGCGATGTTAGACCGACAGCCACCACCTTGTACAGAGTGGCACAGGGATCCTGGAGCGGAAAGCGTGTTGGCTGCACGACTTTTTCTTTGTTCACCGGAAGCTGCGAACTGCGTTCGTTACATGAAGTTCATACTCAACAAAAAACTTGTAGGGTCCAAAGGTCGTGCATCATGAGCAAGGCGGATTTTGAAAGATGATGCCGCTGATTTGAGGCTTTTAGCGATTTTTGCTGATTTAGGCAGCCAGCTTGGCAGAACGTAGGTCAGCTTGATCCGACTTGTGGCCAGCCTCAGACTCCACTGATGGAGAAACAGGAAGAGACACTTCCATACAGCCTCTGCAGAGTTCAGTGCGCTCGGTTCCTTCGTTGAAACTGCGAGGTAATCCGGTCATGGCTCATCCTGGCATGGAGTTTGAGCCTCAAAGGCTAAATTTTGACCCATGCATCGAGGTCCCTGGCCAGCACATACAATATTCCTTCAATGTGGGGCTGGGTGAAAACTATTCCTACAAGCTGTATTTACTCCCATCTTGGGGGAGGTGAACAGCCACTTAAGCTGAGCTTTGGTGTTCACCAGGGTAGTAAGTTTTGATTCATCATCATTCAGACTCCATGTCAGTTGAAGATTTGTCGCTGATTTCAGGACGGATGGCTTGGGAAAGCGACTGCCATCAGCCCAGGAGCACAATGATTTCCACGTCCAGTAGTGTATATCCGATATCTCGAGAGATATTTAATCTCTATGATATCGTCAGTATATGATATTAAAATTTGATGTTGACATCTGATATACAATATCTAATATCAATCTCTATACACACTATACAGAATGAAACACATACATGGGGATGTATCAAAACCTCTTGTAGCTATATGGTTGGGTAGGGATTGGCAGCCATTTAGCAACTTCTTTTGGTTCAGGGTACCAGCCATGGCAGCCATGACGCTACAGGACCTGGACGTGACAGTCCTTGCTTTCGCACAGTGGCTTTCGGTGCGGAACTTACCACCGCTGCATTGGCAATGGAAGTGGGGAACGCCTGAAACTTATGGAAAACCTCCAAGAAAAATGCACTGGTTGAGCAGGATTCATTAAAATTGTTGTTTTAGAGTATCCCCCAACAAACACACCTGAAGGGAACTTTGACACTCAATTACACAGCTTTGTAGGGCTTCAGAGTTGGACTATTTGGAATTTTGAGGAAATGAAGCTGCGAAGCAACTCATCGTTGCAGCAAATGCTGGCAGAGATGGGCATCATCCGCAATGGTGCGCTTACCTGAGCTTATCTGGAACAAATCCCGTCTTTTGTTTTGGCTAGATGCTTCATTTTCAAAGCCCGAATACATCAAAATACCCATAAGACTGGGGGGATGAACATAGCCAAATCCGATTTTTCTGACCCTGTGATGTTCTGAACAAAAGCCAGGCATAACGACCAACAATACGGACCTGACCGAATTCAAGCGGAACACTGCCACAGTGTCTTCCTCAATCTGTGTGTCTGGAAATTGGGGTATCCTCGAAATTCCAATGGTCATTTTATGTCATTTTCATGGAGAAACTTTTGTTTGTATAAAAGCGTGGAATTGTATTAACTGTATTACCCCAATACTCTAATTTCTCTGGGATCCTCAGTTGTCTTCCGGCATCAAAACCTGCCGTGCATCAGGTGCAGCAACAGATGCAGTCGCAGATTTCTGACCTGCGAGACAAGTTAACCGATGCGTCCGCTGTGCTGCGATTCAGTTGAATTGGACAGTGCAGCTATGCAGCTGATGCTTGCTGCATCAGGTACACAGAGATAGCTAACATGAAAAAGACCAAAAGCCAGTTCGAGCAGGAGGCTGGGGTGGCTATGCACCTTTGGGGTTTCCAGAAGGTGCAAGGCGAATTGATCCAAGGGGGGCACGATTTCAGGTCCATGCAGAGTGCCAGTCCCTGTCGGAACAACTGCAGTGAGCCTGGCCTGTTGGCAGCGTGTGACATGATTTTTGTGCCTGTTCAAGTCCTTGCACCCTAGTGGACATCCCAAACATGAGCCAACCGTGGGCCAACCGGGCTGCTTTGCTGAGCCGTTGGCTCAAAGACTGCCTGGAGATTTCTCATCCGACAGCCTGTCATGGTGCTGACGGCTCTAGTTGCAGCTGGTGCTGGAGTCACAGGACTTGGCGCCGGAACCTATTTGACCTGGGAGAGGTGACTTGACTCCGCTACTCACTACTCCATCCTTTTCAGTTTTTTTCTCCTAGTTTTGGTCATTAGCAACTACTGGGTATGTGGGTTAAGTCGTCCTCTGTTGTAGAAAGTTGTCTTGATGTGGCATGCACTTGCGGGTTTGATGTTTAGGCATTGACAACACAACTGACCATAAAATTGTGTGTGAAACAAGCGTGCGCCGTGCACATGATGATTAGCAACCCGAACACAGGGGGCCAAAGGAGAAAATTACGCAGATTTTTGGGCGTGCACTCATGCTTCTCAACCCGTGCGGACATTATCTATAGACAATCTTATTGATTTACATGGTACTTCATGCCCAGTATCAGGAAAATTGTTATCCTGTAACCATCTCATGCCTCAGTGTGCAAGAGATATGTTGTTTCAAACCGTTTGATGAAGCACCTGGTAACATGGGTGCGCATGGTGTTTTCGGGAGCCGGGTGAGTTACCACTAAAGTTAGCGCGCGCATGGGGGTAAAATTGTTTTCAACCTCGGGTGACTAAACCTCGGAACTTGTAATGAATCTGGATCATAAACCCCTCCGCACAGCCTTACCCCGTTTTCCAATTTTTGGCACTACTGAAAACCATACCACAGAAAGGGATTTAGTATTAGTTTTACACCATTATATCAATATCACTATATACACAATTATACATATTACATATATATATATATGTATATACACACTGTATATTATATTTCCTATAGGTTTTTGACTTAAGCCTCAAGGTATCCCAAACCTTTCATCGTCAAGAAGATTCTCCAAGTGCTGCCGGGCTTCCTCAGTAAGTCGCTGGCGGGCTCGCCGTAACTCGCTGGCAGAGCAGTTGAGTGATGATTCTTTCCATTCTATGGGGATATTTTTGTTTTTTTTTTGGATACTCGTATCACTTGGGTGAGTGACCCTGGGTCATCTTTCAGCACTCTTTCAGGGATGATCATTTAGTCATAGATATTTTCCAGAGAATATGATTTTTTTGAAACGATCATCCCCCATATTCCAATAGATGATCATCATTTAATCATCATTTCGTCCACTGGGATGTGGGTTTTCCAGAGATCTTTTTCGGCTCCATGAGGTGCTCCATTGAATCCGTGGACTTCCTTGCGGGTCTCCTTTCTGAGATCAAGCTGGGAGGCGCTGGCCGATCAGGGCAGCAACAAATTGATTCAAGATGCCACAAAAAGTCAATGTGCAGTGACCATGACTTACTGAACATGGATGTGAGGCTCAATGCGAACTTGATTTGCTTCGGATGTGCCTTTCAACACTTGCAACTAGCTTTGTGCTGAATGGATTCACGTGCGGAAGGTGTGCAGATTGGGAACGTGGAACCATACAAGAGCACGAGCTTGCTAAAATTCGATTCCATCATGGTCAAGGCGTGGTGGGAAATTGAATTGCTAATGTGGATAGCCCAATGCCAGAAACCTACCATTTGGGAATGGCTTATACCATCCATTAAAAAACATATTTTGTGATGGTCCATTATTGGGTTTCCCACATTGCTTTGTTACATTCACACTATTCCAAGATTTACATCTTGGCCACGCTGGCAACGCGTAGGTTGACCTCAAGAGCTTTGCAAAATCAGGCCAGGGATGCTGTGGAACTTTGACCTTTAGACATTTTGAACATGAATATACAATTACTGTAGATAGGAAATCATCCTAACCAATATGTTGGGATTATCACAATCCACTAGGCTTTTGAACTGATTTTGAAGATTTTCCAATCTACCTCGCATGAGGTTTCAAGCGCCTGGTGATAGAGTCTCTTTGTCTTGATGGTTTGACCTTGACGGTGGAGAAGCAGGGCTTGCAGACGTCCAATGTCACTGATTTGGTGGCCAAGCTGAGGCAAGAGGAGCAATGTTTGGATCAGGAAGGAGCTTGCAATGAAACTCCCACTGACAGAGGTGACATGATCTCCAATGTCGTCGACGCTTCAAAGCAAGCCGTCAATGTTGGCACTGGTGTCATCGTGAAGGGTGCCAGTGTAGCGGTTGAGTCTGCGAAAGCAGTTCATGAGAACGCGAAGCTGATTTACAATCCAGGTGAGAAGGAGGGATCAAATGGATCAAATGACAAGCAACTGCAAGTCATTGTGAAACAATTGCAGATCTGCGGCATCAAGTTGGAAGCAATGAGCTTGATCGGCGACGTTCAGACCCCGACCATGGAGCTTTCTGTCTCGGATATCAAGTACGATGACTTCAGCAGCCATGCTACTCGACCCGAGCACATCATTCGCCTCATCTTGGAGCAGATCGTGTTTAGTTCTTTGAGCGCCGCAGCCTCAGCAGCCAAACAGATTAGGCTTAGGCTAAACGGTTGAACCTATCAGAACAGATGCCCAAAAGAGCAGTGATGCAGAATTATGCACATCTATTTCAGAAGAGTCTATCTTCAAACATGTTGAGATAATTTGAGGTAAACTTCCGAGACACATCTCACACAGGACATATCACTTATACTCTCGCATAAATAGTCCACAGATCAAATTTTGGTGAATGAAAAGCAAGCACTTTCACTATCCAGCACCAGCAGCAGATGTTTGACGAACAGGCAGCTGGTGGCCTCGGCTCCATTGCACTCGAAAGTACTACTAGCTCAGCCTGGTGGATCTTTGAACAGATGGGTGAGGCGATGTATTCCGCCTACTCTTCCGTTGTATCGCTCTTTTCCACGGCAGACGTCGGCCCCGCGGTGCAACAGGAGGGATAAAGAAGTGATGCTGGAGATAGGCTGTACATATCACATGTCAATATCCCTGTGATGCCAAGACTCGGCATAGCCTGGACGTTGGCAGCTGCCGCAACGTAAGTGACTGGACAAAAAAGTGACAACTTTAGCACGATGTATTCAAGGTCCAGGGTATGTCCTGTCGCTCTTGGCTTCCTAGTATACCATATCGTAATCTGGGTCTGAAAATGGGGTATACGCCGTATACGCTCGAAATGACCATTATATGGGGATCATACGGGATCATGATAGTAATCCATTGGAACATGTTTTTTCCCCTAAATTTTCAGACACACCCATATCACCACATCGTTTCATAGCTTTGCACTTTGCAATCTGGTATCTGGTGATGCGCAAAATCAGCGTGTCAACCGATTTGACCGAGTAGACTGCGAGCAAAATGAGATCTGCGGGTTTATCACTGCTGGATGTTTCTGCGACCCCTTCGGCCTTGAGTTTCCAATGCTGGAGACATTTCAGACACATGATCGGTGTTTCCAGGTTCAAGACGCTGGAGCTGGAAACCTTGAAAAAGGCCATTTGCTTTGTGTCATCTGTGTTCATTTCATTTCATTTCGTTTCACTTCATTTCGTTTCATTTCACTGCTGGAGGCCTATGCGCAAACGCATCAGCAGCTTCAGCAACAAATTCTGCAGCTGCAAACGCAGGCATCCACACGTCTGGTTCAATCGAAATGGTTCGCTCTTGTGCACCAAATCAAACATCTAAACGAAGTGGCAGGTGAATGAAGTCAGAACCAAGGGTGAGGACGTCGGCAGGCAGTTCATATCACTTCATATTTGTTGAGTTGAGTTCGTGGTGTCTAAACAACCCTTTTGTAATGTTTTGCATCATTTTGTAGTATTTTGTACTATTTTGTACCATTGGTGATGACATCACTTGATTCAGTTCAGTGGCACAAGGCTGCAACACTTGAACGTGGAGCAGCATGTTAGCAAGGTGTCCGAGGTTCCACACTCAGAGCCTTCCCCGACCATGGCAGCCATGGCAGCCACCGTACGTTCGCATTTTCTGAATCTCTGGGCCTGGCTCAAAGTCACCGGGCCGAAAACCAGGGCTGCTATCCGTATGACCCGTTGTGATGACGGGTGATGAGATGTGTCTGAAACTTGGCAGCAAAAAGTGAGAGTTGATCAGAGTTGCTGCATTTGTCCCGCTTGCAGCATCGACACGCCTCAGCTGATTGTGGAGGGTGTGATTCTTCTTAGATTCTTAGATGATGCATGAGTCACTTGGCACTCGGTACCAATCACCACCCGCTTTTGACCTGGTGTCACTATGTGCCACTGTGGCTCAAGCGAAGATGGGCCTTGCCCGCAAAGATTGGGTGCGCATTGGCTTTTCACCTAGGCCGCGCCATGTGCTTGATTTTTTGAACAGAATCTATATCATTGTATCGCTATGCTATCCACATTTTCCATCATTAGCCATAAAAAACCCATGAATCTCCATTCACCTCCCTTTGAGTCACTGAAAGATCAGCTGATCAGCTGTAAGATTCTTCCTGTCGCTGCATCTCGCCTGGCAGGCGCAATGTCGCAGATCGTCGTTGATGCTGGTGTGGAGGAACCCGAACGAAATCTTAGTTTTGGGGATGCTGGCTTTGAGGACCCTTGGCTGAGTTTGGTCTTCCCAAAAGTGCACAAAAACGGTCACTCAACCAGAACGGAGACCAAGATCTTCCCAGGATGTGGACGATGCGATGTTGCTGGATCCACCGGACCCCGTCGACTTGCTGATTGCGCATACACATGCCGATCAAGCGGTGAATCTCGGGGCAAGGCAGATTTTTTGATGTTTCGCATTGCAAAAAAACCTCACAAAAACCACAGCATTCAGGCATTCACCAACCAAAAGACAATCTTTCCGACGGTTCACCAAGCAGTTCTTCAGGGACTTGGAGACCTGGACTCGTTTTTTTTAGTCGCAGGCCGTTGGACTTTGTACGCGCCAAGATGAGTGAACTGAAGAAGGAGAACACCAAACTGAAGAACAGGTGGGGCTTAGGTGGTGAGGCATCCCCAAAGTCGACGTCATCGACGTTATCCGACGTCATCGACGACTGGATATCTTGGATATCTTGGATTGTCCGGGATTGGGTGCTGAACAACATATATTTATTGCTTCACACCGATGATCAAACCTGATTGATTACGACTACTTATAGATACTTATAGATTCTATATAGATATGTATTGTTTTCAAGATCATGTGAAAGCACCAGCCAGACGATGTTTGATGGCAATTCACATGTGTCTGATTCACTGATATGAAACTTAATTGACACCAATCAGGGTGGCAGATCTCGAGCAGACGCTTTCGATCGTGCAGACTGCGCAAGAGTGGACCCTGGGCAAAGGCCGTTGATTGTTTGGTCAACCATCTTTTCCAAGCTTCGTGTCCAAGTTTTTGCCTTCACTTTTGGTGGAAAATTCTTGTAAAAAGAGACGGTCATCCCCCTGTTCATAAGGATCTCTACGTTCTGCACCTTCTGCGCTGATGATAAATAATCCCATTACTTATATATATATATATATACTCTATACCTCCATTCTAAGGAATCCATTCATGGTGAGATGACCATCCCCTCATGTCTTTATCCCATGGCACACCGGCCAGGCATGACGCAGGAGCAAGCGACGCGAATGCAGGAGATCAAGGCGTTGCTGGAACAGGCCAAAAAAGCCCGAGAGGAGATGCTGCTCAGCAGCACCTGAGAGGTGTGTTTTCTGGCTGGCATGGATATATGATACATGATATGTCGATATGAATATGTCAAGTATTGTATTGTATTCTATTGTATTGTATTCTATTGTATTGTATTGTATAGCATATATATATATATATATGCAGTACATATACTGTGTATGTATGTATATATATATATATGTAGTAATAACTATAATATATATATAATAATCATATATTCATTTTCCGTTCGCGTTCACATACATTCCCATATTTGCATGTATTTCTTTGTATTAGTATACACCCATTCACGTTCAAAAGTACACAATTGTTCTTGTCAGATTGAGGCAGAATTTCTCCAGTGCCAGCCGCGCAGCTCTCTATGAAAAGCTACGCACCTGCAAAGCCATGCTTCGTAGAGAGCGCCAAGAGAAGGTTGAAATGAAGGACGATTCACGGGGGAAATCAATGCATTTTAGCCATGTGGGGAGCTATAATAAAAGGCACAGGCGAATGTGCTACGCATGACGCAAATGTACATTAACTGACAAAAAATCGTTGTGCTTTGACAGTCAGACACATCTTTTTCTTCTAGGCTTGCAGGAGCGTCACATCTCTTTAATTAGCCGTTGGCACTTGGTCAAGTACAACACAGAACAACCTGGAGACAACTGAATTGGAAGAGTTTCACACAGACAGAACCGCTATTTGTTTTTGAATGTTCTATTCGTTTCCCGAATTTCAGCATTCAAAGTGCAAGCTGCGCCAGGACCGGTTGATGCATGCCTTTGACCATGCAAGAGCTCATCGCGATGCGTACCGGAGGCTGAAGCAACAGAGGGATGATGAAAATGAAAGGTGGCAGCAGGCCTGGAAAGAAACCAAAGAACGACATAGATTGGAACTTCGTCGCTTACATGGTGATCCAGCAGCAATGCAATCAGATCGTCAAGATCAGTTCAGCTACTATGGTGAGCGGGTTCTAGATGATTTACTGGCCTTGCAGAAACATCTCAGAGATGTGAAAGAGCGCACCGTGGACACAGTGGTCTTAGATGGTGAAGACCTTGAAGGCTTAGATCATCGCCCCGCGGCTGATCCCACAGATGGGGCTCGCGTCATGGCCACCACCGATGCCTTTGGCTCCGAAGCCGATGCTTTGGAGGCGGACCTTGCAGGTGATGTCGCCAGTGGTGCTGTGACCCTTGGAGCTGAAGAAGCTCCCAAGGCACCAGCAGAGACGCCCAAGGCACCAGCAGAGACGCCCAAGGCAACAGCGGAGACGACTCCGGCAGTGGCAGAGACGCCTTCGGCAGCGGCAGAGACGCCTCCGGCAGCGGCAGAGATGCCTCCGGCAGTGGCAGAGACGCCTCCGGCAGCGGCAGAGACGCCTCCGGCAGCGGCAGAGATGCCTCCGGCAGTGGCAGAGACGCCTCCGGCAGTGGCAGAGACGCCTCCGGCAGTGGCAGAGACGACTCCGGCGGCGGAGACAACGCCACCAGTTGGGGAGGCCCCACAGGCCCCAGAGGCCCCTGAAACAAAACCAAGTGATGCTGCAGAGTAGGGTTTCACACTTTGTGAATCAACGATCTGATGACTGAAGGATGACTTTTGACATTGCGTTTGAGCAAAGCTCTTGTTCTGCAGCATAGAAACATCGATAACACAGGTCCGTGCTTCACTTTGCGTTCAGAAGCTTGCGTAGCTACTCCGTCTCACTGCATGATATTTCAACCTAAGCTGCAGTCTTGGCTGTAGCACATCCGCGAATGCTGGAGATGAAATGTGCGTCTGGCAGACTTTGCATCGTGTGGTCGTGAGATCAAAGTTCGAGGTAGGCAAACTTTGACATATTTTGAAATGGGTGTGTCTGAATACACCCCAAAACTTTAACTTAAATAGGAAAAACGGTGATTCATCAGGGGATCTAGGGCTACCCTAGTTTCAGACAAACCCAAATCCTAGATAGTTACGATTCATTGATGACCAATGCCGAGGAAGCTATGATGTCCTGAGTTTGAGGCATTGAGTACTGAGCCCATGCCGGGTGATCAGCAAGTCCTTGCGGAAGAGTGGTGGATGCAAAAGTGACTATCAATGGCATAGATGATTGATCATTCATTATTGACTATGGATTATTGACTATTGATTGGTGATTATTATCGATTAATAATCCTATTATTATCAATGATTTTATGGGAAAATATGGGAGAAGTAGTAGGATTATCACCAAATGTTTCTTTTTGTTTAACGTAATTCTTACCGTACACCTATTCCGGGAATCATCGCCAGGATCACTCACTCCCTCTGCGTTTCGGGCGAGCCCACATCCGCTGGAGCCAAGCGCACCGCGCCGAAAAGGGGAACAGAGAGCCAGATGCAGATCATTCATCCGGATGTCCTAATATCATCTAATATCTTTATCCAGCATATCAGCATATCCATTTAACAGCTTGTGAAGTTGCATGTCAGGTGGAGATGGCAGCTCAGTATGCCAACAATGAGATGAAGAGGTGATGGAAAATGCACCCAACATGTTGGGAAACTGGGCCCAGTCCAGGGTAAATCTCGAAACACTGCCAGGTTGCGGAGTGATCATGATCAAGCCATTGGAAATCTGGCTGAAAACATGAATAGGCGGGCGTGTCTGCGTGTCTTGTTCTTCCGGTTCCAGGGCTGTGCGATGCTGTGCGGCTGGGATTGACGTGTTGAGAAGACAGCAGGTGACCTGTGCGATGTCAGGTGGAATGATACCATTCGAGACCTTTCAAAGGAGTTTCACGACTTTCAAAAGGCGGGAGCTGCTGTGTCAAGCTTCAAGTTTTGGTTGAGTAATTCAGTTTTTTAATCCACTTCAGAGTTTGAAATCAGCAATCCTATCATTTCTCCTATAATTTCTCCAAGGTTGTGGTTTCTTCACGCATCTCGGATGTTTAGGTGATGAACGTGAACCACCAGAGGCTGCAGAGCCAGGTGTGGGATGTACAGGCCTGGGGGATGGGTCAAGTTTCCTATGAATTTACCATGTGGGGGAAGAAACATCCAGCATCATCCAGCTATGACTTAGGGTTTTAACACCCAAAACATCCCAGAAAACCATGTCGGAATCTCATGTCGGGATCTCTGAAAATACCAGTGAAAAATGTGTAATGATACTATACAGGATATAATTTTTGTGCGAGTGTAGAATTTTATCAATTGATATCAGATATACACACATGATCAATATTGATCAATCATGATCACACATTTCCGGTTAAGATATTGATGTATCTGATGTAGAATTTTGGGGATCGAAGTCGATGGGATTCCTTGAGAGTGACGACAGTTCGCGAGGGAAAGCTGGGCCAAGTCGAGTTCTCAGTGACAGGGAAAACCCCCATGCCATCTGGTGCTTCACATGGCCGGATCCAGCTGATTTGGGGGGTAACATGGGGTAAGTGAGTTGGTAGAAACCCAACTTTCAGAGCCAAATTCCCATGATATCCTGAAAGTTCCTATGATTTTCCATTACTTAATGAGGATTAATGGGGTTCCCATGAATTCTCAGGCTCCAAGCGCTGGAGTGCAAATGGAACAGGTGGGAACGGCGACTAAACGTGGCAACAGCTTTGGCTGTTTGGTAATTTAACAATCCTTTTGTTATGGAACATCAATGAAATCAACAGTTTGAAACATGATAAACATGGAAAATCAATCAGCATCCAGGTTTGCATACATATTTTATCGTATTTTTACTTTTTAATATTTTTTAATAGGTAAATCGATGACACATCACCATTTTCAATAGGTAAATCGATGAACGAAATGGGCCATGGCAGCCATACCTTTCTCAATCCAGGCAGCCCCAAGCCCAGCACCGGTGACTCAGCTGCCGAGAATTGGTGGAAGTTTTTTTTTGAGCCAACTTGGCCAAGAGTTGGGAAATCCACCTCTGAATTTGTATCATATGGTATTTAAATAGGAAAATCCTCGAACGTTTTTTAATGGGGGTTAATCATGATTTCTGCATTCTGTTGAGAATAAGCACAGGAAGCGGTGCAAGTTGGTCCCCCATTGTCTCTGCTGTGGAGGTTACCGAATGCCGGGGAGGAACTGTCCGAACGCAATCGCCGCAACCCAGGCCAGCTCTACGGCAGCCTTTTTTTGTTCCAAAAAAATCCTGTCTTTTCAGACATGTGTTTGTTTGAAACTGAGGCCCTTCAAAAGTGTTTTTTGATTCACATTGCTTCGGATAATGACAGTGTTCTGAGTGCTCGCTCGAACTGGCAAGTTGAATCACGCGCCAATCGTGAATGAAGGGTTTCTTTTCTCATTCACCTAGTCAAAAAGAGATGTCTGCACGTGGTTGGGGGCGTGAAAAGGATGGTCCAGTCAGCCCTTGGTTTGAAGGCTCCCAAATCCGCCAGCTGCGGGGGTCATGTGTCTCGGCAGCAAGCAGATTGCACTCATACACCCCTTCGGTGAAATTGGCACTTGAGTTTTGCCAGATGTTCAAGTATGACCACCCCAACCCAGCATTTCCCAAATAAAGGCAATCAATGATACATGATTTACATGATATATCATGATATCAACCCAATCTTGTGTGCCACTGTCATGTTTTCCGGACGAAAAATCAACCCAATCTTCCCCAAATACTGGAAAGCGATACCAAGACATCTAAGTTGATCCAGTGTGTGTCGTGGTCCGGCGCCTTCCGCAGCGCCAAAACGGAGCGCCAACGCTCAGATCTCCGACTTATTCTGGGCAGCACATGGGACTGGCGCCTTTTGTGGTGTCTAGGCTGGGTGGAACCTTGGAACCTTGGTGGAACCTTGATCGAACGTTCTGCAGATGATCACTACATGATGAGTCAAAGATGGGTAGCAATGGACCTACAGAATCGGTCTCTTAGATTAAGTTGATTAAACCACCAATTTTGTTCAAATCAATTTCCGAGGTTGATCATTTTGACCCAGCTCCCATGTATTTGGCTCATGATTTTGTGACATTTTGTGCAGGTAGATGGAAGTCAGCCTCTCTGACGATCTCTGACCGCAGAGTGGAAGACATTGGTATTTTATGTAGTTGTGCAGTTGCAGGCAACCCTGCAACTTGCTTGCTTGTCGATGAACTCGGATAGAAATATGGGATGAGCTGAAAGGCTCCCCCGTGATGCCTCATGTGAAACTTTGATGAGCAAGCAGCTGATAACGCAGATTGGGTAGTAATTCATGCAAGAAATATCTTGCATGATGGCGGCAGGTCTCAAACATTTTTTGCTTGTTTAATGCTTGTTTAATGCTCAACAGAAGATAGAAGATGATAGAAGTTCCTGCTGCCGGTGCACGAGCCAACAAATTCAGCATACGATTGTTTACAGGGCGCTCTACTCATACGATTTCAGAAATTACAAAAAAACGTCACTTGTAAGTTCAGCATAGTTCAGCCAGGTGTGCCCTGTTTGCGCTCTTGAGTGGCCAAAGGGCGAGCCAACGAAAAAAGGCTGCGAAGCTGTGTACTGTCGACATTCATGTCAAAGAATTCCCGTAGCTTGGCGATCTACTCATATCCTTGAGTCAACTGGCCCCAAGCTAGTCATATCATGCATCCTGCTTCAATCTTTTGGAAAACATCAGCACTCTGTGGAAAAAATAAGTATGACTTGAAGAAAGTGACAGACACATTGCCATCATTCAACAGTGTCTTCGTTTCCATTGCCCAGCTCGCATGTCATCCGCCCCAATTGCTTGCCAGTTGGAGACTTAGCGGCAGATGTGCGATTTGCGTTAGCTTGAGCAGCTTGAAAGTATGAAATGTGACACCAGATCCGAAAGAATAGTGTGACATGTGACCTGTGACATGCTTCCTGCACTGTCGCCCTCGGCTTGAAAACTGCACCTGCTGTTAGATTGTGGTTCAGTGTTCGTTTGCCTGGCATTGCCTGTCATGATGAGTTTGGCGAGACATTGTTTTTTCAGTCTGCTGGCTGTCGCTGCGGCGGAAGACTTGGTTGCCTTCGACTTCGCTGGTCGTGGCAGTGCAAGCGCAGTGGCAGATGTTTTATCCCGGGTTTTGCACTTGACTCAGGAAGAGGTCTTCAGCAATTTCGACTTAGAACTGGTGACGGAATGCCAAGCTCCGCGGCCAAAGGGAGCCAAAACAGATCTATGCTTTGACCTCATGATGTCAAATGAGAAAGTGAAGGTGGCTGCCACAAGTGGCATTGATTTGGCCTATGGTGCCGCATGGTACTTGCGGAACATGTGCAACATGTCCTTTTCCTGGAACCGAACTGGTGGACATCAGATTGAGATACCCAAAAAGTGGCCAAGTGTAAAAGAAAGAATCACGCGCTACAGGACAGTTCCTATCAGCTACTTTAACAATGTTGTCACCTTCAGTTACAGCTATGCGTGGTATGATTTTGCACAATGGGAGGCCTGGCTCGACTGGGCTGCTTTGAATGGAATCAATGTCTTCATTGCTTACACTGGTCAAGAAGAGATTTATCGTAAAACCTTCAACGCCTTTGGCGTGAAAGATGCTGACTTTGCCGAGTGGAGCAATGGTGCCGCATGGTTGGCTTGGAGCAGGGGTCAGTCGATGCATGGCATTGGGGATCACTGTGGAGATGCCTGCATGCCTCTGCCAGGGTCCTGGATGAAGATGCAACTTGGAATGCAGCGGGGACGTGTTTTTCCATGTTTTTCCTTGGTAAATCACTGGTAAATATCATGGTAAATCGACCGTAAATCTACCGTAAATCTGGGTAATTTACTGGGAAGGTGTGTGATTTTTGATGGTTGGATCGCTGGGAAATCCCAGGCAATGGCAGCTGCAGAAACAGATCTTGGAACGAAGCCGCAGTTTGGGATTTGTCTCGGTGCTTCCAACCTTTCAAGGGAACCTCCCACCAGTCTTCCGGCAGTTGTACCCACATGCCAACATCAGTAAATCTGGTGCTGCTTGGCTGGATGCTGTGGATCCTTTGTTTTCGCAGATTCAAAAGCACTACATGGACATCATGATTGCAGATTGGGGCACCGATCACTGGTATGAGACTGATGGCTATTTCAACCAGCAGCAGGGCCCCTGGCGGCTACGCGCAGCCGGACGTCGCAGCCTGCAACAAACGTCATGGCAGCGGCCCGAAGACGTCCCATCCGATCCTGAGGCTTTGGCACATGCGGCAGCAGCCTATAAGTCCATGAATGCAACAGACCCCAAAGCAATTTGGCTTTACCAGGGATGGATTTGGCGTGGTTGGGGCAGCGACAAACTGCCATTCATGAAAGGCTTTGTGTCAGCTGTTCCTCCAAAGCATTTTGTCATGCTCGACATGTTCGATGAAGTTGATCCGGAGTGGCAGAAATTTCATGACTTTGGCTACTTTGGTACTCCTTTCATCTGGTCCGTCCTGCACAATTTTGGTGGCAACACTGGCATGTGGGGCAGCGTGCCGACTTTGAACTCTGCTCCCTTTGCAGCTTTCAATGCAACCAGCAATGTTGCGGGAACGGGAGCCGCACCAGAGGGAATTGACCAGCCACCTGGACACCTGTTGAGTGATTTTTTAAATGTAGAAGCCATCAAGAATCAGGGTATTCTGAGGGAAAATTGAGATGTAAAAACACACAAAAAATGGTAAATGGCCAGGCCCGCCAGGCTCTGTTTTGTTTTGGTCGATGTTTTGCTTCCGTGTGAGCACTGGGTTTTCGTGTTTGATGACCTCTTCTTCGCCGGCAGCAGAGGAACCCATTCTACTACAGCTTTGTCACCGACTTGAATTGGCTGCAAGCACCTGTGGATCTCAATTCATGGAAAGATACTTGGACACTGCAGCGCTATGGGCGAGACAGCCAAAATGCAAAGGACGCTTTCAGTTTACTCTTGCAGTCAGTCTACTCTAACGAACACAACAGCGAAGCCATCAAATCCCTGGGCGGTTTCTTTGCCGAGAAAAATGCAGACGGAGTCACTGCCATGCCTTTGGGAACAAGTGAGGCTACTCCGCACCAGAGTTGGTACCCCTTGTCTTTGGCGATTGAAGCTTGGGGAAAGATGATTGCGGCTGCAGATGAAGCTGGGGGTACTCCGCTGTCACAGACAATGAACTATGATCTGGTGAATCTGGGTAGGGAGGTGCTGGTGATTCGGAAATTGGACGGGTGAGGGCTCGGTTTTTGAGAAGTCTTCGGTAACAGATCCACTTTCCAAGGTGTTCTAGGCGCGATTTTGTCGCTTTTGAATTTGGAAGCCCCATGATGAACCATGGCAGGTGCTGAGCAAAATTTCCAATGACCACTTTCAGAAGCTGCTCAATGCAACCACGGCTGACGAAGTTCGTGTGGCTGGCAAGTCTATTCTGAACCTTCTCTATGATGTTGACCGAATCTTGCCGAAAGAGAATTAGCAACTTTGACCTCCAAAGTAAATGATAGAGTGGCACTGCAAAAAAAAATGGGTGGGTGCATGTGCATGCTGTCACTGTGCTTTAATGCACAAGGTAGCAACTCTCAACATGATGCTTTTCTGTGGGAGGGCTCCAAATCCCATTGTTGAAAATCACAAAGAAGTGCACTGCAGCATCCGAATCCAAACTTTCTGCATATAAGTAATGTCTTCTATGCCAATATCTAGAGGTATCATACAATAATATGATACAATATCTACACTGCCATGTTACATTTGCCTAGGTGATGTTATGATATGATTATATCAGTCTGGATACATTGTTACATAATGTGGAGAGTGGGTAGGTTAGGTTGGCACAGAGCTCATTAGGAAGCATGCCAGGTTTTCCGTGATGTCCTGGGTTGAGTGCCCTGTGAGGAATGTTGTGCCCGGTAGTTTTGGCTAAGATTCAGGAGGATTTGAATTTTGAGGCGCTGATGGCGCAGCCGCGGAGCCCTCGCTTTGTTTGGGCTTTTGGCGGCATGGCTCCCTGTGATGAACTTGGCCAAATTCTGGCACGCGAGCAGATCGAGAGCGGCGTCCTGTTAGCCGATGCCTTTCCGTCACTGGACAAATTGCAAAATTTTGCGGCTAAATCCATGTGTTCCGCGCAGGCCACTTCACAGTTAGCATTGGCATGGGCTAGGGCCAAGTCTGCAGTTGACGTGTGGGCTCAGGCCGGGCCGCGTTTTTCCAAAGCTTGCGCTTTACCCTTGGTGGGCGGAAGGACTGTGAGTGGGAATGCGGAGATATTTTCTGCAAAGTCCTTGGAGGATTCAGCAATGAATGCCGTCCTTGATAGGGCCATTTTTGCAGCTTGGCGAGTAGGAGCTTCGGCTGGCCTTATCCCTGAGCTTCGGTCAGAACTTGGCAGTGTGCCAGAAGTGGAAAAATTGCTGCGCTTGGTGTTTTTGGGGGCGAGCGGTGCTGTCAACACATGGAGAGCTGCTGTTCGTGCAGTGGAGCGCTTAGAGCGGTGGACTGTGGCCCATGGCTTTAGCAACATGGATTGGACAGGCGTCCGCTTGGCTAATTTTCTTGCAGACGCTCAGCATAGTGGCTACTCTGTGCCCGTGTCTTTGCGGGCGGGATTGAAGCTCATGTCGGACTCGCTGATGTTGAACTGGCCGTTGGACCACCCGGTGGTTCTTGCTGTTTGCAAGCTGGCGAAACAATCTGCGGCAGAGCGAGCAGCAGCGAGCCAAAGCCGGTCTTTGCCATGCCTCACGGTTGAACAACTTCAGCATCTGGAGATGGTTGGATGTGCTGCTGATGTGCCTTTAGCTATTAGATGGGCAGCGCTTTTGGGCTGTCTGCTGGCGCACGCGTGCCTTCGTTTTTCTGATGCGCAAAGATCGGAAGGCGTGAAATTAGGCCAGTCGAGCATTTTTGGTTTTTGCTGGCGATCCAAAAAGAGGAGGACGGGGTTTCCGTTCGCTGCTTTGAGGTCTGGTTTCAGTCCTCACCCGTGGGCCGACTCTTTGCTGGAACTTTTGGAAGGCTTTGCAGCAAAACATTCTTTAGAATTGGACTATGTGATGCCCCAACTTGGGAAAGATTTAGAAAATCCGATGCCGAGACCGGCATCGTACTCTTGCGCACTGGGACTCTTGCGGAGAGCTCTTGCGTTGGCCCCGCTCGGTTTGGATGCTACTGGAGCTGCAGCCGTCACGTTGCATGCGTGCCGCCGCCTGCTTCCCACTTTGGCAAGTCAAATGATGATGTCGATTGAGTCCCGAAGGGTCTTGGGGCATTGGGGCCCGCAAAGTGCAGAACCACTCCGTTATGATACGTCGCGTTGTGTTTCTGAATTGGCCTACAAGGCGCAGGTTTCTTCCCATGTAGTGGCAGGTTGGCGACCGGGGGCTGATTTTGAGCCGCCCCCGCCTTTGATTCCACAGCCAGGAGCAGAAGTGGCTGATCCACAGCTTCGGGGCGATGACGCAGCATCTCCAAACGGGTGGGTTGCGAACGCCAAACCGCCGACAAAAGGGAAGCCACGCTGTTTGCATGTCTTGGCTGCGCCAGGTGTTACCAAATGCGGTTGGCGATTTGGCATCACATCCCGGACACCAAAGACTTTTTTCGTGACAGGCCTCAATCAGACGATTTGGTTGATTGCGGAGCCTGCTCGGCACCGGCCAGCTTCTCAACTTTGCTCCGTGATGCAGGCGTCATGCCAGTCGAGCCAAAGTTGCCTGGTGGTCGCCGTCGGCAGCGCCATCGTGCCAGGCAATCACCGCTAGATGGGGAGGTGCCATCTGATAGTTCTAGCTGGGCCTCTTCGAGCTCGTCATCAGGCGAATCCTCTGACGGCACTGAGCTCGATGGCTTCTAGTAGCCTTTCCCTCCCCATTTCATTGGGCGCAGGGGTGGCTGGTGGGGCTTCCCTCGCGATGCCTGCCTCCCCGGCTGTGCCGGGCGAGCTGGCGGCGTGCGGCGGTCTTTCACCATTGTTTCTTTTGTTTCACCCAGATGTTTCAAGGGGGCTTGCTCAGCAGTTTTTTTTTCCTCTCCACTTTCAATTAAGTGGCCGATGTCTCATTGCGATTTGAGTTTCAGGTTATGCACATGCTTCTTAGGAGGTATGAACACGTACCCCTGTCTCATTGCGAGCATTTCTGACACACCGGTTGGTTTCCAATTTGCACAGGGGAAACTGAAGGTGCTGTGCAGCATCGATGTAGCAACGAGATCAAAAGAATGCTGTTGCATGCCTGCCTAATGTGGAGAGTGGGTAGGTTAGGTTGGCACAGAGCTCATTAGGAAGCATGCCAGGTTTTCCGTGATGTCCTGGGTTGAGTGCCCTGTGAGGAATGTTGTGCCCGGTAGTTTTGGCTAAGATTCAGGAGGATTTGAATTTTGACCCGCCGGCCTCCCCTGTTCAACCTCCAAATGCCGCTGGAGCGGGTGCTTGCTGAGATTTTAACGGATTCGGCTGCGCCTCCAGCATTGAAGACATTCTTGGAAGCTGAAGGATTGACCACTTGTGCCCTCTTTTTCGATTGTGTCAAGGACATTGACGATTTGGAGGCCAAAGTAGCAGCTCGGCTCCAACCTCCCGCAACCAGCCTCCGTGACTCATCGGTCATTCGAACGGTCTGGCGCCGGGCTCGGGTGGAGGCTGAGAAGGCATTGACGGGGTCAGTGGATGCTCCGGAAGATTGGGAGATCCCATTAAACCCAACCACCAAAAATGCCTTGACTGCAAAAAGTTCAGCCGCTTACGGCACAACTTTTCGTGCCCGAAAAATGCCATGTGATTCCCTTCTCGGGCGCATCTACAGAGAGCGGGAAAAGCAGAGCTTGACAGCGTTTCCTTTGGCAAGGGTGCGTAGCCTGGCTACCTCCCCCCAAGCCAAAGAACGTCCAGACCTCAGTTTCTGTTGCATCTCGGCGCGCGGCCGTGGGGCGTCGGGCGTCGGGCGCCGGCCGCGTCGGGCGTCGGCAGCGGGGTGCGTCGGGCGCGGGGGGGCGTCGCCCGCGGGGCGCGTCGGTCGCGGGGGCGTCGGCCGCGGTGTGTGTGTGTGTGTGTGTGGTGTGTGTGTTTGTGTGTGTGTGTTTTTTTTTTGGGGGGGTCCCTCTTTCCCCCCGTTTTTTTTTTTCCCCCCCTTTTTGTGTTTGGTCTTCTTGCTGTTGTTGTTGTTGTTGTTGTTCTTGTGGTTGTTGTCGTCGTCGTCGTCGTCGTCGTCGCTGTCGCCGCCGTCGTCGTCGTCGTCGCCGTCGTCTGCGTCGGCGTCGTCGTCGTGGTTGCTGTGTCCGATTCTGGTCGGTTCGAACCTTCCTCCAAGGTCAGAGCCTTGGCAATGGGGTGTTCCTGGAGCATGGTGTGGCCAAAGGCATTGATTTGAGCACTACGCCATATGGCTATTGGTTGTCCCTGTCGGTTCTCTTGAACACCTATGTCTTGGTGGGTGTGGATGGCTGGTGCCCCAAGCAAGTGGCGGATGATTATTTGGAGCTGGTGGAGGAGAAGCTTTTTCATCCCCGCTCTCCTGGCTTGACAGCGGTGGCGGAAGTGGAGATGCAACACCGGCTTCGATGGGTCGAATTGACGAGAGGGCCGGAAGGGTTGACTTTGGGTGAGGCTATCAAGGCCAGCATGTCGGCTTTGGCTGGAGCTTGGCAGTATGGTCCAGAGATGCCCGGGCAAAAGCGAAGGAGAGCATTGGAACCAGACAGGGATTACATCATTCAGGAGGCCAAAGGAGGGGTGGCTTTGTGCCACAGCTGGAACCTGGGCAAATGCAAGGATGAGAAATGTCCACACAGCCGGTTGCACATTTGCGACATCAAGGGATGTGGCAAGCCTCACAGGCGTGTGAACCACACGAAGCCCAAGCAAACCTGAGATGGAGCTGCTTCGGCGACGGGGTCCATGACATGGCACGCTTTAGTGACAAGGCTGGCGATGTGTCAGCTTTTGAGTGGCGTGGCCTTGGCTTGGAGCCTTTGAACTGTGTCAATTCTGGCATGCAGCTGAGTGATCAGATCTATCCAGCTGACCCTGTTCGTCGCTTGGGCGATCAGCCAGCTGAGTTTTTGGGCATGGCAGCTTCACACCGTTTTCAACCTTCTCGCCGAAGGACTTTTGCAGCTACATCACTTACTGCTTCAACTGGTTTGCAACCGACTGGAAGGGCTTTACCGCCGCTGGTGCCCACTGGCCTTGCACCTGACCAGCATTGGCAACGGGCTTGTTTTGGTACTGAGCACCCATTGGCCCAGCTTCCAAACCTGCCGCCCAAACTGTTGCAAGCTGCAGAGCATTTGGAGAGCCTTGGTGGGGGCATTGTGAGTTGGCGCAAGGAGCAAATGAAGCGCATACGCCACTTGGCAGAATCACTTCAGCCTGTGCAAGCGCAGTGGCAGCAGGGCTTGCACCCGCAGGTGCGCCGGATCATTGGGAAGTGGCATCTGCCGCTTCTCCACATCCTTGCAAAAGAAGCTGGCTCGGAGGATCTGTTTTTCAATTTGGATTACAGTGCCGGGGTGCGCTGTGTGGGCCGTGCAGCACACTCATTTGTGATGCCCTTGAAGTTCACCCGGCCGACTCTCTCAGTTGAGGCTCTTCTGAGCCAGGCCAAGGTGCGCAACCACCAGCTGATAGCGTCGGTCCGGAGTTCGGGCGATGCAGAGTTGGACCGGGCCAGTCTGCAGAAGACACAGAATGAGTTGGATTCCAAGGTCATGTTGGGGCCATGGGAAGCGTCCGACCTTCCATCGTGGGTGGCAGTGGTCTCGCGGCGTTTTCCTATCTGGGAGCACCATGGGTCTGCAGGCCGCCGGAAGTGCCGGAACATTGACGAGATGTCAGAGAGCTTGGTCAACGCCACAGTGGAAGACTACGAAACCTATGTGCCCCGCGGCATTGAGCACATTTTGGCACTCATTCGGCACTTGCAGGTCCGTTTTGGCCTTGGTGTGCAGCTAGAGGGCTTCACTGCAGATTTCAAAGCGGCCTACCGACAGGTGGCGGTGTCACCGTCCCAGTACAAGTTTCAGGGAGTGGCATGGTGGGATTGCTTGCGAGCCACAGTGATGATTGGTGTCCTCACAGCGCTGCCTTTTGGAGCTCGTAGAGCGCCAGCCAATTGGGGTCGTTTGGTGCTTTTGCTCATGACAATTGCTTGGCACCATTTCAGCCTGCTGGTCTTGGACTATGTGGACGACGTGAATGGTGTTGAGCCGCATTTTTCTGCAGAGAGTGCGCGGCAAACCTGGGTGGAGCTAGTCAGCTTGCTAGGCCTGACGCTGGACATGGACAAGTGCAGCTCATCAGCTTCAACATGCTTCGATTCTTTGGGTGTCTCCTGGGCGCTCAGCAGCCCGCACGCTTTGGTGCAGATCTTGCCCAGCCGATTAGCTGGCCTTCAGGATGACATTCAGGCAATTATCGCTGCTAATTGGCTGCGCCCTGGGCATGCAGCCCGCCTGCGAGGCAAGCTTGGTTTTGCGCTGGTGGCAGCCTTTGGTCGCTTTGGTCGTGCTCAGTTGTCGGCCATCAAGCGACGGCAGTATGCATCGGGCGGCAAGAATTTTCAATTGTCTGCGGTGCTGCGGGCTCAGTTGGAGTGGTGGTTGGTGCATTTGCGCTCCCTTCCTGGTCGCGGGGTGCCCCGCTCGCCAGCTGAGATAATTCTTGGTAGCTTATTCAGATGGAGAAGGCAGTGGGAAAGTGGCGGTATGTCTGACCTTTTTGGATCGAAGCACGGAGTTTTGTTGTGCAGAGGTCCCGCACTCCATCCAGCAGCGGTGGGGTGGGGTCAACAACATTCACCGCATCGAAGCTGTGGGGCCACCAATTTGCTTCCTGACATGGCCTGAAAAATTGCGAGGGCAGCTCTTGCTGTTTTTCATTGACAACCAATCTGCCTTAGGCAGCATGGTTGGAGGCTGGTCGCATGAGGAGGTACTGAATGACATCACTGCCTTGTCCTGGTCTCTTGCGGCCAGTTTGCAGTGCTTTGTCTTTTTCGAATACGTACCTTCGGCATCCAACATTATTGATGCAGCTAGCCGGGCGCAGTCCACGGCTGACCTTTCTGTTTACTATAATAGAGGTTGGTCCCTGGTCCCGCCATGCACTCCATGGCACAGGCTGCAATGACCGTTTTCCTTGTTCATGGCGAACATTTCTGACACACCGGTTGGTTTCCAATTTGCACAGGGGACACTGAAGGTGCTGTGCAGCATCGATGTAGCAACGAGATCAAAAGAATGCTGTTGCATGCCTGCCTAATATATGATATATGATGATATAGTACAATATATGTATATGATATGTACAGTATATATATAATATATACATATATACATATATACATATAATATATACATCCATACACCAGTGCTTCATCCCATGCTTCGCTACTCCAGTGCTCCCAGGCCTTCTCTGCAGCGACGACGGCTTCCTGGCCGCTTCCTGGATCAAGGATGCCATCCGCTGGGCCGCGGGCAACGCGACGCTGCAGCGCTACTTCGAGATGGCCGCGCGGAGCGTCACCACCGTGTGGACTCCACAGGAGCGGTGGGGTCCAGGAAAAATGGCCAGGTGATGGGTGATTTATATGGGGATCTTACTGTATTTATAGTAATCTGACAGGTTTCTTGGGGACTATAGTGACTATTCTATGACAATTATGCGGGATTAGCGGCCAAACATATCCCTGTTGATTGGTGATTGAATGCGGACCCATCATTTGAACTGGGGTTTGTAGCCATCAAACATGTGGGGATATAATTGATAACTGATGGTGGGGTTTTCTTAAGATATTGGGGTTTGTAACGGGGTTTATTGGGGATTACCCTCTGGTAATTTAACGTAGATATGGAAAATCACCATTTTTCATGGGAAAATCCACTATTTCTATGGCCATTTTCAATAGCTATTTTGACATAACCAGAGGGTATATAGTGATACCCATCAACCAGGTAGTATTTCAATGTATTTCATAGATTTCATGGGATGGAGAGGCTGCTGGCTCCAGCACCATCACGACGCTCTGTGACTACGCCAATCGTCAATGGGCTGGACAAGCCGCTGGGCGTAAAAGGATGCGTGAGCTGAGTTTGTCTGAACAAATGACGGTTACCCAGGTTACCCCCATTGGATCCATGGGTTAATTTATGGTGAATCACTAGAAATCCCTACTACAAATGGACAATGGAAGTGGGTATACCATGGTATACCGGTATACCTCACCACTGAGGTTGGTGGCTTTTATCGGCTTCGGTATCTTTGCTACATCCAGCAGGCCGTAGAGGACTTCTCCTCCGGCCAGCAAGTCAACAAGACCGCGTGCCTTTGCAGATGGTTTTGGATGGCTCGCACAACATTTTGTTTTGGACATATGTGCAGTATTTGACTGTGAACATATTTTGATAAGCTACTATCTCAGTGTTTTTTTTGCTTTCAAACAAACGCCTTTTGATTGTTCCATAATTCAGCAGATTCCAGAGTTTGATGCTGAGGTATGACGCCTGTGTGGCTCGATCAAGCTATGAGTGGACGCACGATTTTGGAGCTTCCAAGTACCCCATGTGCTTTCAAAGTACAGGCAACTTCTCTGCAAAAGTGAACAACATCACTGGCACTTTGTGAGTTTTGTTATAAACTGCTATGTCTTCTCATTGTCGAGCATCTTGTGGGCAAGCCGATGTTACATTCAGCATGCACATTCCTCATTTTCAGCAAGACTGTTCTATCAGATTCTGTCACAGTCCTACCAAACCCCGAAGTTATTTTTAGATACTTTCAGTTGAAATTGGTTGTTAGACAGAAAGAACTTCGAAACTAAATGATTAAATATCAAATTCAGATTTTCTTCGGGCTTAGGCGCTGATCTCTCTGTTTATTTCCTCGATATCCAGTCGCATCGTGGACAGTCCAAGGCAATGCACTTGTCCTCAGCAAGGAGCTCTTTCACCGCTACGCTGAGCAGACCTTTGAATTACAAGTGTAGTGCTTTGAAGACGGATGTTTCAGCATCCGTAAGTGTCATGGAATGACACAATCCAAGATCCTGAAGTGCAGGATACCATTGATTTTGTTATTATGGGACTATGCCAAAAGAGCATACTGGTTCCCACAGACTCGACATCATGCTGATTTGTGGCACCAGAATGCATCAGCAAACCTGGATGGAGTAGGATTCCAGGGATGGGAAGTCTTAGGATTGGAACTTCGATATTTGCTGGTCAAGAACCATGGTTTTTCCATGGCTTTTCCCGGTGTCATTTTTCCATATTTTTCCCAACTGTTGACCAATCGAGGGATCGAGTGCCATGAATCATGAGCTGTGCAGCTCTCGCCAGCTTCTCAGGCACTTCAAGAGACAGAGGTGCTGAAGAAGCTGTTAAAGCGGAATGGCGGCTTTTGGTCCCTTGGAGGATTGGAGCGTGTACCCGAAGGCATCCTGCAAATATGCGGGGTTGAGGGAAAACTGGGTACCCCCCAATTCTAGGTGAATCATAGCGATAACAGGGGTAAGGTTGGTCAATTTGGCTCGTTATTTACACAGGTTCCCTGTCCGGGTTGCGGACATACCCTGCCATTTTTGGACACCCCCGGATCTGAAAGCGAGGTCGGCAACTGGCTCTCACACGCACCAGTGGAGTTTGCCAGATCGCAACAGGGTCCCCAGTGGCCCCAGGCGCGGTTCTCACGCCATTGGCGAAAATCATGTCCCAGACCATGCCTCCTGGATTTGGGTGTGGTACCTGAAAAGCCTGAAAAATGTGGATTTGATTTAACCCTCATGGATACTCTGATACTGCCCATTTATGACCAATTTAGTAATGGGGAAAATGATGATCAGGCATGGGATTTAGGGCAACCATATTTGCAGACACATCCGTTTACAAGATATTCGTTTCAGATGGCACTTGATTTCCCGGCTTTTCTCAAAGGTCCCACATTTCGGGTATGGGACTTCTGGAACAATCGATGGTTGCGGAGGCAAGATGCTGCTTTCGTGAGGAAATGAATATGGCTGTGCTGCTGTGCTTCACTGTAATTCATTTTGAAAATATTTTTGGCACTTGCACTGTTCGAGGACACTCCGAGCTGCCCGAATCGGTGCACTCTCGGTGTCCATCTTCGGTCTTGACCATAGCAGCTTTTCATCATCCCCTGGAATATCCTGGAATTATAAGTGCTTGGTCTTATCAGACCTGAGGTGTGGGTTACAGCACCGGTGCATCTGACGTTCTTGCAGATCCTACAGAGTTTCGGAGGAAGAAGGACCGAGCGTGAGCGTGAGTTCAAGTGGCAATGGATCAGTATTCAAGTAACAGCATTTGTAGGGGATGGAGATACATTTGCATACATTTACATACATTTGCATACATTTATTGCATACATCTACGTATATACATTTATTTAATACATCTACATACATTTCCCAGCTATTTTCATGTTCATCAAGGGTAATTATGTTGGTTTTGCAGTGTCCCCGTCCTCGGTTGCAACTTGTCATAATCTTTTCTTCGAGGCACTCAGCTTGCTGAAGAACATCCACGCCTTCGATGCAGAGGGCAAAGCCAGATTATGTGAAGAGACTTCAGAGGAAGTTCAGGTGGGCATTGGATGTGGCAGATGGTCATTTTGATTTAGTGACATGCGACATGGTGAAACTGAAGCAACCACTCTCAATCCATCAAGCCTCCCAAAGGCAGCACCAGCTTCCGAAAGTCCAGAAGTCCAGCTGCTACTCAGGCGGTTCGCCGTGTATTGCCTCGAGTCCTCAAAGCAGCACGTGCTCAGGTGGTTTGGGGCATCGGACTGTTGAAGATCAACAGATGGCAGCATCGCTTGTTAACGCATCCTATTGTTAGTTTCCAGGAGGTCAGTCCAAGCCCTTAGGTCCAAGCTACATCTGCAAGTATCTCATAATATCTCATATCTATTCTCTTCAGAAAATTCCAGCACTGCCCACCCAATTGGCATGCTGTATTCATGAAGAGACTTTCGAAATCCCTCTTCCGAATTCAGGTGCAGCGCTTTGGATCGTTTGAGTCCTTTTACACTGTTGTCAAATTGCAACTGTAGACATCCATGTTCGTTTTGTGTCCTCCAGACTCACTGGAGTACGTTTTCTTTCTTACGTTAGTGAGCTTTCCAATATATTCCAGTTCATCGTGGCAAGAGCCTGTGTTGGAAGGTTGGCATTCTCCAAGAAGAGATCCAAGACGCCATCAAGCAGCAAGGCCGTCACTGGAGAGCAGTGGATATGGGGATGAGTCAAAAGTCAATGAGTGGATATGGGGTGAACATCCATTTCTATCCCAGCTATTTTTGATGTTCACTGGCTTCATGCAGCTCAACCCAGCTATCATAGCTATCGACGTGCAGGGGAAGCATCCTATACTCAGCAACAAGACCTCGACTCTCTGAAGCGTGCGCGGAAGCGCCTGGAGAGGCGCCTTCTGGCACCAGGAGTGGCAATTCTTTTTGAAAGGGCTATGGGTCAAAATTAAAGACCCATCATAGAACCGCAGATTTTGCTTCATTTCCATATGTATATATAATTATATACATGTATATATATATATATGTATATATATATATATGTATATATGTATATATATATATGTATATATATATATATAATATCTGTATATATATATATATATGTAATTATATATAAATATATGTATATATATATATTTATAGTAGGAAACCATCCCTTTTACCGTAGCTAGCCTGAGACCCCCCAAAGCAATGCGCTGCCTTGCCTTCCTCAGTTGGTCGGACGATGGCTTCCTTCTGGCAGATGTCAACACACCCAATGCCTTTGTGGAACGCTTAGCTTGTGAAGCATTTGGGTAGGTCAAAACTTAATACTCATCATAGAACTGCAGATTTTAGTCTATGTTTAGTATATTAACTATCCAATTTTTTGGGGTACCCAATTCTGACCCACATCCATTTGCTGAGTATTTTTGAATCTGCGAAAAACCCCGCTGGAGCCCCCAGAGATCATCATGTGTCATCATGTGGCCTCCACATTGAGCACAAGGAGGCTTAGATCGTCCAAGATGTTCATTTGGAGCAATTAAACAACTGTACTGACTGGACCCCCAACACTTCGAGCCTCTTTGACTTTACATCAAAGTTCACCAAATGACGCTGACCTTCCTTTCACTTCCAAGGGAAATACAACAGCTACAGCGGTTTGCAGAGTCACTGAGGTGACACCAATGTTGCCCAGGACAATCTTTGTCCATCGTGGAATTTTCAGCAGCTCAGCTCCAACACAGATTTCACATATGGCTATGGATCAATACCTATACATACCATTTTTAGGGGGATGAACATCCATTTACCAGCTATTTTGATGTTCACCAGGGATAGGGTTTTGACCCATCCCCATATGGCCGCTGGACGATTCCCCATCTAGTTCCATGATTTTCCCAGTTAACATACTGACAGCTCTACCTTGCGTTTGAACGAACATAGGATAACCCCAAATCCATTGGTTTATAACGAAAGGTAGCCTAGGCTACTTGAGTTCAATGTACCTTAGTACTGGCGGCTGGGTCTGCCTCCAATCCCTGATTTTTCCTTGTTTAGTCATCGTTTTCCTTTAGGGGGGTGGGCGCCCTCCCCCATTCGATTCCTCCATGGTCCGTGAAATTTCTCTCGAGCTCTTCTCCCACTAGTTGACTCCAACCATTATTTCATGACCAGTTTCGTTTATTTCTCATGTTTCTTTGCGTCGTTGTTCCCATAGCACTCCTTCACAGACGTTGCTGGCTTCACAATTTCTTTACAATTTTGTATTTTCTGTCATATTATTTGTTCGGCAAGCCTCTTCTTCAGTTCCGTTTTTGATTCGATTTCTTTTAATGTCCCGTTGAATTTATCTCCTGCCAACAATTATTTGCACGATTCATCCCGATGATTTTGCAACATTGGCATGCCTACCTTTTCACATTTGATCCGTCTAAGAGTCTAAAATGGCGTTGCATTGGTGCAACGCTTCTCCCGACTTTTTTTGTTTCGCATCAAGTTTTCAAGTAGTTGTTTTTTTTTCTTTTAAACGTTTTTCATTGCGTTCGTGTGTCGCCAATTAGTTACTGCATTTCCCTTAGCGTCCTTTCAGTATGTTCTATGCCCGTTTGGAAACCAAGTCCACCAAACTTGAATTATGTCCACGCCAGATCCGCGCTTTATACAGCACAGGTAGGCTCCCACAATGACGCAGAAGCACAAGCCTAATTCTGCCAGCATGTTCAGCAACTTCTACCCCGCATATGGCCTGTGACAAAAAGCTTATAGAAAACGTATAGAAGGACAACATATGACTGTGAGCGGAAAGACTAGCATGTTTTTGTTACAATGTCGCCCCGTCCGAATTTGCATCTTCATCTTCATCTTCATCTTTTATCTTTTATCTGTTATCTGTTATCTTTTATCTTTTATCTTTTATCTTGATCATCATCATCATCATCATCACCACCAGCACCATCTTCTTCATCATCATCACCACCAGCATCACCACCAGCATCACCACCAGCATCACCACCAGCATCACCACCATCATCACCACCAGCATCACCACCAGCATCACCACCAGCATCACCATCATCATCACCATCCTCCTCCTCATCCTCATGCACATCCTCACCCTCATGCTCCTCCTCCTCCTCCTCCTCCTCATCCTCATCCTCATCCTCATCATCATCGTCGTCGTCGTCGTCATCATCATCATCATCATCGTCATCATCATCATCATCACCACCATCACCATCACCATCACCATCACCACCACCACCACCACCATAATAATAATAAAATAATAATAATAACAATAATAATAACAACAATAACAACCATCATCATCATCATCGTCGTCGTCATCATCATCATCACCACCATCACCATCACCATCACCATCACCACCACCACCACCATAATAATAATAAAATAATAATAATAACAATAATAATAACAACAATAACAACCATCATCATCATCATCGTCGTCGTCGTCGTCATCATCATCATCATCGTCATCATCACCATCATCATCATCACCACCATTTTCATCTTCATTTTGATCATTATCCTCATCTTCATCGCAAGACTGTTGGACACATCACAATACCCACCTTGTGCAAAAGAAACACAAGACATGGCATACTTTGTGCCAGCAAAACACGGCATTGGAAGATGTACATTGCGTAGCGGCGGGTCTCGGGTAACGATTTTTTTTGTCACACTAAATCGGAGAAGATCATTTTGCTCAGGTGTTTCTCGGTGAGTTGAAATGCCATATGCCCACACTGAAACATTCAGAATTGTGCACTTTAGATTGATGAAATACCTCCCTTTCGTCCACCCTATCCATCTCAAGTCCTCATTTTCCCATAAACTGTGGGATTTCCTGGTCATTTGGCGGTGTTTTTGTCCAGGAATACATCGATTGGCCGAGCCAGAGGCCATCAGTGAAACGCCAATGCCAGTGCTAGTGATGGCCAATGAAGAAAATGAGGATTTTTTCAGCCAGAAAAATTGGGATTTTACATGATTTCACCATGTTTCATTGGCTTCAATTGGGATCAATTGGCTTCATTGGGATTGGGATTCCAGCATAACGCAGAAACGTGGGGATTTCATCATTGAACATGTGTCAACTGGTGGCAGGCGCTGCATGCTGGAGCAGAGGTTTTCGTCCTGCAGGATGGTTGGAAAAAGGCCCAAGAACACAGTTGCAGCTTGCGAAGGGCTTGGGGCTTCGCATGCAGATTTTTTCTGGGGAAACTCACCCAAATCTCATGGTTTGTCATCATTATCTCTATTCAATAACCATAAATTGCTATTCAACAACCATAAATTGGGGGTAAATCATGGTAAATCATGGTAAATCATGGTAATTTCTACATGATTTCAGGTCCTGCAGCCATTTTTCGGATGAACGGCACCGGGGCACCGGCCAGGCCAAGCTTGTCTCCGAGAGTCAGGAACAATGGTCGGCTCTCTTGGGAGATTCTCTGGGAGAGGATTCCGAGACCATCACAGTGAAGAAGGAGGCACATCTGGGAATTCCTACCTTTGGTCATTTGTTTCATGTGAATATTGTGAATAAGCCATGAAAGTAGAGTATATACATGATTTTTGAAAAACATCTAGGCATATTTTGGTGGCTAAAAATTGGATTACCAGAGGGTAAACAGTACTATACTACACTCATATACAACCTGTTGTTGATGTTCTCGCTTAACCACTTGTCCTTGGATTTGATCCGATTCAGTTTTTGCAGGATGTGAGAATTCTGCAGACGCGGAACCTGGTGGAGAACGATGAACAGAGCTGGTCTCAATATTTTCAACGACCATTTTGTTTTTTTGATTCCTTTTTCACCTGAATTCTGTTGTGCAACTGCCAAGCAAGTGCATGGCAGTTGAGGCTTGCGATGCTTTTGAGCCATGAACTGGCGCATGCAGTCGACAACCCAGAACTCGTTCGCCAGCACGTTCGCCAGAGCCGCAGAGCCTGCGCGAGGTTCACGACCATGGCTACGAGAGTTTGAACATTTTGACCACGGCCTACTCGTCCAGATGCCCAGAGAAGCGCCCATAGAAGTCCATGTTGATGTCGCCAGCTTTCGCGTCCAACTTCATGTTTTCCAGATTTGGATGTCAATTTGAGGCTGGAGCTTGTGTGGTAGCCTCGGTATTGCGTCGCAGTCATACAGCTCGCTTTTTTCCCTTGGCTTCACGTCATGGAGATTCTATGCTTGACACTCAAAGAAAGGCTTGACCCCGAGAATATGCCAATTGAGATTAGCAAGTGGAAAGGTCCGCATTCTTCATTGCGTCAATACCTTGGGGACACTAGAACACATTCCCCGACTCGCACGGTATATCTGAGTGTGTTTTGCCATGAGTGGGTCGCCCAGTTTCCATCCCATTGGTGTCACAAAGTGAGGTTGCTGAGTGTTTTGGACCCCACTGGCATGCTCGAATTCCTCTTGGAGATTGCTGCTGGCGCCATTGCCAGGCCCTAGAGATGGGCTTCAGAAACGCAAGACCATCATGCACTATATAAAATATATTCCCATTATATATATATATAATAAAATATATATATAATATATATATAATAATATATATATAATAATATATTTATATAATATAATATAATATACTATAATATAATATATTATAATATAATATAATATAATAATGATATAAAATAAAATAATATAATATAATACAATATAATATCATATATATATAATATAATATAATATAATATAATATCATATAATATAATATAATATAATATGATATAATATGATATAATATTATATATATAATATTATATATAATATAATACATATCATACAATCATGTTTTCTGAAAGAGGTATGCCTTTGTCCTACCTTTGGGTCGTTGTGACGAGATGGAGGCACTGGCCCCTTTAATTACGCTCCTTAAAGATGGAGTTGCGCATCAGTTTCTTATTGGCCGACTCCAGGCGGACGCAACAGGCTTGAAGATCTGTGCTTTGGCCGGTTATGATCCTCGTTTGGCCACCAAATTCCTGGACCGCTTCGCTCTCTTCGAGGCTTTGGAAATGTTTGGAACCAGCTTTGTTCACTTTGTTCCCTTGGTCCACGTTGTCGGATCCAGGGCTACACAGGTCCAACGTGGACGAGCACTCACCCTGCCACGGAGGCGGTCTTTCAAAAACTTTCTTGTGCTTTTGATGGTTTGTTTTGGATTGTTTTGGACTATTTTGGCATGTTGGTATCTCCGAGTATCTCCTTTTGGAGCCGTGTTCCCTTGATGTCTTTGATGCTTGAGGCACGCATCAAGGCATTGAAGGATGCGGAGGCAGATGCAGTGGAACGCTTCCAGCAGCACAAGGCATGGGTCAGGGGGAGTGCTGGCTGGCCTTGGCTGGTGTGGCTGCGCCCAGGAGAAGCAGGCGCCCTAGAGCCAGAAGCAGATGGAGGCAGCACATCGCCAAGGAGTAGTAGGGGAAGAAGCCGACACCAGGGCAAGGCAGGGTGTGGGCACATTTCTCGAATTCTCTCACCATACCCAAGATTCGGATGAGTGATTCTGTTGAGCCTGTTTCTGTTCTGCCTGCCCACTTTACCCTCGTTCTTCATGAAGGTCGAGAAAAGTTTTTTTTTTCATTCTTTTGCAGAGAGAACGATCTGTCTTCCAAAGAGCAACATCAATACCTACTGTATGACATCTTGTGATTTTTAAGAACAAATCAGAACAATATTCTCAATTTAATTATACTTGATTTATCTGGTGCTTGCGCCTCACTTCCAAGAAGTGCTTGCCAGGCCAGGATGAGAGCTTGACAGGGGTGGCTTTGTTGGAGGCAATGGTTTGTCGTGGCCGCAGTGGCATTTGGTTTTTGTTCAACGCCTAAAGTCATTCTTCGAGCCAAAGACTGCACTCATCGGACGTGATTGAGGTAGATTCTGAACCTCGCGTACTGCGTCATCGATCCTCATCGCGGTTGCAGGGCCAGCGTGGCCAGCAAAGCTGACCACCACCCGCAGAGACACTTGCCATTCAGCAGCTTCATTGCCTGCACCGATGCAACTGCAGCGGAAAAAATGTGGCGGGATTTGCCGAGGGATCTAAGAGACAGAAACGGGTAGTATATGGTAGTACGGCAAACATTCCAAGGAGCATTGGCTCATTTTTTAAGCCGTAGTGTAGATAAGGGATACCTGACACTGACACCGAGTCTGTTGTTTGAGTTGAAATTGATTGAAACGCTGAGCAAATCATAAATAATCAGTGGGCTTTTGGATAGAATCTGAATCCGAAGCTTTATTGGCTCACCCTTTGCACGGTCCCCTGTGCGAAGGACAGGGCGCAAGTCGAAGATCACAGGCCTTCATAGCCACATGGAGTCATGCCAAGATATGCACCATCTCCATCCATCAGTTGCCTACGTTTGTATGAGTTTATCATAAAGATCATAAAGAGGCTGAGTTTTTCAAGCCTTCCTGCATTGTGGATGATTCATTAACTATTGTAATGTACTTCCTTTGCAAATGGTGGACAGGTCTCATTCGAAGCCTACATGTTGAAAAGGTTTGGAGTTGTTTCAATGTTGTTTCTTTGTTTGTGCAAATATGGAAGGATTCAAGAGCGCTTGCAAAATGGATGTAGTGATGACGAAATTTCTCCATTCCGGTGAGGATTAGCTACTGGTTTGTCTATGCCAGCGAAAGAAGTGTTTCAAGCCGATGACTGCTGCTCGGAGCAAGGATTGGAATCAGACCTCGCATCAGGGTGTTCTTCGTTTCTTCAAATTTCCAGCGTGCAAATGTGCTGCAGTGACATTCCAGTGGATTCGGAATCTCAAGACTTTTCCTCGGTGCTCACTTTGCGTTTTTGTTGGAGCTAAGGAATCATTAAAAGAGGGAACGCCGCGAGAAGTAGGGAACTCTTTAGTTCATGCAGGGACCGCGGCGATTACAACACCACGAGGAGTAGGTCCGATGCTCGCATGAAGACAAACGGTCCAAAGTGATCCATGGGGCCTCGTTGCAAACCACGTAGAGGGGGACCCATCTTTCCCATTTCTTTTGATTGCAGATGATTGTAATTTACTATTTATTATATATATACACACTATATACTGTATCTATACACAGCATGTTCATTACCATCAAAAATATATAATTAGCTCAAAAGATTCTGATATTTGAATATATTCAACAGATTCTCAATACCTTTCTGCCACAGAAATGTTTTGCTCCAGTATCATCCAGGATAGCATTACCTCTTTGCAGCGTTGGCAGGTCTTTTTTTCATTTTTTTCCTCTTCCTACAATTTTTCCTAGTCCCTACTCAAGTCATTTCCGAAATGACTATACTGACTATACACAGATTGAGATCGGGATTCAGCAATGAAACTCCAAGGAGTTAGAGCTCTCTGTCTCTGTTAACGGGCGCTTCTAACGTCGTTTCGAGGAATTTCACACCTCGGGGTCCCAATCCATCTCCACGGGAGCCTCAGCAGCGATGTGGACCTCAGGTGATGTGGGCTTTTTGGTGAGTGCGAAACACATTCAACATATTCAACCACTGAAAATCTCCAAGTTTCAGGAGGAACATCACTGAATCCCAAAAAAACATAAAAAAACATTGCCACATATAGCTGTGCTACTACAATATCAGCAGAAGGGCAACTTTTGATGAACTAGCCAGGGTATCCCAGGCTTCATATTTGAGTGAAAGTTTTGCCTGGACGGTTGTGCCGAGACCCAATCGACATATACCTCAAGCGGGCGACCAAACACCTTCCGCCAAACTGCTGCTCTGGGATTTCTGGTTGCTTGGCGGAAGCATCTACCAGTGTTTCCGTCGGTTAGTTTTGGGTGTGTCCTAAAAGAGCCAGAAAGAGGCAAGTGCAGAGTTTTCATCAAGTGCATGGTGTGAGTTTTCAATGTTTTCAGTTCGTGTCTCTTGGAATCAATTTGGAACCTGTATCTTGCCATGACTTAGGATGAAAAATTGCACATCCAGGCGGAGTCTTGGCAGCGGTTGTTTTAAAGGGACACCCTAGTATCCCTAGTCAAAGACAAGTGGATTCAAACCAATCTATCGCTAGTGTCAAGAGGTCCTATGAGGGTTGGTTCTCCACTGCACTCAGGAAAGCGACCGACCAGGTACGAGGGACTTGCTATACAGAGGTGTGAGTGCAGATGGACATGGGCGCAGCTCGCCACACAAGACAGCGTTGGAAGGTTTGCGTCTTGACATGTCTTGACGTTTTTGTTGTACATACAGAAGACACATCAGAAAGTGGCAAACGAGCTGAGGCAAAGAATATCTACAAAGACGCACTAGGTATGATATCCATGAACGATATCAACAGCCTCAGACAGAGGCACAGCTGATGAGCTTGAGCAACTTGGTTTGGCAACCTGCGAGTTATATGGGTGAAAAGTCCGTGGGTGAAAAGCTTGTGGGTAAAAAGCGTGTGGGTGAAAAGTGTGTGGGTGAAAAGTCTGTGGGTGAAAAGCTTGTGGGTAAAAAATGTGTGGGTAAAAAGTTTGTGGGTGAAAAGTCCGTGGGTGAAAAGCTTGTGGGTAAAAAGCGTGTGGGTGAAAAGTGTGTGGGTGAAAAGTCTGTGGGTGAAAAGCTTGTGGGTAAAAAATGTGTGGGTAAAAAGTTTGTGGGTGAAAGTCTGTGGGTGAAAAGTATATTAGTGAAAAGTCTGTGGGTGAAAAGTCTGTGGGTGATAAGTCTGTGGGTGATAAGTCTGTTGGTGAAAAGTCTGTGGGTGACAAGTCTGTGGGTGAAAAGTCTGTGGGTTAAAAGCCTGTGGGTGTACCGTATATGGGTGAAAGTCTGCGGGTGAAAAGTCTGCGCGTGAAAAGTCTGTGGGTGAAAAGTATATGGGTGCAAAGTCTGTGGGTGAAAAGTATATGGGTGAAAGTCTGTGGGTGAGTAGATTGTGGGTGTAGATGGGATGCTCGCTTTCGTTCTGCTTTTCTCAGGTTTGATGAAAGTGAACCGAGCAGGCAAAAGACAAGCGGAGGTTTCCTAAGTCATGGGTGTATCCCCAAATCATCAAAGTCATTAGAGCGTTCTAGTATTGAAACTCATGGTGACTTGGGGATCCCCCATTTCAATATACCCCCAAATCCAATTTCTTGAGCCAACATGAGGCTTGCGAATGAACCCTTCTGCTTTGCGTCCACCTTCCTTTGGCAAGAAACCGATCATTGCCAATTCGTAGCTTGGTGAAACGCTTTGTTACGATCATTGCCAATTTTTTAGCTTGGTGAAACACTTTGTTTGTTTTTCTGGATTGGACAGGGTTCTCTTCATGTCGTTTCACCCTCAGATACAACATACAGCGCTGATGGACTGTCGCAAACTCCGAAAAAACCAACTGCAGGTTCTACCGAACACGCGGTGCTGGGAGCTTCAAAGAAGCAACTGCAGATTTTTGAGTGTGCAGTGAGACCAGCTTGCAATCAGATTTGTCGTTAGCGGATATTAGCGGTGATGCCATTTGGTGGTCAACTTTCATCAACTTTCCACAATCCAACATCGGCAGATGAAAGCTGTGAAACGGCTGGATTGCATTAGTTAGTTGGATGGCTCGATTCAGTTCCCAAAGGATGCCTTTGCCAAAGGCAAACTTAGCCTCTTTGGACCTGGATATTTTACGAAGCTACGAACCTGCAAAACAAGAAGAACAAGTTGCATGCGTAACCTACTCCCCTCTCAAGTTGATTTTGCACTGCGCATATTTGGTGAACACGGTGACGTCGCACTCTTGCATTTTCCCTGAACGGTTTCCCACCCGGCGGGATGTTTAACGAATCTGACTTTGCAAGACCACCGCAAACTGACATGTAACATGATGTTCTTTAAATCCAGGAGCTGGACACCAATGTATTTTCAACACATTTATTCTTCGCTGTATTATACGTATACATATAACATTTATATAACTACATATTGTGAAGCAGTCAATTTATAGTCAATTTCAACATACGTATTTCAACATGTTTCTTTGTGCGCACCATACATTTCATGTTTGTCATGTTGCGACAATATTAATTTGACAGCAGTGCGTTCCGGCGGCGTGCACGAACATTTGATAACTCATAACAATTTCAAAGACTGTCCGTGTGGTTGTCGGCACTGCTATGGTTGATTATGTAAATGCGATTTGCACGTTCAAAAAAAGAAGAACATACTCGTATTGGGTTGCGGTTCTGCTGCAACTGTTTCAAGCAGTACAGATTTTGAATGTAAACATTGTGCACAGGAACCACATTTTGGCAAACACCAGTTTACGAATCAGGTTTTGCATGTTGTTTAGTTTTTACACCCTGCGGCCATTGCCTTTCAAACAGGAAGCACGGGCTTTGAGAGGTTTCAATTCAATACGTCCTGTAAACATGCCGATTCGCGTGGGTTTTTTGATCGGGAAGGCCCGACTGGTAGGTGAGTTCAGAATGCATTGAATGCATGATGTGTTGCCAATGATTTGAAGGACACCGACCTGGTGGAAGATGCAAAGTACGTGGGAAATGCGTCATTTCTGAAGGACATGCCTGACAAGCTCTTTGACGCCAACATGCTGCATGATTTGCTTTTGTGTGATTTACCAATGCTTCAATTTTGATCAATTTGGTCTAGAGAGTCTAGAACATCATACTTATTTTCCTGGCACTGTACCAAGGTACCGTGTGGACCCTGAGAGTAAGGCCCGTTGTTGGCTTTTGTCGCGGTTTTGAACCAATTGATTCCACGGAATATATGCATGTGTCCGGAGGAATACCTGAAGGATTGCGAAGAGGGCACCAAAGGGTTTGCACATGCCGATGTGTCCCAGCCGGAAATCAATTTCCAGTGCTTTTTGCAAGTGAATTGTGAACGTGCATCAATACATATATGACGTGGTTACGTGGGAATTGTGTTCCGCTTTGTTTGCCCAGGTTGCAATTCCCTGGTTCATGCACAAGCACCACGAAGACATCGAGGCCTCCAATGGTCCATTGGCAGCAACTGCAGCATTCATTTCTCGTGATTTTTTTGTATGTTACAAATCGGTGCAACGGCTCAAGAGTTTGTGTTCAACACTGATGGAATCCAGCTCCAACTGTGGACATCCAGCTTCGAAATTTGCTTACACTGCATGGTGTTGGAATTGTGGATTTTCAGTAAAAAAAACATAAAACCATCAGAAGTCTACAGTCTTTGGGGATTTTTTGTGAAAGAGGGATCGGCGTGTTTTCGATGTCTTCGCGGCTTCGCAACCCTTTTGCTGCGGCTTGGCCAAACATTGCCAACACAATCAACTCATTAGAATCTCTTCCAACAAGGAAAAAGGAAACAAAAGGCTTTGGGAGGAATGAACCTGGGAGCTCCAAATGGCAACTCTGTGGGAGGTGTTGCTCATTCGCAATCTTGGGCACTCCGTTTGTCAAAAGAAGTGTATTGCGGAGAAGCGTCGCTGTCCCAGAAAGTGATGGTACCCTAGGAGTTCCTGAAAGGTATTCTTCAGAGGACTGGTCTGAGCATATTCGCAACTTTCCTTTCTCGGTCATCCTGAAGCGAATCAGATCTCACCTTGCTTTCAATGCCCTTTTTGCGCTTTGCATCCACGTCTTCAACTTTTTTACTGGACTTGTTCGTCCTCCACCCTTAGCACTCCTGAGTGCTTGTTCTACAGCCTTGGGACTTCTACTTGTCTTCCGGACCACAGCAGCGTACGAAAGGTGGTGTGCTGGCTATCGGTGTGTCCGAGAAACCAAGCAGCACTTACAACAGCTGCGACGTCTTGCTCGACTCTGGATGTCTGAAGAAGACTTGGAGTGGATGGATGGGCAGCTGGCAACCTTTCCAGCATATCTTGGCACCTTTTTAGGTGGTGGAGTTGGTGCTCGTGGAAAATCTTGGGCACTTTTGGGCGAAATGGAGAGAGATCCACGTGACATTTTAGTCACTTGCGGAGAAGGCATCTACAAATGTCTTCGGCCTGACTCGCCCACCTCAGCTCTGTATGTTGAGGCGGGAGCTTTGTGGAGAAATTTCATTTGTTCACCATGTAAAATCATGCAACATATCCACTTAATATCACCTTTCAGCCCCAAAAAAAGACCGTTTTGTCAGTGATTTTTGGTCGCAGAACTGGTCGCATTTGGTCGGCCGGAAAAACTGACCTTGGCTCACCAGGATCGGATGCAAGGTCATATCACGGGAGCCTTAAGCAGCATCGAAGAAATGGCGCAGATTGTGACCGTTCCGGTCACGCACTGAGCGCGTCAGTATGCGGCGGCTATGCCGCGTGCTGCCCAGTGAAGATTTGAAAAAAGGGATGTTGAAAAGCAGTGACATACCAGCTGATTAATCAATTTTTGGGATTACCATTATGCTGTATTATTCTGTGTATACTTCATATACTAGTCATACACTGTATTCTAATGTTGGAAACAGCCATCAATGTGATGCGCCAAACAATGCCTGACGCGAGTGTTTTTTTTCTGCTCAGGTCTCACAGGAATATTCCAGACATACATCCCGCTTTCTGTGTCTTGACGAAACAGCGGAAGTTGAAGATATGGAAGTGGAGCTACTGAAAGGTACTGAAAGGTACTGAAAGGTACTGAAAGGTACTGAAAGTTGAGGTGTGTTTTGCTTTCCATTAATTCTACAAATGGTGTAAATAGGCAATGTGTTCCTTCCTCAGACAGCAGCATTTGAAACAATCCTCCTGACATCAAAGCAAATGATATTACTGTTGCTTGCAACGATTTGAGTGTTTTGGGTTTGCGATGTCAGTTGCGTTGTTGCATCCTTTTTTCACCACACAGCTCTGTGAGGACTGTATATGTTTTGATTTTGCCCTTCGCCCTTATCGAGCTTGGGCATTTGATGCCTGTTGCTGTCACTGTGACAGCATGGGCGCTACTATCGATTGAGGACGGACAGTTGCTGGACATGTCTGAAACCATTGCGTTTGTTCAGTCAACATCAAGATTGCAAGACCAGCCAGCTATACAAGTCGTAGATGTGCTTGCGCAAACTGGTTCTGACACAGTGCATCGGAGTCAGATGATGGTGAGCTAAAGCAAGGCTAGTCTAGTTAATCTAGTTGCATCATTGAATTCTTTTGCTATTTGCAGAGGCTTGAAGGTTGTTTGGCCCCTGCTTCTCTCTTGTTCGAGGAAATCCCATCTTTGGATCGGGTCCCATCGGGTCCCATTGTTCATGAGGAGATTGGGCATACCTTGGAGGATCCCTTCAACAGCCCAACTCAGCGGCTCGATCTGACAGCACATATGGCACACATGGCACCTGAATGCACCTGATTTGTTTCTTTATCTTTTGAAACAACAAACAACTGACATCCAGTTTCTGGTTTCTACATTCTACATGTTTTTTTTGGATGGATCACTTGCTGGCTTCTTTGATTCTGCATATCGCCTCCGGATTGAGATTGGGGTCCAAGGCCTTTAAATGTGCAAGCTTATTTGGAGCAGCCCCTGGGATTCGAGCCGCTGATGGAAGCTCAGCGCCCCTTTGAAACCGTACCAGAGGATGATCTCCCACCGTCTTCTGAGATCCCAGAGGCCAATGATGCCACTGATCTCAAGGAGCAAAGGATTGATGATGACTGATCACCAAGACTCCTTGCTTCGTTATGTCGTCAAGAGAGTCTTTGCTGTACAAAGCGAGAGATTTTCCGGAGTTCTGAGGAAGCCTCTACTAGCGCTCGAAACACAGACAAGCGATGTCCCAGCTGAAAAATGATGGGCGATCACAACTTGGCAAAAAACCATGGGATGTGCAGCTGCGTGACCTAACTCTGCAGTGCACTATGAATCCAGGTGGATATGATCTTTCCAGATGAGATTTCGACCCAGCGCCTCTCAGCTCGTTTACTAAACGTGCGTTTGCGCGGCTGTGAGATTGGTGCATTGAATACATTCCAAAATTTTCAAATCCAGATATATCCAGATCATAGATGGAGCTCTTCAATGGATACGGCCTTTTGGCAAAGCGTTTTGTTTTCCTAGTTTCCAGAGGATTAAGGCCAGTTGGAACACAACCGAATTTGTGCGACTTTCCCGAAGCACGCTCTTAAGGTTTGAAGTCAAATGTTTGCAACTTCGTGATCGGATACGATGCTCCTCAGCTAAGTTTGACGATTGAACATCTCAGTCAGATTCTGGGCTTTGTTCCAAGGTGATCAACACCATGTTCGAAAACGAAGAAAGGCGGGAATCCTTGGAATTGTGGTGTCACTTCAAAAAGGTGCAAAGCGTGAGGAGTGAGTCATCCGGAGCACCCAGGCAGAAATCTGTCACCAAAGCTTTCAAGCAGTGTGGGAACATCATGCCAAGCTGGAAAGTGCAGGACTGACACCCGGGAAGACTGTGGGTCATTTCTGCTATCCACCCTGAAAGTCTGAGAGTGTGGGCAGTGTGGGCATCTTGTTGAGGACTTCATCTACATCAAGTCCAAGTACATGAATGCCTGCTTGAAGGCAAGCTGAGAGCAAGTAGCAGCAATGAAAGTTGATAAAAATTCAGGTTTCCTTAGACTCATCCAAGTTACGAATCATTTTTCATGCTGAAATCAATGGTGCTGCTTGGGGGTCCCCCCTTTTTTTGGACCCTGGAAACGAATTGCAATGCCAAGGCGGGAATCCCCATGGCTCCCACCATTTTTGCCTTCAAGGGCAAGCGAACCCCTGCGAAGCTCCTTAAGGAGATCAAGGTGCGGATCAGCTGGTGGAAAAACCATCACTTTTTGCTTGGAGAATCTTGGATAGTTGTTTTGCATGACCCCCCATATACAGGGTGATCTTTAGAGAGGAAACATCAGAAAGCCTGTCTGACTGTGATCCGAGGCAAGGGGCTGGAAAAGCTTCGTCATGAAGCAATCCATGATGGCATTTTCATTGGGATTCTGTGGCTAGGCAGCAGTCAATTTAAACCAGGGGGTGTTCTGGCAGTCACCTTGAACATTTTTTATAAAATTCGAAGTTTTCCCACCTTTTCAATTTTTTGCACGTTGGGAAGCATTTCTTGTACATGACTGACTTTGATAGAAGCAAGCGAGGCAAATTGTCCGTCGAGGAGTGCGAGAAGGACGAAACCAATCTCGAACTGTACTCCTTTGACACACATGATTTGAGTGCTGTGTCCCAGAACATGTGATGCATTGTGACAGGACCCTTCGATTCTGAAGAAGTACTTCAAAGAATACGCTGAGTGTCCTGAGTATGTGGTACAGGCCAGTGTTTCTCAAGGTTTCTGCGTTAACAAGCTGCAGATCACCGGCCGATGTTGCAGGAGTGCATTGATGGCTTTACTCGAAATTGGGAGACTCGCGTTTTCTGGTTCAATGGTGAGTTTCTGCAGCTCGGCCTGCAGAGTTCACAGAGATCTGGACTTGTGGACTTGTTGTTATATGTTGTCATCTTTGCCCAGGTATGCAATTGCCAACAAGGCAGCCGTTTCAACAGAGGACTGCGTGCATGGGACAGCCTTGCAATTGTGACGTGGCCAAAAGTGCCAGAGTTTCTGCTCTTTCCCAGGATGGCACAGAGGTCATTGTCACAGGCCTGCAACAGGCCTTCCGCGACGACAGCAGGCATTTTGTGGGATTTTGTGAGCAGGTGATGACATCCCAGAGGAGTTCCTTGAGAACGCGAAACGGATTGGGAAGGAAGCCCTCAAGGCCGGTGGCCTCCGGTGACCTTTAGGGCCCAGTAAAAACCAGGTTTTTATCGCGTCGGACTGGCAGGTTTTGCCCCAGTTGACAGCTCCTAGTGGAGAGTCCATTCCAATGAGTCCTGACTGAAAATTGGTGCTGCTTAAATTGGACGATTTTGGACGACTTCTGGGACGGTGAACTTCGGAATCTCAGGACCCTGATCCGAACTGATATTGGTTGCTCCGATAGCCAGGTCTTCGATAAGGACGGATGAATGTGACATTCGCATACGTTAGCATACGTTAGCCATATTAGCCTCAGGCGAAGCTGGTGCTTTTCATTTGCTTCCAGGACACGAAGTGGAACCCCAACAGCCGGACCTTCTTTTTGAATGAGATCGAGTGCCCACTGAAACCACTGCCAACTGCTAGACTTCTGACATCTTCTGACATTTTGAAGATGGAAAAAAGCTGGAAGTTTGTTGGTTGAACCAGGTACGGTGGAACCACCTATTTCATCCGACACCTCAAAGAAGATTTTGTGCCAAAGCTCTTGGTCTGCATGGTTTAAGGATGTTTAAGGATGTTTAAGGATGTTTAAGGATGTTTAAGGATGTTTAAGGGCTTGAACAAATGTTGGCTTCACACTGTGGCATAAGTTCTGGCGGGTTTTTCAGGCAGGACTTGGGGAGTGGCTTTGACTCTGTCAGTGGTGTGGTGAAGTTCTGCAGCGTTTTTTTGGTGTTTGTTGCCAAGATGCAGCTTGAAGTCAGGTGGGCTGACTTGTATGCCAACAAAGCCCGTGAGATTGCGGCCCTTCAGAAGGAGGAAGCCATTGAGGAGCCCCAAAAGAAGCGGCCTCGAACAGGCGCTGCAAGGTGTTTTTTCACATTCCAAGGATTCCAAGAGAACTGGAAAGTGTGGAAGATATTGGAAGGTGACCACAAGTTCGTGATCATTTGGGAATCACAAGATACAATATGAATCAATATGATAATGATACAGATGATACAGCAAGATGTTGCATCCACCTGGTTTGTGCAGATGGTGCTTGTGCGCCAATGTTGAATCCACACCACAGGTTGTCTCATCTCAGTTGCTGTTAAGAGTGCTTTTGATATTGTGCCTAGTTGTGGTAACGATTCATTTTTTTTTCTACAATTCGGTTAAAAGCTATGTTTTCCTGTGATGTGGGAGGATGATTTGGCTATGGTATAATTCTATCATAATTTGTCAAATCTAAGGTTGTCTTTGGTTTTGACGAAGATGAAAGTAGACCCCTGTTTGGACAGACCTCGGGATTTGGCAGTCGGAGCTTTCATGATGTGTGAGGCACTATGAAAAAGCCAGCCTCAGCAAAGGCTAGCGCAGCAGGCCGCTCGAAGTGATGCGTGCCTTGTAGCCTTTTCCTTTGCCTGTGGAAATCGTTTTGTGTTTTTTCACGAGAAATTGAATCTCAATCTTCTCAATCTCACTTTGCTCAGAGACATTGACGCTTTTATGGGGTCAAGGAACCTTCGTCCACTGTGGCGCAGGTGCCTGACTTCCCGTGCGTTGACCGAACTCTTGAGCGAAGCATCCAAACGGTCCAGAGAACAACCAGACACCACACACCTCTGACACCTCACCTGACAAAACCAGTTGCGGCTCTTTGTTGTTCGCTGAAAAAAAACTGGCAGATGTTTCCAGTGTCAGTGACTGCTCACAGAACCTCGGAGGACGATTGCAGGATGCTTCCCTTTTGAAGGGGTTGGCAGCATTGCTGCAACGTAGGGCTGTCAGCAGCCCTCGGGTTCACAGGTCCACCTAAGAGACCTAGAACACTTTGCCGAGGGGTTCCATCGGCCAAAGTGCTCTTGACAAAAAGAAATGCCTGCCATTCGCTGATCACTGGCACTGGAGGAGTTTTGCTGTTCATCCGACGATTGATCCGCGAAATTCCGCGAATGTCGCCAGTCTGGCTTGATCAGCTCTGGGATGGTGACAGGAAAATTCTGCCAAGAAAAAGATCTTGAAACATGAACTTCAAGGAGGCATCATTGTCTTGAGTGGATATGACAGTCAGGAAACATACCATGAGATTGATTCGCGCATCAAAAAGAAATAGCGTCCACATATCTGAACTAGTTATAGCAAGTTGCGTAGAAAAGCCTAACATGGACACTGCAAGGTCGTGGTTGCCTCAAAGTGAATTGTATTCATGCCAACTTGGGCAAACAGGACTGCGATTTAGACATGTGGCTCTTTGACAATAGGTGGTTCAGGTCATTATAGGACGGCTAATTTCCCTATTTTATTCCCTTACATTCTTCTCTATGATTCTGCATCAGCGTCATTCCGTGTCTATCATAGTATACGTACAATATATATATACACAATATATTATATAATTATATATATATATATAAATTATTATAATACAGTATAATGAATAACATGTGTATTTATATAATATATACATATACATACACAGAGAGAAAAATATATAAAGTATGAACATGGGAATAATATACAGTTCTGAGGCTTGGAAGCACAAGCTCAGCGTCTATGCCACCAGCTTAGACCGTTGCTGTGTAAGCTGGGGGTTATTCTTATGGCTCCCATACCCTCTGGTAAACTAACAGTTTGCTATGGAAAATCACCATTTTTCATGGGAAAATCCACTATAAATGGGCATTTTCAATAGCTATGCAACAAATTACCAGAGGGTATTCTTATGGGTCCCATAATTGTTGGGCAAACCTGTGAAGGCCCAACATACTGGGCGTTGGCGCCACGCAGCTCCCAGAAAATGCTCGATGGGTGGCGGCTCGCCGAAACCTCAGCGATGGCAGCGACAACAGTGAAATCTTACCAAGATAATAGTGGTATATACTTCATACATACAGTAAATTACAGTAGCCTCTGGTTATTTTTAGCGGTTTGCGAACTGGACAAATCACCACTTTTACAAACGGCAAATCATCATTTTTTGCATGTACACGGGCCATGGCTTGCACAAACTGTTAAACAACCAGAGGCTACTTCCCCACTTTTGGGGGGATGCTATCACGGTGACTAGAGCTGCGCATGTTTTGCTTTTGAGGTGGGACTGGATGTTATCATTTCCTCAACTCGGAGCATGTCATGCACGACCAGCGGCATGCAGCCGGAAGCTCAGCTTTGCAAGCTGCTGGAGAAGGAACCTTTGGTTTTGACTGAAAAACTAGTGGAAAAACCTCCAATTCCAACGGATTCTCATCATTTTGTTGATGATCTTTTTTAGCAATTTGGGGGTATGTCTATGTACTGTAAATCTCCCAATTTTTGCAGAAAGTCAAAGTCAAATCGATGATTTTTGGAGCCGCGAGGCCGCGCAAACGGTGATGTGGAAGCAGAGACGGCAGCTTCAGGTTGGAAGGGATGGCCCACGACATCTAGACATCGGATCCACGGGGAAAGAGTTGACTTGTATAGTTCTATCATGTATTTGTTATGATGTATTCATCGTGTATTTATTATGTATTGAACATACGTATATATTCGTAATATAATCGTAATATAATTGTATATAATTATATATATAGTTATATATGATTATATATAGTTATATATGATTATATATAGTTACAGTATATATGATTATATATAGTTATATAAGATTATATATAGTTATATATGATTACATATAATATAATATATACAATATAATATATATATATATATAGTAATATATATATAATATGATATCTAATATATTTATGATTCATATATAATATATATAGTCTCTCTCTCTCTATATATATATTATAATATACATATAATATATCATAATATACATATTATATATTATATATACACACATAACGACACTGATTCATTTTGTGTTTTGGCCTCTTTCATCTTTATTTTCTGTCTGTGAACTGTAAGACGCTCTTTTTGTCTCCTGCCAGGAAGAAAGTCAGCGCCGCAGCTTGAGACTCTTGGATCACATCACCGACGAGCAGTTGGCGACTGAGAAACAGATATTCTGCTCAACAGGGGGTGTTGCACCAAGATCACAAAATCAAATGGCCAAACTGGTCAAAATGGCTAAAATGGTCAAAATGATCAGAATTAAGTTTATCTCAACTTGTGAAGGTTTCTTGGACGTGTGAATTGACAAATGCGAGCATGGTTCAGCATTCAGCATTCCTTTGCAGGGCTCTTACTACACAGGAGAAGGCGGATGTAGATGTTCAAAAATGGTGAAGTGAGAGAATTCAATCAGAAATCAAGTCATGAAATCTTATGTACTCTGCGTTGTGGCTGATTCTCTGTATTTCTCCATGCAAGCTAATCTTTCACCTGTTCACCGTGTTGGCAGTTGCTTGCTGTACGAACTGGCACCTATGATATCAATGGAAAGGCTTGGCATCTTGCATTTTTGCTGTGTCTTCACAATGCCTTCAGCTCACAAGGAAGCAGGACTCAGATATGATACGGGGTAAATGACTAAAAGCACTGGGGCTGAACATTTAGACTTTTGTCCTTCTTGTACTAATTCATATGATAATATCCTTTTTTTGGGCAACATAATTTTGAAGGTTATTTAAGCTTGTTTGCTTTGACAGTCGCTTCTTTTGCATTGGCTGTTGTTGTGCACAGATCTTTGCGTTGGGAAAGCAAGCCACCGCACCGCCAAAGCAAGCAGCACGTGGCCACTGGCTGACCCAGGCAGGTGATGCTCGTAGTTTTGACAGTGTCCATTGATGCCCATTTAGTTCGGGGATTTCCCAGCCAGGTTCGATTAGAGGCTAGTGGATAGTGGTTGAATTCACACTGGCCTCAGGTGAACGGAAGGACAAGCTCCTACAACATCATCAATGGCATGTCGTGATGGTCCTAGTGTGCTAACAGGGTAATTTGTTGAGTATAGCTATATAGTATAATGGACAAGAATAGAAGAGATGCTCATGGTATCTCACGGTGGGTATAGAGAGCAAAGAAGACAGAGAGCAAGCTAGAGGAATAGGAATATGCAGGTGGGATCAGTTGTAAAGCCAGAAGCCTGCCAGCGGCATATTGCTAGCAAGGAAAACACGTATAAAAACTGAAGAGCGACAGCAGAGAGTTGCAAGTTTGAAGCTTTGGTGCTTTGCAGGAAGGAATCTGTTGTGTTTGCAGGATGCTTTCTGCAATGGAATATATGGAATATATGGAATATATGGAATATATGGAATATATGGAATATATGGAATATATGGAATATATGGAATATATGGAATATATGGAATATGCTCCCAAAGCATCTTCATCTTCCTTGGCATCCGCCACTCCTGGCACTTGTGGCCCTTTTTGCAAAGGTTGAATCCGGCTATCACTCGACACAGAGATGAAGAAACGCGGAGGTCTGCTGCACAAAGCAGCTTTGCAGGGAAGACTCTGTTAAGCCATATGGCTATGGATCAATACCTATTAATACCATTTTTAGTGGCTTATTCACATCCATTTACCAGCTATTTTGGGGTTCACCAGGGGTACAAGGTTTTGACCCATCCCCATATGTGAAGCCAATGTGTTGAAAGACTTTGGGGGAGATTTCTCGGTTGACGCCACCAGGCTGGATGAGACGGTGAAGGCTTCCTTTCCCGCGGGCGATGTTCAACCTTTGCGCTTCAACCTCAGACGACTGGAAATCCTCAGCTGATTTGGCTATGGATCAATACCTATAAAAATACCATTTTTAGTGGGTTATTCACATCCATAAATCCCAGCTATTTTGATGTGAACTACAGGGGTACCAGGTTTTGACCCACTTCCATTTGAAGCAGCAAAAAATATGTGACCTGAGGTGATATTGCTTGCTACGACATCCCTGGCTTCGTCCCAGTTAGGCAGCGGCAACTGCCTGGATTTGTGGAGCGAAGCTACACCTTGCACAGTTCTGAATAGCTGTCCTAGGGTGCGACCGTACAAAGCCCATTTTATGCTATTTTTTCAATATCGTTGATGCGTTGTGATGTCAGTTTTGGTTTTACTCATTGCTCTTCATTTTCATCCCCGTTCTGATTCTGTTTCGGGGTCTTGGATGTCTTGGACATTTTCTTGTAGAGATCCAGACATATCTCTGGAGGATGCGCTATAGAAACCGCCAAACGGCAGATTTCATCGCACCAACAGCACTCCGGCTCTCCTTTAAAAGGAGGCACGGCTGCGGAGCTCGCACCGTAAGGTGGGGCGCTTGGGAAAATTATGTGGCTCAGCAGCTTGCATCAGCTGAGGATCAGCTAAAGAAAAAAAGAACAGACTGATGCCCGGTCATCATCTTTCTATGTCTTTGCACTACTTCGTTTGAAAATTGAAGATCAAAGTGCGGCTTTTGGTATGAGTCAATGCCAGTCACTCTTAGGGCCGTAGGGGTGAACTCAACTCCAGACCTGGGAGCAACGTCAAGTTTCAAGCTGCTGCTATTTTTGGTTCAATAGTTCGATGAAGGTCATATCTGACTAAGAATTCATTGCAGATGCCAAAGGAACAGGTGTCAGGAAATGTCAGGAATTTTGAGGTTTGGCAATGAGGAGCACATGATGCAAGATATGTGTCAATACCTATGGAACCATTAGACTACAGGATGAATCCATTTCCCAGCGACTGTTTGTACAACGAGATATGACATATTGATACGCCGTATCATGGTGAAACGCGTGCGGGAATGCAATGTTTGCGGAGAGGCTGCAACCAAGATCTGCAGCCAGTGCAAGTGTCGGCACTACTGTGGTCAAAAATGTCAACGTCAAGACTGGCGAAGCCACAAGCAGTATTGTGCCAAGTCATCTCCTCGTGGAAAATCTGAAGAAGTTGAGGCATTGAAGAAACTGTGGCTAGGGCCATGTTCTGAGGATGAAGAGTTGCAAAGTGCCTGGAAGGACTTTCTGCAAAAGGCCGGTGGCGATACGATGGACCCAATGAACATGGAAAGTGTGGATCTTGAAAAACTGGAGAAGCTTGTAATGAATGCTATGAAGCAGAGCTTGCCAGAAGAGCTTTCGGACCGGGATGTAGTGGGCTACCCGATGCACGTGGTAAAGCAGCTTGGGCTTCTTCCATCCTTACCACTTCGCCCTGATGAATTTGTGATGTCATACTCGACCTTCGGTCAAATGGACTCAAGCACTGGCCAGCTGTTTTACTGCATCGCCTGCATGTCCAACCGAACGGAACAGGCACGTGCCATCGGATCTTGTACTGGACTTCCCACGGCCAGTGATTGCGAATCGGTGCTGTTTACCGCGATGATCAAGCCGATGAACGGGACTGGTGAGCCGATGCGGCCTTCCCACGTCCTACTTGCAAATCGCTGGGGCGCCAAAACCTATGAGATTCTGCAGCCATTTTTGATGGAGCATGGCATTGATGTGAGGCTCGAAACAGAGGCAGAAGCGAGACGATCTGCTGCACTGAATGATGTCGACCCTAATGGCTTCAATGTTTGAAAAGGTCAAGAGTGGAAGCATTGCATAGCCGAAGATGGTTTGCTTTGGTATTTCTTGAATGAAAGGGGACTCTGTGTCCGCAAGCCCACACAGAGGCATACACAGACAGTTTGAGATAATCAGTACATTGTAATAATAATACATTGTGCATTTGGTAGGAACACTAGTGCAGTCTTCTCTGTCAGTACTGTAGCTGCTTCCTTCTCCCTCTCTTGGCACCTGCCTGCGCGCATGAACCAATCTTCCCAATCCTGACCTGATCTGCTGTTTCGTGTCATTTTCATGTCATTTTCATGTCATTTTCATGTCATTTTCATGTCATTTTCATGTCATTTTCTGCATGCTCATCATGCTCGAGCTTGTGGCCCAAATCCTTTGACTTTGGAGCCCCCGTTGGTGACTTTTCCATGCGGCCTCGCATTTGATGAGCGAACGCCCCAGCAACTTGCTGGAGGCAGGGTCTGCTAGCTGCGCCGCTAAAGCGCGGATGTGATGTCTGAATATGGGTTTGTCTGAAAATAGGGTATATTCCCAATGAAATAGCCATAAAAAATAGGGATAATGATCAGCAAAACCATTGGGTTTAGGGGTACACTATTTTCAGACACACCCATATGGCTGACAGATCTGACAGGTGAGAAACACCTTGCATCATGTACTGCGTCAAGTGGATTCGAATGGGGTGACTTGGCAGCAACACTCAAAGCCAAGCCGCAAAGCCAAGCTACTATGTGTCGATTGCGCGTTGCTGTGCAGGATGGCTACATAGACAAAGACGAGCTCTATTTCGTGTTGGATAGAGTGGGCACGTTCAAAAAAGCCAAGTGGTCTTTGGCTGAGTTCCTTTCCATTTTGTGGCAGAAAATTTGTCGAAGATTCTTCCAGGCAATTTGCATGTTCGCAAATTGTCCAGGTCCAATTTGCAGGAGACACTGGACAAACTACTGGCAGGCTGAGCTCAGCACGGAACTGTGACCGGACGGCTTAAGTTGAAACGGACACGAAACGTCCGCAGGTTTGGACACGAATTCTGATGGCTTCGTCGAGACTTGGCCAAGGTCTGGAAATCATACTGGAAACAGTGCACTACACTGTATATTATAATATATTATATATACAATTATATACAATACACAATATTAATCACAATATAACATAACACATATTTATATATTTTATATGTATATATAATATACAATACATATATCAATATATATATATATATCAATATATATATAATATATATATATAATATAATATAATATATATATATAATATAATTATATATATAGTATATGATACAAAACCATGAAATGTGTCGTTCCTTCGCGCGTCACCAAGGACATACAAGAATTCATCGATTGGGCGATTGGCTTACGAACACAGGGCGTAATTTCTAAAGCGTTTCAACGGATTGGTTTTGTTGGGAAAATCTCAACCGGAAACTATGGGTTTCCTATGGTTTCCTATAAGGTATGGGGGTTTGCCGGTTGCAATTTTCCCAACAAAAGCAATGAATTTTGAGTGTTGATTCAGCAGCTCGAGGTTTAGTGGATCTGTAGGTACTTCTTGACAAGACCGCATGCACTTCGCATTGCCTCCAGATCCAGCATGTGTTCCTTTCTGCGGAGGACGGTGCCCACATTTTGAGTCCCTGGGTCTCGAATTGTCCTGTGCTGGTAATGTGGACCCAAAGCCATAAACCATCCGCAATGGTTGGCCAGAAATGGGACTGAACCCCTCCAGCATTCGAGGTTTATGAGTTTATGGCTGTTTATTTGGGTGAATCCCACATGAATATTAATATCATTAATCATAATTACAGTTTATTGGGTGATCATCATTAATTAATCATTATCATTGGGTTAATCACATTAATCTCATTAATCATTGGGTGATCATTAATTAATCATTATCATTGGGTTAATCACATTAATATCATTAATCATTGGGTGATCATCATTAATTAATCATTATCATTGGGTTAATCACATTAATCTCATTAATCATTGGGTGATCATCATTAATTAATCATTATCATTGGGTTAATCACATTAATATCATTAATCATTGGGTGATCATCATTAATTAATCATTATCATTGGGTTAATCACATTAATATCATTAATCATTGGGTGATCATCATTAATTAATCATTATCATTGGGTTAATCACATTAATCTCATTAATCATTGGGTGATCATCATTATCATTAATCATTATCATTGGGTTAATCACATTAATCTCATTAATCATTGGGTGATCATCATTAATTAATCATTATCATTGGGTTAATCACATTAATCTCATTAATCATTGGGTGATCATCATTAATTAATCATTATCATTGGGTTAATCACATTAATCTCATTAATCATTGGGTGATCATCATTAATTAATCATTATCATTGGGTTAATCACATTAATATCATTAATCATTGGGTGATCATCATTAATCAATCATTATCATTGGGTTAATCACATTAATATCATTAATCATTGGGTGATCATCATTAATTAATCATTATCATTGGGTTAATCACATTAATCTCATTAATCATTGGGTGATCATCATTAATTAATCATTATCATTGGGTTAATCACATTAATCTCATTAATCATTGGGTGATCATCATTATCATTAATCATTATCATTGGGTTAATCACATTAAGGAATATCATTTATCATTAATCATTAGTCATCATTATCATTAATCATCATTAATCATCACTGGGTGATCCATCATCTCCAGCATGTCCCGGTGAACTCATCATTTGGAGAATGGGGCCATGGCGGCCAGGACGAAGCGCGCATGGAACGCATTGCCCTCTTTGAGCTGGAAGCCAAGGCCGGGGTCCAAATGAGAAATTATGGTGAACACATTGAGGTACAACACAAATTTGCCTAGAACATCTTAGAAATGATATTGTCATTCTCATATGGAATTTTGGGTACATAGCCTATTTTAAGTACAAAACGATATCTGTCTACTCTTTGCGGCAACCGATCGATCGGCTGCAGGAAAACAATGACATCCTCGTGCGAGCTGGATTGGGCTCGCAGCCGAGCAATGGAGATAGCACTGTTGACGTTTGTTTAGCGGCTGCGATCAACCCCTGTTGGTTGATGATTTTCGGGAGTTACACTAGCCAATATGTTTGGAATATAACACTACCCAGTGTAATTAGTAATATCTGCTACCTAATAGAATTATTAATAATATCACAAGTCCTTTGCACTTTCCAGCCATGCTTTGCTGCGTTCCCTAACTTTCCTGACCTGGTTGGTCCAAATCTTAAAAGATATCTGTCAACACCCATTCAGACTGCAGGTTTTCGTTTTCAGACACATAAACCCTTAGGGTTTGAAGTCTCAGCGCGCCCTGCAAGATCAGGTTCCTCAAATCATTGTAAGCGGACATGGCTTTGATAAAAATCAGGATTTGATTTGAAGTAATGTAGAGTCTTGCCAAAAGTAGCATGGCGTGGCATGGTCTTGAAGTACAGGTGGTTCTATGTTCTGGTGGAGTAATTGAAATTTCTTGTGTAACTAATGTCTCTGACAATCTATGTTCGTTGGGCCCAAACATGTCATGTTGAGAAGTGACTATGTCACTCCTTTGGTCCATGCTGCAACGATGCAATCAGAATTCACATGATGAACAAACCAATAGCATTGTATATTCTTAACATATCAAACATGTTTAAGTCATGGTAAGCAGAATTAAGCCGAATTAAGTTTAAGTTGAACTTATGTATCAAGTGATGAACCATTGAATTAAGTGGAATTAAATTGAATTAAGTTGAATTAAGCTGAATTAAGCTGAATTAAGCGAAATCTAAGTAAAACTAAGATGGCTTAAGTGGCATTCGCTTGATTTTTGAAGACTGCGTTCTTGTGAAAAAATGCGTTTTCACCCTTCAAACAAACATGCATTCAACTTAATTCTACCTAAAATCAACTTAATTCTACTTAAAATCAACTTAATTCTACTTAAAATCAACTTAATTTTACTTAATCCAACTTAATCCCTTCAAAAGTATTGGAAAACACAGGAAATCAATACATTCTTGCCAGTGCAAAAAAAAACAACTTAATTCTACTTAAAATCAACTTAATTCTACTTAAAACCAACTTAATCATGTTTTTCCAAGAAAACGCTTTCTGGAGGGGTCGTGGTGAGGGGTACCCACAAACATTCTATGACAATCGATGTGGTTGGCACACTCTGATGGTTGATATTTTCTGGATACTTGGATAAGCCGGCGCAACTTCGTGAACGACTTTCCCAAGGTGAATTGATGGATCCCAATCGACTCCTCTTGTCAGTGGGATCTTCATCAACCCAGGCAGGACAGTTTCACATAAGACCTGAAAGCGGACTCCATGATTTCGCATTTTTGGATCTCTGCCCCGGAGGCCTATGATTCCAAAGGTCTTACGCTGTCAGTCCCAACCGGGACGAAGGCTGTTGAGCTGCAAAGCCGTGTGATGTGCTCAGTGTCTTGTGTCTCCACTGACTCCACTGCCATCAGGTGGCGAATGATGGAGCATTGGAAGAACTGATTTCTGCAATCAAAGGAGCAGGCTTTTCATACAAGCAACTTGTCGACATTTATTTCGGCTGCAGTCTTTTCGGCTGCAGCTCACATTCTTCCGATGGATTTCAGGCAGATCATTCTCATCAACTCTATCGGCTACTGTCCCTTGACGGCAGAGCCCTGTTCGGATCCATGTCCTCCTCATGCCGCTACAAAATCCAACGTAACCGTATAATGATCGAAGCAGAGATACTTCTCCCGCCTGCTTGCAGCATTTTTCACTGTCTTTGAGTATCGACCTCCATCTCCATCCTGTCTTGGACTCAGTACTACAGCCATCTGATCCTGTTCTTGTGGATCTGGACGAGCTGGCAAGACGAGCGCCGCATAGTGCAGCTCATCGCTTTAACAGCGCTCTTCGGAAGGCTGCGGTTGCTGCGGTCCTCCAAAAGGGCTGTGCACATCCACAGAGTTTGGCCAGGCATTCCCTGAAGCGTCGATACGCGTGTACAACAGAGCAAAGGACAGCTGTGCGTCTGTGAGGCTGTGCTCTTGTAGCATTCTGATTCAGCTTTCGAACATGTCCCAAAATACCACCCGAAAGAGAAAAAGGGGATGAGCAGCTTACTGTTCAACCATTGAACCATCGACTCAGTGGGGTCCGGGTTGAGCAGGACCCTGGTACAAAACGCTACAAGTTTCCCCAGCTCTTCAATGACTTTAGCTTGTCGTTGACCAAGGCTGTGGCAGTAGCTTCAACAAGAAAGCCTTCAACTGCTCATACCCATATGTATATGTATATAGTTATAGATATAGATATATCATGATATATCTATATAGATAATCAACATAAAATATCTGTACAAACCAATCACTTTTTTGTCAGGGTTGTGGCTTGCCGATGGTAGTATTGGTTGAGACCTCAGTCACAGGGTCACCATGGTCACCATGGATTTCCCCGGTTGCGTGCCATGTTGAAACCGAGGACTTTCACCCTGATGTCATCGTTGACTGGGGTGGAACATCCTACAAGGTCTTCCTGAACGGCAAACGCATCGGAACTGAGGCCACGTCGCGTCAGCGTCGCGTCGCGTCGTTGAAAGAATCGCCGCGGTGTCGCAGTGCAGGTCATGGATGCCAATGCATTTCTCTGTGAGGGTGGCATCTTGCGTAGAGAGCGTCCCTTTGCCTGCAATATTGGATTGGAATGGATTGGATATATAATATATTACTATATTATACTATATTACTGTAACAATTATATACATATATTCCGTTTATGTATTTATTTATGAACATATCAGGGATAGATGCCGTTTTTTGGTTTAGCCAAGTCATGGATTTTGTGGCATCCCATGGCGTAGTCCATGGCGTTTTGCTGAGGTATCCCGCAGGCCATCAAGGAAATTGAGTCGTCTGTGATGGCGCTGCTGGAGAGAGAAGGCCTAGGGACCTTCATGGACAAGAAGGCCATTCGGCTGGTGACCGGGTGACCCCAAAATTGATCAACATGGATGATGATCAATCGGAAAAGCAATGGTTTGGGTTGTATTTTGGGAAACCACCATGCCAATGCTGCCAGGGGCTGAAAAGAGAAGACTTTTAGAGGGTGGATACCTTTGCATGCCTTTTGATGCTCTGATAGTTTGAAGTTTTGAAAGGCTCAACACATGTCAAAGCACCAAACAGCTCCAAAGTCACCTAAAGCTTGCAATCGCGGAGGCCCATATGGCCCATATGGGGGGGGTCCTTGATATGATATTTCAGGCTGCACACCTCAAGACTGCATAGCAGCTGCCCACCAACCAGGTTTTGATCGCTCAAACCGGGAAAGCCCGTGAGTTGGCGTTGAGTACAGAGTGTCAGTGCTAGCTGACCTGTGATATATCTGTGGTGAACGGTACAGACGAACGTACAGGCACTCAGTTGGCTGCTCAAGGAGCAGTTGACTTGGGATTCAGATTTCCAAGCTTGTTTTGGAGCTCTTTTCTCAAAAAGACCTGATTTTGATACAGATACAGACCTTGCGCCTTACATTTGGTTTCTTCACCAAACAAGCTCTCAGTTTTGGAATCAAGTTTAGAGATTCCAAATTTGCAGCTACCATGTTGTGAACTCCCGAAGGGATTCGTGGATGCTGCAGACAAACAGATCAATTCAAGCATGGAGGGTTCAACGTCCCTTTTCTCGAAATTGCTCTGAGATGTTTGTCCAAACATGAGCGCAAGGAGTCACTCGAGACGGAAACATTTGCTGTCACAAGTTCTACTCCCGCGCATCTGGAAGTTTCGAACATTTCCAGTTCTCGCTTGTAGGCCGCCTGACAGACACAGCAGATAGTGTATGATACTCTCAAAATGCGCTGTCCAGTGGCATTGATCTGTTTCTTTTTCTACAAAGGGATGTCATGCCCCAAGGACTTGTTAGCTTGGTGTAGGACGCTTTCAGATCTTTCAGCTGTTGCTGTGCCCCTCGCTATGGCGGTTCCGGCTCCTGAGAGCATCTATGATCCTGAGGTGGTTGCTGATGCTCGGCAGATCCTGTCATCACCTGATCTCGTTGTCTCGTTGTCGTCGCCGACGACCAAGGAACTTCGGCGTCAATTTCAGGAGGCAGATAAAGATGGCTCCGGGGAGATCGATGCAACAGAGGTGGCAAGTGGGTTAACTGGGTGCGTGTTGAAGCGGTTTTTCTTCTTTTTTTGTTTTTTATTGCATCTTTCTGCTGAAGGCCTGTGCAGTATTTGCGCGGAGTTGTGAAGAAGGGGCATCAGTGAGCTGGCAGCAACATGCTCCAACTATGTTAGACTGTTTGAATGCTGCTTCAACGGCTTGCATTTGATTGGAGATGCAAATAGGACATTGTGATTAAAACTTTGACCTTGACAGCCTTGACAGGTTACCCGTTGTTGATCATCATTTTCCCCATCCAATTGCCATGAATGGGGCGTTAAGTCTCCCATTGTCAGACTGAACATGCTAAGGAAGAAGAAATTCGCAAAACGGCTGAACGCTTGCGAAATCAGTTAGACACAGATCGGTCAGGCCAGAGGGCAAAGCAAACACTTGAGTTCATGGATTTAGCACCTTTTTGTGACCATTGGCAGTAGGCAAAACTACGGTTCCGATAGTTGTGTTTGGTCTTCCAATGTGGTCCACCCATGGACTGAAGCGTTTTCAGGTACGATATCCTTTAATGAATATTGCTTTCGCTTTGGCCGTCGCTACCAAATCGAGCACAACCGCAGACGTCGGAATCGTATCTCTTTTGCACTCCTTGATTGACAAAGCCACGACTCAGTGCAGATGGGCATGCACCGCACAACATCACACCTGTACTAGGCAGGATTTGTGTCCGTCTCCACTTTGAGTTTCAATACTCTGAGGCTCAAATTCCAATGTACAGAATTCCACCAATGAAAGCGACAAGCTCAAGAAGGAGTGTTTCTTAACACCGGGTAGCCAGATGAAACTAGTACAGCTTGCATCTGTTAGAATCTGTGAGGAGCGAGAGGAGCTGGAGCGAGAAAGAGAAGCAGTTAGGCAAGTACTTTCCTGTTTGCATTCACCAACTGGAAGAGGTTATAGAATGTTATTGAATGTTATAGAATGTTACACACTATCCATGTTAAATAAATCTAAATACTTATGAAATCTTAAGAAGATTGTGGCAAGTCTCTCGGTAAACCTCACAATACCATGACATACGGTATAATGAAATACCACGAAATAGCATAAAACATATTAAAACACAATGAAACTCATCATGAGCTATCCATGAAATACCAGTCACTGGTGATTGAATTTTGGGTTGATTGCCACTTCAGGCAGGAACGTGAGCGGCTGATGCTGGAGCGAGAGCGTGAAGCCTTACGTCGAGAACGTGAAGAGCTGGAGCGCCAGCGCCAGGCTAGGCCACCTCAAAACCACGAAATCCTCTGGTTATCTGACTATGACTATGACATCTATGACTATTGAACATTGCCCATTTCATGAGGTATGTAAACCATAGTCATACCATTTCATTGATGCTGATAGGTCACCAGCTATGGGCTGGGGAAGAAATGAAGATCCATCTTCCTCCAGCTATTGCTATAAAAAAGGCTTGTGAAAGTGCTGTTGGGTTGCAAAGCCAGTTTATGATCGAAACTCCATGAAACTCCTATTGACCAACTTTTGAACACTGCGAAAAATTGTGAAGCATCTTGTGTTTCATAATGTTTCATACTTGGAAAGACAGCTGCATCTTCACTAGTCACTAGGCAAGCAGCAGATCTGGCCAGTCGCAGGCAAAGCTGCTGCTAATGTCTTTGTGCACTCAAAATGAACCAGCATAAAGTAGTATCCACTCGGAAGTTCTAGTTATTTCTAGTTCTGTGTGAGAGCCTGATAAACCTCATGATGTTTGGAAGCAGAAGACTGTTATGCTGTGTTGAAAGGACATGCTTAGGAACCTTTCATGCAGCTTGTTGGACCAGTCGTGATTCGCTGCCAGGCCTTTTCTGCTGGCACTTTGGTTCGAATTCAAGGCCTGCAGTCTGCTCCCGAACTCAATGGCCGAGAAGCGAAGATCGTGAATTTCGATGAGGCTGACATGTGGCCCTTTGCGGCCCTCGTGCTGTGCTGTATCATGGGGCATCGAGGTGTTGAAGCAAAACAAGAACAAGCCCAGCTAACTCCAGGTGTTTGGATTGAGAGTAATGTCAACCCTGGATTAATAAACCCCTGGTATTGGATTATGACTATTGGAGGAGTACCCCCCTAATTCATAAACCATGCTTTAGTCTCATCCGGGGTTGACATTACACATATTACACAGAGCATTTTGAGTGATGGAGACCATGGGGACCATGGAGACCAGGCCTCCTCCAGATATGTTGTCGAGCTTCCTGAAGGATCAACCAAGAGACTTGGATCCATCATCCAGTGATGATGCAGATCATAGGATCAATTTTGATGCCGAGAATTTGTGGTCATAGATATACAGCTGGATATATACATGTAACATCATGTAACCACTAAGTCACTATAACTATGGTTATGTAATGTTATGATATGTTATGTATATCCAATGTATCAAGACCATCTCGAGACATTTTTGAGCAGTTTGCATAGCAATACTGTACCAGCCGACAATTTCATACAATTTCCAAATAGAGATCATTAATCAGGGTTGTGAACATGGGGTATTTTTCCCAAGTATCAGCCGTTGGAGAGTTCATTCGGTTTCAACAACGGCTGGACTTTGGGGTACCAATTACCAATGGGCAGACAGTTACCCAGTTGTTATTGTTAGTAGATACACATCCATTAATCACAAGTTTTTCAGCCCAGGGATCAGCAGATCTCGCTTAAGGAAGATCAAAGAGATCAACTTGGTGCTGTCTCCTGGAAAGTCAGTGTTCTGAGCTCAGAGTTGATCTGTGGCTGATAGTTGGATTTAGCTTTCACTCATTGGTTTCAAATGGTGAAATGATTGAAATGGGCAACAATCGCTGTCCGGAGTCCGGATGATTATGGATTAATCATGATGAATCTACATCAACCATCATCAAACCATGTTTTTCAACACCCAGGTGCCTCACGCGCGACGATAGGATTCAAGACGATGATCATGGGTACCGTAGGGAGACATTCGAAGCTAGTTGTGGGCAATCTCTACAAGGGGCCTGCCCCCCAGTTGTAAGTTGGTCGATTAATGCCATTCATTAACTATAGTTATATGCATATATACTGTATATATATATATATACACTGTATATATATATATATACACACATAATATAAGTTATATCCCCCGTGAACGTAATAGTTAACCACCTTGTATCAACTTGGCAATTTGTCAAACCAGGTTTGAAAGATTTAGTGCAGCCGCAGAGAGTGCTCGGCGTCAGAGCCTGAAGCGGGGGAACATGCGCATTAAACCTACGGCTTTAATCCTCAAAGATAGGGATTTCTGGTGACATTTCCAGTGAGACTCAGGAAACCGTGATGCATTTTGAGACCATAAAACTGAGGAAACCTCCAACTTGGCTTTGCCAAAGCACAGGTGACGAAGCTGAAGCTGATATCATGTGAAGCTGTCCGGGATCAGATTTGGAAATTTGGCAAGCTGGATGCTTGCAGGTGTGGCTGGCACAATCTGGCTATGAGTGGTGGCACATTCTTATAGGAGTGGCCCTGGTGCCTAACCTGCATTGTGACGTGTATTCGAGAGAGATGAACTGGACAACGTTTGACCGTTTGACTGAAACTTTTCGAGCTTCTCGTAGATGGAGGCGCTTTGATAAACGCTACTTTCATTTTCACACAAAGCACACAGTGCTGTAAGGGTTGCAAAAATTGAACATGGATAAATGCCTAAATCAACAAATAACCCAAGGGCAAATATCCGCGTTTGAACTCGTAGATGAGCTGTGATGTGAATGGATATACTAGAACTCTCCATGGATATCACTTGCATTTTCCCAAGCATGAGCTAGAGAGCGCTGCCAGCCCTACTGGGTGATTGAGGTTGTCCTCCTTGTCGCGTACTGGATGCAGCCCAGCGTGAGGCGCCACACTGACCTGGTCAAATCTGGTCAAGCTGAATCGGACGCGCGAGATCCGAGGCCAAAGCCGTCCAGCCGAAGGGCGGAAAGGGTCTACCGAATCTTGGCACAGTTGGCACAGTTGGCACAGAATCAACGTCTTCAGATGGGTGTGTCTGAAAATAGGCAAAACCCCTAAACCCAATGGTTTTGCTGATCATTATCCCTATTAAATGGCTATTTCATTGGGAATATACCCTATTTTCAGACATACCCAGATGAATTGAGTCTATCAACTGATGAGGTGATGACAGTTACCAGGGCTATGACGACTACGAGGATTATGGCGGCTATGGCAGCTATGGCAGCTAGTCTCAAGTTCTTCAATGTGCTTGTCGAAAGCTTTTGACAGGGACACCTGGGCCTTCTCTTCTGAGATCGATTGTTTGTTCTCTGCGCTTCGGAAAGAAAGCCGCTAGGACTTTGTTGTCAATACATGTTCAACTGTGTTGTGAGTTCTCTAAGGATCAGAAGACAATGTATGTGCTAGCTTCTGTTTTTCTTTCTTACAGTTGCGAGGTTCCTACGGCAATGACTGGGGTATTGACTTTGGCGGCATGCAGATACCTGGATGCCAACAAGTGCTTCATGATCTTCATGTTCCAAACCCGCAAACCTGGCTTTTCTTCAGGTTTGTTTCTGTTTCTGCAGGTTTTTGTTTATCTCAGGAAGTACCTCATCCTGGGTGGCCTTGCTTTTCTTTGTTGGAAAGGAATCATACCTGTCCATCGGATGGACCCTCGGCCGCAGCGTTGAAACGGGTTTCAACAGATCTGAGACATGTATAGAAATATTAGAAATGTGTTAGATGCAGATAGATGATGATAGATGCAGATAGATGCAGAAAACATCAGGACTTCGGCTGCTTAGGATTGGTTTCAGTTGTATATGCTCTGGAACATGCTCCAGTCCAGTGGAATCCTAGGCAGGAGACTGTGCAATCCTGTGCGTTCTGACAATTTCCAGTTCCAGTGTCGCCAGGTGGAGGCCATGGTGGATTCGGTCGCAGAAGACGAAGCATGTTCTTCTAGCCGCCTAGCCGTTTTCAAAACGAGGACAGGAAGAAAGACCTCTCCACCCGTGCGGTATGGAGACCATGTCTGCTTAACGACGAGAAAAGGCCACAAGATACGAACCGCGTATATACTTGTAAGAAGTGTGGTGCAAGCGGTGGCTGATTTGCATCTCTCGCATTTTCGTAGTTTGGAGCCTGAACACTTTGGATCCACTTGCATGTGGGACTTTGCTGCCTCAATGAAACAGGACTTGCAAACATTTGCTTTGCAGCATGAGGCTCATGCATATGTACTTACATAATCTTACATACATAAATACATACTAGTACCACAATGACCGAGCAACATTCTTAATTAATTACCGTGGTTTGGCAGAACTTGCAGCATAAAGACTGGGTTGACAGAAGTTCGGGAAGTAAGATGCCCAAATCATGGTAAGCCGTCGCATCTTTTTGAAATGGTGATCGATAGACTTGCTTAAAAAATGGGTCCGGTATGAAACTTTGATACAGAAAGAGCGGATTTAAAGATGTTATAAAGATATTTAAAGACAGGAAGCACAGGGTTAAACCTGCTGTGGCAGTGCCATGCCGCCACGTTTTGTCATCGAACGTGTCTCTCCGTGGATCCGAGATGGCCACAATGCTTTCGGAGATCTCTGCAGATTTCTGGAGCTGTGCTCAAGATGGTGATGGCTGGCACAGTATTCGTGAAACCGCACCTTGGACATCCTCCATTTTTTGCTGCGGGGAAGGTCGTTTTGCCAGGTATCAGTAGTTCTTGGGCTTTGACATGCTTTGACCATGCCCTTCACAAATGCTGTGCTGAAACCAAAGGGTACAAGCCCAGGCTCGCTATATGATGTATGAGGAGAAGAGACCTTACCTCAGCTGCAATTTCACATGAGCACAGCTAAGTATCCTCGTTATTGGCTTTTGTTGGAGTTGTACATAACAGATTGACTGGGAGTTGTTAAGAAGTCCACTATGGGAATCCGCATCAACCAGAAAGTGACGAGGGTCAACACATCCGGAGAGTTGAGGTCCTGTACGTACATCGCTGCCGCGACTGGCGGGCTTGCTACCCGCCACTGGATCGCAAGCGGGGATCGCACTAGAGCTGAATCAGCCACAATTCCCCTGATCGAGGTCTGGCAGTCCCGTGAAACTGGTCTAACAGATCTTCAGTTGGTGCAAGGGCAGCAGCCTTGTCCCACAGGCCGGTTGTTGTACAGAGACAGTGATTTCATGTGATTTCGCCTGGTGAGAAAAACAGTGACAGGTGAGATCTTCTTCATGTTGCTGGACATCATAGTGGCTCATTCCTCAGATCTCTGTATCCATTGTATCCCATACGGCTGTGCCGCTCATCCACGCTTTCATACGCTTTGCTCGAGGTCAACACAGGAATGATGCGAAATAGCATGAAGGACTTCGACGACAACATTATCGAGCTCCTTGGTATTCCTTGGTGTTTGATCACATTTGTTCTTCATCCTAGTGATCCTAGTGTGGCACAGCTGTTTTCATATCTTTTCATGAAGAAATAGGAGTGGCGATAAATATATACCAGCTGCGATGGGTGGCTGAAAACATGTTTTGTTCATCCAAGTACCAGCGTCATCTTGAAGACCTTGCAAGTCCTTCAGGCTGGTGATTTTTGTGCCTCGATGACTTACTTGTGCTAAACGTAGGGAATGAGGGAATGATCCACAATAACTATCAATAATAGTCCCAGCAACCCCCATTCCCATCCATTCCCTACTAAGCACTAGTAAGATGATGTCGTTGCATGATTTCAGCATTTGCAAGTTCGCTGCAGGTTCGCGTGCCTTCGTTTGAGGCCAGGTATTGGGCAATTGTGGACCTATATATCATTGACCTTACTTGACTATATATATAAGGATATATGATATATATATATTATAAGACTATAGACTATATAGTAATAAGAATAATAATAATAATAACAGTAACAATAATATACGTATATACAATATATATATACATACATACATACATACATACATACATACATACATACATACATACATACATACACATGTTTGATGAAATTCTGCTGCACATGACACAGGCTGCTTTGAGCTCCGGCTGGCCTTTGTTTGGCTTGTCCCACAGCTGCAGTTTCCTTTCTCCGCATTCCATTCGTGCATTCCATGTCCAACAACCGAGGCTCGTGATCCTCCAAGAGGGGCTCTTTAAGCTTGGACGACTGGCAGCACATCAGTCGTTACTTGGCCCTGGAGGAGGATGAAGATGGATGAAGTCAGCCAAAAAAAAGGTTTGTGCTGCCTGGAGGTATAGTCTTGTGCGGCATTGGGGCAGCATGGCTCAGGTTTGCGAGGACTGAATCACGTCCGAAATTGGACACATTCTGCCTGGATTGAAGTCTGGAATGTGGTTCCAGGAAGCGCTTCCTCTGCGTGCAGCACTGCAGAACTGGCTTGAAGCAGATGCTGGCGAGGAACTTTTGAAGCTGGGCGCAATCTCTTATGGTTTGCATGAGATGAAAGAAGATTTGATAAGATTTGTACATCCTGTACTTGAACATGTTTGATGAAAGCCGCGCCTGGAATGAGAGACGTGTCTTTCTCCGGTGTCTTTGAGTCATTGAGGCCACTGCTTCCAATCGGAACTCGCATGTCAGCCACACGACTATGGCGCCGTTTGGTCTCCATGCCCGAGCTCTGTGAAAACGAACCAGGTTCGACAGCAAGTTGTGTTTCTGCAGTATCCACCTTCAAGATTCGTATCCGACATGTCAAGAGAGAAACTGCAGATTTTCACAGTTGAGTACAGACTCGTTCCCTTCATGGATGTGTATCAGTCACAGAAAGAGAGACAGAGAGTAGCGATAGTGACAAGCCACATCCAGTTTTCAGAGTCAAACGGACATTTGGAAAGCATTTGAGCAAGTTTAGGAAAACATGGAAAGCTCGTCATGTCATCGACATTTTGTTTTGGCACCCGGGAACCAATTTTACTTAAAACAGGTCTTTGTATTTTTTCAGATACGCCTGCAGAGGAGCAATTGCCGCGGCCAGAATGGTGGCAAGTGGGCTTTTGCCCGAGCAAGCGCGTTCTTGGAATGCTACAGGCCATGGCCAGATCTGACCGCGTTTTCCTCAAAAAAATGTGGTGATGTTAGCAGGCTGGCAGCAGGCATACAGTCGATTGAAAAGTTCGCCTCTTGGTTCAAAACTGGATGGTTTGGGAGTTAGCAGAGCTGGCTGAAAACACATTCCAGAGACTTGAAAGCTCACTAAGGTTAGATCATGCCCTGGAAGCAATCTCCTGGCACCGTCTTCTTTTTTCAGGCTGGTTTTTTTCAGTACCTGGAGGATCATCCCATCACTTTTTGTGTAACTGGTGAATAATCATGGCAGGTAAGTCCCTTAACCATCCTAACTGGAATTATCCCATATATTCCCATATAATGTATATGAATGTATACAATTGGATTATGACCCCAGTCATGATAATCATGAACCAGTCACTAAGTGGGATGGCCCTCCTGTCTTGGAGTCAGGTTGGCCTCTACTGGCAATTTTGCATCGGCTACAAGAAGCTTATGTCCGAGAGGCCTCGGTTGGAAAAAAACGGTAGGTAGACGTTTTTGAAGTGGGGAATCAACGGTTTCCTGGAGATGCTTTTCTTGTGATAGGGTCCACAAAGAAGCCAGGGTCAGGTCCAGGGTGGCGTAGCTTCGGCCAGGCACTATGTCGTGACGTGGACAGGTATGCCTATGCCATTCCCAGCCTTGCAGAACCTGAAAGTGTTTGGGTTTGTGTTCGCAGAGAAGCTGATGTTGCTCCTTGGATGCAACTCATCACTTCTGGTTGAACAGGAGTCTTATGGTCTTTTGTCTATACTGTTCAGGTTTCAGGGATTTTACGTATTTTCAGTTTCAAACATGCCAGAAAAGAGTTCACCATGGATCGTGGATGTTATCATTTCCTGTTTCCATTCCAAAGGTGGATGAGCGGTGGCGCATGAAGGGATCTTTTCCTGATTGTGGGCACATCGTTCGAGAAGTACGGGAAACTTTGCCGCTTGGCAACATTCAATCGCCCTTCTCCAGCCTGAAATGAGCAACAGTGCAGTTTTAGAAAAAAACTGCGGAATGGAAAAGGGGGCACCTTGCCTTTGAGCACTCCAGATGCCTCTCCCCAAGCATTGAAGAAAATCCGCGCAGTAACCTGGCTGCAGGCCCGAATCTTGCACATTTGTCGATGTAGGCGCCAATCTTGGTGGCTGCACTCTAATGCTGGGCAAGGACGATGGAGGGCAAAAAAATGGTGCGTTTGCCTTCTGCTGTCTCAAAGTTCATGAGAATTCAAGATTTTCAAAATTCATCAAGATTCTTCAAAATTCATCAAGATTCTTCAAGTGGTTTCCCTTCCCCTATATTTCTATCGCCTGACTTTGAGGCGAGGCGAGGCCCGTGGAGATTTTCGTTTCGCTAGCGACAAACATCCCGTGCACTCGGCGGACTCCAGGACAGGCACCCAGTCCTGGCGATTGAAGTGGTGCCAATCCTGGCGAAGCTGCTGAATGCTTCGGTGAAGCGCAACAGCGACTCTGCGACACATTTTGGCATTGAAAGGATGGAACAAAAACCATGGGGGATTTCATGGGATCCATTTCATGGGATCCAAAAGATCCAAACAAAATGGATTTAGATGATTTACAATGATTTTCAGCCTCCAGATTGAATCTGATAAATTGATGGAAAAAGAGATCTGAGACTCGGTGATTTCTCATTGATTTTCCATTGCCATGTTTGAAAAAACCGGGTGTCCATCCAAGTGGATGGTGAAACACCCAGCTGTGTCGGTAACAGGGTTTTGACCCAAAACCATAGAATGGGATGTAACAGGACGTAATGGGATGTAATGGGATGTAATGGGATGTAACAGGGTGTAATGGGATGTAACGGGATGTAGTGGGATGCAGCCAGACATATTTGGGAGGTGTCTCAAACAAAATGAACCCCCAAAACCCCCCAGGGTCTATCATCACTTCCCCGAAGAGGGCAGTCCGGGTGCATCCAACATCGATTTTTTTCGCACCCAAGTTTGATTCTCTAATTTTGCTCATCATCATCATCATCATCATCATCATCATCCCCAGATTCTGAACATCACACCTGGTTGATTTTGTTCGTAGCGTGGTGTCCCTCGTTTCGCCAAAGAAAAATTGCTCCGTCGGAGGCCTAACTTCGCACGTGGAGGTTCTGCAGGTGGCAGTTGGCGCTAGAAATGCTGCGGGAGCATTGCACTGTTCTGCTGGACACAGTGCCATTTGTCACGTTCTACCGAAGCCTGGCTAAGTGAGCCATAAAAAAAACCCTGGTTAATTGATTGCGAAAAAGGGGATTTAATCCTACCTGGTTTACTGGGGATTATGATAACCCATAGTAGGGAAACCTATCAACCAACTAGTATAATGAGATGGGATAGGGGTATTTTTAATGGCTCAAGTGATGGTCATGGATAGCTTGGAATCTGCTGCTGTTGTGGATATTTGTGGATGGGATCTCACTGCCAAGGACAGAGCACAAGACCGAGACAGAAGTTGCAACCGTGCCCTGGCCAAAGGAGATTCAACTGAATTCAACTCTAGGTCCTGTTGCTTTGGACTGGTAGACTTCCAGCTGGGCCCATCTGGGCCCCAGTTCTGCTCGCACCAGATGTCGCTGGACTCCATCCTCGAGATGCGGAAACTATCGCCGTGTGCCATTAAGATAGATGTGGAGGGCTCTGAGTTGGAGGTACTAAAAGGTGGGACGACCGCAGTTTGAAATACCTGCAGTTGAGGATATCAGTTTCTTTATGGGTATAACTCCATGGGATTCCACTCCCCACATGAGTTGGGATATAACAATTAAGTTATATAACCACTCATTAGTCGAACTGCGAAGTAAGATGCTCATGCCTTGGAAGAAGATTCTCAGCAATGAGTCTTTTGCACAGCAGGTGCCCCGGAGACCTTGAGGGAATCTCAACCCAGCCTTTTTCTAGAACTACATCCCTACGAATTGCGGGAGCGCGGAAGCTCGAGTGCCTTTCATTGAAAAGCCAAAAGAACTGGCAAAACTGCGATTGAGGATCCTTCCATTGAGATTCTTGCTGTTTTAGATTTTTCCCTCTCTCCTTAATTACACTTCGCATCAATCATTGCCAAAGTTTTGCTTGAAACTACTAGCATTCTAGCTCGACTCAAAGACCAGTTTTTCTGCGCACTAAGGTGCAGAAGTATTTGACATCGTTATCGAACATGGCTATGACATGTTTGAAAGTCCCTTGACAGCAGCATGGCAGCACTCTTCGATTCCGCTCAAAGTCCAATTTGGAATGATCACACAGGACCTGCCTGCCAGAGCAGCCCTTTGGAGGAACGAGATTTATGGAGAGGGTATCTTGGCAAAGACCTGCCAAGGTCGAAATGCCATTCTGTCAGACTCTTGGAAAGACCACAAATAATCAAGGTTGGGCCACAGAGGCTAAAAACCCAGCGCTGGAGCGCCTGGTTTTAGCCCACAGATGGCTTTGGCCATAGTCCCATAAACGTTAAGCAAAGGATTTCATTTGTTGAAAAACCTTAAGCGCCGGTATTAAGCCAATAAGATGATTTTTGTTTTTTGTTCTTTTTTTTGGCAGAGCTTTGCCAAACGTCAAGCTCAGGGTTTCATCCAAAGCTGGATTTGCAACATGAGAGTTAGTGAACGGCTGGGGTCACTGGTTTTCATCCAGAAACAACTGTTCCAAATAATTCAGCAGCTACCCAGGCAAAGCTTCAGCTCACAGGTTTTCATCCACAAATATTTTTTTTGTCACAGAAACTTGAAGTGCTCACGGCACAAACCCTTAGACCCAAGCAAAGGTTTTCATTCACAAGTTGTTGATGTGCAACTCTGGGGTACCAGAAACGTTAAGCAAAGGATTTTATTGGTTGCAAATTACCATTTTTATTGAAGGTTTTTAGTCCGGGGGTTGAAAACCAGGTTGCCTGTACAAAATGCACACCAGACGGAGATCAAAAATGGATCGGAAGTCAGGAATGGTACCTATGCCAATGTTCGCTGGGTACGTGCTGAACCTCTGCCAAGCATTCGCCTTCCCGTTATCCCGGATCATTGCTCCTGTGAACCTTGCTTCAAGGAAGGGTACACAGGTGCAAGGAAAGTGTTGTGTGTTGCTGAAACATGCGGAGCACGCTATTTAGTTTAATACATAGATAATACATAGATAATACATAGATAATACATAGACATACATGGCATGTTCCAGCTATCAGCAGCATCTCAGGAACAGGAATGTCACCTTCGGCTGCTGCCGTCAAACGGGAGTGTCTTTCTCAGCTGTTCCGACTTGGACGTAGCAGTACGACGTACTAGTAGCTAGAGTGAGCTGTTTAATGGGAACTGCGACATGCTACGACCACAAGGATTCAGCGGGAACTGCCGTTGCTGGGATTTCAATTCAGCCTCTGGCTCATGCAGCTTGTCCGCAAATTGGGATTTAGCATTTGATTAATTATATAATTATCTTCTTTGCCTCCTTTGGTGTAATAGACTTGATCCAAGATGCGTACTCCCTCTACCAGGTTTTGAGCTGCGGCAGGCACAAGTTTGGTTAGGGGAGGGGATGCCCATCGCTGTGTCTGCAGGTACTCTGTACAGGCGCTTCTTGGCCGAATGTCACAAGAAACGGAGAGAGCGCCAGATTTTCAAAAAAATCTGTAAATGTCCATTGAGTTTGATTGAGTCTTGATGAGTTTGCAGTTTTCCATTGCACATCGATGATTCCAGGGATTTGCTTTGTGCTCTTCAGCTCAGGTTGTGGAAAGCAGTTGCATGATGCTCTGCAGCCATCTGATGGGTGGTGGGCAGGCGAACTGACCGGCAACTGGCATATCTTCAGAAAAGGTGCAAGAGTTGGTCGACATCCCAATCTGATGCAGGAAAGTAGGCAGCCACCGAGTCTTTCTTTTGGGGTAAGGCACCATCCAGAAAAAATGTTTCATTCCTAGTATGCAGTGGTTGACAGTTGACAGCAAGAGTTGTTGAGAGGAGAAAGGCATTCATTCCAGTGCATATTGAAAGTCTCATGACATTTCTCTTGCACGTCTTTTTTTACATTCACAACTGCATCTTTGGTGGCTCACTGTAGTTCGGTTCAACCTTAGTTTTGCCGACCATGCTGGCTCCACGCTGAGTTTTTCTTTTGGATTTGAAATCATAGTATTTGTTTGCTTCAACTTACAACAATAAGCCCAACGAATATCCCTAACAGCAACAACCAAAGGAAAAAGTCACTACATATTTGTCGCAATCATGCTTGAGAGCTGGCGTAAGCCTTTGATTGTCTATCCTGTCAGTTCGGCAGTTCAGGAAGTTATTTGCAGCTCTCTTTTTCTCAGTTTTCAAATGCGCTCGTTTGAACACACAGCAGTGGCCCCACACAAAGCTTGAATAGTGAGTCATCATTGGAACAAAATAAACTTTGCTTGGAACCCTGTGCCTGGACACCTTGCTTGCAAATCTGTTCCTGGGAGCTTTGCTTGAGAACCCTTCCTTGGTCACCTTGCTTGGAAACCTGTTCTTGGAAACCTGTTCTTGGGAACCTGTTCCTGGGAACCTGTTCTTGGAACCCTTGTTTGGGAACCTATTCCAGGGAGCCTTGCGTGGGAACATGTTTTCTGCGAACCTTGCTTGGGAACTTTGCTTGGGATTTGTTCTCGGGAACCTTTAGGAACTGTTCCTGGGAACCTAGCTTGGGAAGCTGTTCTTGGGAACCTTTGGGAATTGTTGGGAACCTTGCTTGCGAACCTGTTTCCTGGGAACCTTGCTTGGGAACCCTTGCTTGGGAACCTTGCTTGGGAATCTGTTCTTGGGAACCTTTGGGAATCTTTGGGAACCTATTCCCGGGAACTTGTACTTGGTAACCTTGCTTGGGAACCTCTTCCTGTGAACCTTGCTTGGGGCCCTGTTTCCTGGGAACCTTGCTTGGGAACCTGTTCTTGGGAACCTGTAGGAACCTGTTTCTGAGAACCTTGGTTCTTGGGAACCTTAGGGAATCTGTGGGGGTCTGTCCTTGCCTGGGGACGTGTTCTTGGGAACCTTTGGGAACCTGTTCCTGGGAACCTGTGGAACCTTGCTTTGGGAATCCTTGCTTAAGAATATGTTCCTGACAACCGTGCTTAGAAATCTGTTCTTGGGAACCTTGCTTGGGAACCTGTTCACCTGTTCCTGGGAACCTGTTCTTGGTAACCTTGCTTGGAAACCTGTTCGTTGAAACCTTGCTTGGGAACCTTGCTTGGGAACCTTTGGGGGCTTGCTTGGGAACCTGTTCGTGGCAACCTTGGAAACCTTTTCTTGGAACCATTGCTTGGCAACCTGTTCTTGGAACCCTTGTTTGGGAGCCTTTTCTTGGGAACTTGCTTGGGAACCCTTGCTTGGGAACATGTTCCTGGCAACCTGTTCTTGGGAACCTGTTCCTGGGACCTTTTCTTGATTTTCTTGGTAGCCTTGCTTGGGAACCTGTTCTAGGGAACCTTGCGTGGAGAGCTGTCTTGGGAACCTTGCTTGGGGGCCTTTCTTGGGAACCTGTTCTTGGGATCCTTTAGGAACCTGTTCCTGGGAACCTTGCTTGGGAAGCTCCTTAGGGCCTTAGGGAATCTGTGGGAAGTTGCCGGACACCCCGCAGACTACCTTGAATGAACCTGTTCCTGGGAACCTTGCTTGATAACTTTGCTTGGGAACCTTGCTTGGGAACCTATTCACCCCGCTTCGCGTGGGGTGGCCGCCCACACCGCAGGTTTATTTCGGTCCGTGAGAGGGGCTAAGGGTGGTTTTCCCCCGTGGGGGCTCCCCAAGCTAAACATTTTCACTTTCCCCCCCCGTGGGGGCTCCCCAAGCTAGGGAATTTTCACTTTTCCCCCCCGTGGGGGCTCCCCAAGCTAGGGAATTTTCACTTTTCCCCCCCTGTGGGGGCTCCCCAACCTAGGGAATTTTCACTTAGGGAATTTCCACTTTTCCCCGCCGTGACAGCTTCCCAAGCTATGGAATTTTCACTTTTCCCTCCCTTGGAGGCTCTCCAAGCTGCGGAATTTCAAATAGCTAGACAACGACGCCTAGATAGTCCCCCAAATCCCGTGTTCTTTGAATGTGTTTCCATGTTTTTGCAATGGTTTCCTTCAAAGCACGGTACTTTACACTTTTGTCGCCATAAAACCGGTCGAAAACATCATGTTCGACAATGCTTCCAATTCCCTTATCTCCCCACCCGTTGAAAATACCGCTATTTACAGTGTTTTCTTCAATTTTTCCATGTGCCAATGCCGGTAGCCAACTCCAACATATATATAAGAAATCCTTCCAAAACATTGTTTTTGACAGTGTTTTTCCAATGTTTCCAGTCAAACAGACGGTAATTTACACGTTTTTTTGCCATAAAGGCAGTAAATCCTTCCAAAACATTGCTTTTGACAGTTTTTTTGTAATGTTTCCAGTCAAGCATACGGTAATTTACACGTTTTTTGCTATAACGTCAGTCCAAAACACTTGTTTTTGCAGTGTTTTCAATGCTCTGGCATCCAAAAACCCTGCAAAATCTTGCTATGTACAATGTTTTTTTCATTTTTGGCCGTTTTTCCATTGCCAGAAAGCTACCAAAATGACCCAAAATTCCATTTCAATACCCTCTTGCGCTCAGACACCCAAAAATCCTCGAAAAATGTCGAAAACACCACCGTATTCTGGTCTCGGTGCGAAACCGTTTTTGGGTCCCCCCCCCAGCTAAAGCTGATATAGCGACTGCTATATTAACAAATGTCATTGAGCATTTAGTGTTGCTGTTTTGCCCCCCAATAAGCACGCCTTCACCGCCAAAGCGGTGTGGGCGGATTTCCTTGGAATCTTGCTTGGGAACCTTGCTTGGGAACTTTCGTTGGGAACCCTTTGGGAACCTTGCTTGGGAACGTTGCTTGGGAACTTTCGTTGGGAGCCTTGCGTGGGGATCCTTTGGGAAGGTTGTTTGGGAACCTTGTTTGGAACCTAGCTTGGGAACTTTGCCCGAGAACCCCGTTCTTGGGAACCTTCGGGAACCTTGCTTGGGAACCTGTTCTTGGACCCCGTGCTTGGGAACCTTTAGGAATCTGTTCGTGGGGAACCAGTTCTTTAAGAATCTTTGGCAACATGTTCCTGGGAACCTTGCTTTGGGATGCTTTGGGAACCTTGCTTGGAAACCTATTTCCTGGGAACCTTGCTTGGAAACCCGTTCTTGGGAACCCGTTCTTGGGAACCCGTTCTTGGGAACCTTGTTCCTGGGAACCCGTTCTTGGGAACCTTGCTTGGGAACCTTGTTCCTGGGAACCTGGGAACTTTGGGAATCCGGATTTTGGTAGCTCAGACCTACTCCGAGACCTTTACTATGGCTGAAGACACCAAGCTTACAGTACGCTGTTGGGGGAAAAATTGATCAATCCTTCATTTTCAATCCGATCTATGGCAATTTGAACGCTGACATTATAGCATTCGCAGCGTCACTCTTTTTGATGGGAATCACGTTGCTGCTTTGCTTTCTCCTTGAACAGTGCAGCAGTGCCAAAAATGATGCTGGCAATTCCCAGGTCTCTTGATCATCAAGGGGGGGGCACTGCCCCCCTCCTCTCATAGCTTCGAACTTGAGCCATTTGGGCAGTCAGCTGCTGAGCCACTGAGAAGCCAAAATGACTTCGTTTTTGTCATCGATTGTGCACAGATGAGGCTTTAAACTTTACCTTACTTTCCTACTACAGGTTGAAGGCAGATGTGTACCTTCTTGGCCAAGAGCTTCACGTCTCGTGCAGGCGCGTGTTTTTCCAGTTCCACAAAGATGCTCTGGAACCTTCGATTTAAAACCAGTTTGTCTGGTGCAGGTTTGCATAGTTTGAGGCGCTCCAAGTGCTGGGCTTATGCATTGTCCTTTCAGGTGCCATCAGTATCCTTTTAGCTCCCTCCAGAATGTCATGACGATTGGACCTGTATACCTTCTTTTCTCTCGGATCCCTCGCCCGATCTTGATAATTGTGATTGTGATGGATCATCCTAAGCTTGCTAGATGATCTAAATTGTCTCGTTTCTTTCTTGATTTATTTTTAACGATTTCCCTTTCGGTTCGAGGTTGCCTTCTGCATCCTTTGCATCAGTTGTGCAAGAGCCGCGCCGTGATGACTTGCATGCCTCTTGGCAGCAGCAAACGATCCATTTCAGTTGGCGAAGCAAATCAGCTCAGAATGGCTTGAAGTTTGTTTGTCACACAACAATCAGCAATCAGACCCTGATTTTTGAAGATTTGTGGTTATCGTCATTGTGTCTGCAAGACTTACAGAAAGTTGTTTGGTGTCATGTAGGTCTCTTACAAGTGGTATGTGTACCTTTTGTTATTTTTGTTGGTGCCCAGCAACTTTTGTGGTGAACTCGGAGCTTGGTCAATGGTGACCTCAAGGTGAATCCAGCGGCAAGCTCGCCCGCCGCAAAATCGCTGAAGCTCTACTGGAAGCTCGCCAAGGCTGGCTCTGATTTTCCAACATATTTGGGGGTAGTCTCTTTTCAGACAGTCCGAAGATGGCTTATGGGATCTTTAGGGTGTCTCCAGAAATTGTCGCTCCATCAATGATGCTAGCTATCTCAGTATGGAAATAGATGACCGCGTTATATGCTGGACCCCACGGTGTTTGGAGCACCGGGTTAGCCTGCTACAGGGCAAATTGACTCTATGGGTTTCCTTGTCCGTCTGAGCCCTATCCTGCTCACTTGCACGCGTTGTTTTGTCGTTTTCTCCTGTTTCGATCGATGTGATGTTCAGCAGCTGAAACACCAGATCTTTCCATGCTGGCTGTTTGGCTTAAGACTTGCTGTGAGCATGGCATGTGGCCATGCAGAATTTGAAGCCCCTCGAAGAGGGTTGCAATGGTTGCGCTTGTGGTTCTGGCTCCTGCCCTTGTACCTTGGCCAACATCGGTTGCTGCTGCTGATATTCATCACAAGAACGAATCGATTCAATGGCTTTTCCACCAGTTCTCTGGGATGACTAAGCCCTGATGAATGGATTTTGATGCTTTGAAGATGGGTGGCTCAACCGTGCTCAAACGTTAAAAATTGGGAAAGTTAGATCAGGACGGGTTTGAATGTCTCTGTTCCCAGAGTAAGGCTGGAGGCTACATCATGCCCAAATCTTGAAGCAACACCAGACACTCGCTTCTACGATGAGGAGGCGGGGCTGCAGGGCTGCAGGGCTGCAGGGCTAGGGTAACAAAGTAATATTGCTAAACAAAGAAGCAATAAGAAGCACCGTGTCAACGTGGCACTTGGTCAAAGCCTTGCACACTTTGCTGTTTGTTCCCCAGGCTCAGGTTGCAAGGAGCACGGCTGGACTTCTGAGCATCATCCGGGAGGACATCACGCCCCGACAGCTACTCGAGATCCTCAATGTGAACCTGCGACAGTCAAATCGGATTTTTGGTGCTGCTATTGCCTTTGAGCCCGACTCCTATCCATGGATCAATGGAAGTCTCTCTCCCTCCTTCCCTGAACTCGGTGAGGGAGTACCCAGTTACTCTGGAGATTACACTTGGACAGGTGCCACTGCACCCAACACTCTTGCACCTCAAGAGGTATGGCAAGGTGAAAAGCGAGTGCTGTACTCGCCCTATGTTGCAAGGGGTGGTATTTCCATGGATTTAGCCGATTCTTACAATTATTTTGCCAATGGCACCGAATGGTATCATGATGCTCGCACCCGATTTCTCAACGAGGAACTCCTTTTTTTGGAAGGGGTTTGGGGATCACCATATTTCGATGCGGGGGCCGGTGAAATTTGCATGATCACCTATTCAGTCCCATTCACTCGCCTCATTCCAGTTCCTCAAGTTCCGGTTCCTGACTGGTTAGATACCTCACTCTATGGGCTTTCTGTGAATCGAGGGAGGCAAACGAACAGTGGCGTTCGTTATTTTTGGGGCATCGCCACCGTAGACATTGATCTCAGCATCGTGAGCTTCACCTGTGATCCCGACAAAGGCGCCGAGCCAGGATCCTTCTTCAACAATAAGACGGGAAGATGCGAACAGTGTCCTGTTGGGAGCAGATTGCTTGACAATATTTGCATCTCATGCTATGAATACGAATATTCCACGGAAGACAGGTCAGATTGCTTGCTGAATGAGCTGTACGTGCTGTATGGTTTTGTTTTTCATTTGTGGCTGGCCATCGTTGTTCTGCCTGCTGGCTTAAAGCTGCAAAGGCGTTTCTATGTTTTCGGAGTGAAGCATGATGGTGAGACTGGAGGATTCATTCTGCAGCTATGCAACAAGCATGGCATCCATGTAAGTTCTTCCAGACAGAAGAAATCCTTTCCACGAATCTACATGTAGCCTGGATTCGCTGAGTGATCTTTGATACTCCCATTGATTTATCACGATTGGGGAATCTCCTGGATATACGGTGTATATTAAGAATAGTATTAATTAATAATATATATATATATAATAATACAGTATATAAATGTATATAATATAATGTGTATATATATATATATATGTACTATGTAACATAATATATATATATGGTGGAGGGTAGAAGCGACATAGCACTTGTCGTATATTTATTTATTTATTCATTTATTGCTTCAATTTTATTTATTCATTATTTATTTATTTTTTTAATTTTACCTTATTTAATTTCGTGTTTTAATCTATTTATTTGTTTATTTTTCGAAATATATTTATCACTATTATTATTGTCTAAACTTGTCATTATAATGATATATGCATTTTTGGCATATCTTCTATGCCCCCAAAAGAACGCAGTGGACTAAGGTACGGCACTGGTCACGAGGTTTTGGACAATCCTCGAGATACAGTTCATTTCCGAGTCTATTCAGAGGATCAGCTACAGCTTTTGTGGATCCCAAAGACTCCAGGCGACATATGCAACCCAAAGTCTCCAACAGCCACGTTCCAAGAGCCTTGGGATGATAAAGACAAAGGACCATTCATGAATTTGACTGAGTTCACCAAGGTTTCAGGATATGTCAGATTTGGAGTGTTCTGGGAGCTGATGCATATCACAATGTGCCGCGTTCCCATTCTGATGTGGCTGGCACCTCCCTTCGGATTTACTTTAGGTACTGTGATCCTTTGGAGAATAGAGGCTTTTCAAAATGGCAATGGCGCACTGGCAAGCATCTTAAGTACACTTTTTGCAATCTTGTTTTGGGGGTCCTTCATCGTGACTACTCGCTGTTTTTGGCAGCAAACCGCTACATACAAGCAGAACCAGAGACACCAGCTTCTCAATGAACGAGCACTCATCGAGATGTTGGAGCAGTCCTGTTGGGCAAAAGACCATGAAGAACAGCATAAGGCGACAATTTTTGGGGTAAAAAAATCTGATTTGAAGTCAGTATATAATGTTTTGCTACAAACGCATTTTAGGGTATTTTAAATAGACACATCATTTGGGCTACACACAATTACAGACGCGATTCAGTGTTCAGGCTCGCACGGAACTACTCAAGCTTGGCCGAGAAGAACACGACATCAAAGACCTGACTGACACGATTCAAAAGAAACAAAGCCAAGAAGCTGGAGTAAGCGTTGCCTACCTTCGATCTGAAGAATTCCTGAAGGAAGTCGAGCATCGCTGCAAGCCGGATGATCCCAAAAACTTTGATCCCACTTTTTACACCTTGAAGGAGGCCTTCTTTTTCAGTACAGATAGTAATGATGATCCAATGCCACTTGGAAAGGACCGCATCTGCCCAAGAGATGGAAGATATGGTTGTGCATTGGTGGATACTCTTTCTCCAAGATACAGGCGAAAAGCCACACACTATTTGTCTTGGACCTGGAAATACAAACTCAGCCTCGTCCAAGACGCTCTTCAGTGCCTGCTGGAGGAATTGAACCTGACCTCAGATGATGTTTTCTTGTATATGTGTTTCTTCGTGAACAATCAGTATCGCATTCTTTTTGAAAAGGATGGTGTTGGCAGCTCAAATTTGGAACATGTTTTTGAAAGTACTCTAAATCGAATTGGGCACATGGTGGCCATTTTGGATGACTGGTACGCCCCCGTGTACTTGACCAGAATCTGGACAATCTTTGAGCAATTCACTGCAATCAAATTGGGAAATGTGAAAGTCACCATGGTGCTCCCACAACAGCAAAATCACAGTTTGGTTGAGCAGATCAGAGAAGGCGAGGATGGAATCCGTCATGTGACTCAGTGCCTCTGCAAGTTTCAGTCCAAACATGCCACAGCATTCTCTCCGGAAGATGAGGAGAATGTTAAGAAACTCATTAGGCCCACGATCGGCTTTAGAGAGGTGGATAGGAGGATTGAACAGTTCATGCTTGCCTGGGTTAGCCATGTCGTGCAGGAGCAACTTGATCTGAAATGGTGAGAGAAAGGGAACTCGGGTTGCAACTTCTTTTTTTACTCTTTAAAGAATGAGCAAAGTCATTCATCATACATCCCAATTAATGACATTATAATAATATCCGATTATATCCCCATTGTATCACCTCTTGGATCGTGTCCAGTTTGCAAAGATTGGAATTTTCTTATGGTGCTTATCTAGTGCTGAACCACAGCTTTGCTAAGATTGAACTGCTGGCGTCCTAATTCAAACTGTCAAATGACGCCTGATGAGATCATGTCCCATACCCTGCACCAGATGGCTTCGCACAATTCTAACCATGAATTGGTTGCAATATGTTGCAATGCTAGACTAAGCAGGGTTTGAGTGCTCGCCAAAGCACAGATTCCGTTTTCGGCAAGCCCGGCTTGCCAAGGTATATGAAGAGTTTGATGATCTACGTGTCAGGAGGGGACAACAATAGCCAGTTCTTCAAGTCAGAAAGATTTGGAAACATCGAAGCAAATCCAGAGGATCAGCATGAAGCTGCGAGACAAGCTGCCTCTGATGTCAGTGATCCAAAGTCCTCAGAGGTTCTACTTGATGTATTTTCACTTTGAGGGCTGGCTTTGATCGCAGGCTGAGAACGCGCAGCACGATTTTTCTTGCAGTGACACTGCTGTGAAATAGTGGTGCCACAGATGCATGTTTTTTTGGCTGAGCAGTGTAGTAGGGTCACAGGTGCCACAAACTTTTGATCCAAGTTCCGCAAGAGACAACCAGTCCCAACAGTGGCACCATGTGGCCTCACTGCAGTCACGTTTCACCGGCTCTGCTCGACTGGAAACCATGTCTTGAGGTTTTCAGGGCCAGTACAGAAGCTTGCGATCTGCAACAGATTGCGCCTGCAACAGCGATTTGCAGGTGATACTTTGGATTTTCGTGTTTGAAGCACCATTTTCAATGGGTAAATCCACTATAAATCACCATTTTCAATGGGTAAATCCACTATAAATCACCATTTTCAATGGGTAAATCCACTATAAATCACCATTTTCAATGGGTAAATCAACTATAAATCACCATTTTCAATGGGTAAATCCACTATAAATCACCATTTTCAATGGGCAGATCAGCTTTTTGGAAAGGATTGGGACGACTGTGGGGAAAGTGCAGCTGACCTCTGAGGCCATGCCGGGCTACTTTCTGGCACTACCTGGATTCGTTGATCCAACAGTGGCCATCGCTTTGTTCCGTGCCCAGGAGGTTTGAGGAGGTTTGAGCACCGATGTGGGTATGGGTCAATACCTATAGATACATTTTTAGTGGGATGAAACATCCATTTACCAGCTATTTTGGGGTTCACTAGGTACCAGGGTTTTGACCCATCCCCATGTTTGTAAGAAACAAATCTCAAATGTTACACCCCAGCAAGTCAATGAGTCAAGGAGCATGATGGAAGATAGGCTGCATTCTTTGGGAATCAAACATGGCAATGGATCCCTCATTTCTAGATGATTTTCCCATGAATATCTTCATTTAGTTCAAGATGTTCAAGGATTTCCCAGCCATGTTTGATTGGCGATTTTGATCCTTGGGGTCCTTTGGCCACTCAGAGTGCCCAGGTTCACGGGGAGTTTCTTGACCTCCTCTTCCGCTCAGACCATCAATCAAATGATTGAGGCCGACTGTGGACTCCCGTGGACCTTGGGCTGTGGTTGAATGTGTCGCTAAGTGAAATCCACATCAAGAAAGACGGGAGTTCACGAAGCGAATGTCGAATTTCTCTGAATTTTCCATGAAATCATCAAGTCTGGCTTGCCTCTTATCTTTATTTATCTTCTCATTGATAAGTTTCCTGCCATCGCTGAGATCCTGTACTTCGATGACTTCAGGTGAAGCGTGATGCTAAGATGAAGCGAACTGCCATGCGGCCTCTTCCGTCATGAACTCAGGGGCAGTGAGTTGTGACATGCTGTGACTATGGCACTATGGTTTAGGATTAGCTGCACACACCAATATGATCCAATATGGATGGTTTAGTCCTAACACATACAAAAATGATCAAACATGGATTCTTGGTTTCATTGCCACACCATTGTGGAGCCATATGGAGCCATACACATCCATCCACAATTTCCTTCTTTGTCGACGGAGCTTCAGTCATACCACTGTGAGTCCACCGTGGCAGGTCAGGGCTATTGACCCTTCCAGAGGCGGCTTGTCAGGAGCTAAGCCAGCTGGCTTGAAGTCAAAATCTCTGCCATATTTGCCACTGGATCCACTGGACCCCGCATCTTGTGAGGCTTCGCCGCTGGATCTGGCGCTCTTGGCTTGGGCATCCTTGCTGCTGAGAGCTCAGGAGTGATCAACTGCAGCAGTGATCAAGCGCCGAATCAATGAATGACATGAACATAACAGAACCCTTCAATAAATCAACGTTTCAACATGTGATAGGCATGTGAATATTGTGAATGTGGCAAGAGAAGGTGCGGGAAAACCAGCTACAATTTGCTCAGGTAGGCACTACAGCACCCACTGCTGCGGTTGCTGCGCTGACTATGGCACGACCCTTACGCTGCTGTTTGGGCATGTGAGGTGTGTGTGTGTGTATCACACAATTACAGCGACATATGGACCGAATATTTTTGCAGGTGCCAAAATTTCGCAGACAAAAAATCTGTTTATCCTGAGGCTACATATGCTGCAGTGTATACACCTATGAAGGCTCCGTCTACTGCACGAAGTGTAAATTCTCGTGCAGGGTCTAAGTAATCAGTGTACTGCCCCCATGCTCGCAGGTGCGCAGCCCTTACAACACCCATGTTGGTGCCATAAGTGGGTCTGGGGCTTAAAAAAAAGCCTCCCGCTATCTGATGCAAACTGTCAGCCGCTTTGAGGTCACTACCCACCCTGATGGGTTTCACCGCTGCTTTGGGCACTGGTCTTGCAGCCTATGCCCTCAGCTGTCCAACCAAGCTCTGCCAGAAAAGGTTCGATGATTCCGAGATATTCCGAGTTTCATGACGTGCACGTCGCTGTGAAAAGTTTTGAGGTCTCGCCTTGGTTCCCACACGCGGTGTGGATCTTCGGGACCACCATTGGATGATCACTGTGTGGGACATGTGGGACATGTGGAGATGTCAAGCCACGCCAGGATGCAAACATTGTGGCAGATGCCTCATTTCTACGCTCTGGCATGGATGGGCACTTAGATCGCTTAGATCAAAGAGTGATGTCCTGCAAGGAATCGAGGAATCCCAGCGCTGTTTGTATAGGTTGCATCGGGCCGACTACCTTCAGGGTGGATACAAAATGCGACTTGGAAAGCATACAATTGAGTTGGTGATAGTAGGTGAAATTGCTTGCTTATATGCGCATTTTGATGTAGCGGAAAATGATGGAACATGTTATCCCCAGGTTTCCGCTCACGGACGCTACAGGCGGCATGCTGTAACTGTCCTTTTGGTATGTCGCAGTTCCAAAGTTTTTCACAGCACCTGGCGATGCGCCAGCAGTTTGACAAGTCGTGGCGTAGGTGCCGAAACGGCTGCAATGTCAAAGCCGTACCTGGCAGCGCTCTGTGCTTTGCCTTGGGCCATGTCTGCTTGTGGAGCAGCTTCCTGGATGCTTCCAGTTGGAGCAGCGCTTCCCAGCGCCTATTGGTTTTGGACTCAGAGCTGGGAGGCTCATTTCAGGATTTGAAAACCCTGCAGCTCAGGTGGCACACACTTCAGGCTTTTGAGAAAAAACCAGGTGCAACAACTTGTCGTTCTGGGCTGAGATTCTGTTTGCATCAAATCATTCTGAATCCCTTTATTGATCTTTATTGTGAGTTTTGCTCTTGCGGATTTTGTGGGAAGCTGAGGACATTTCTTTCTCGGCTCTTTGTAGGGATCCCAAGGAGGAAGTTAGCACCATTTGCATTTATCTCATTCAGAAGCACGAGCTTGAATGCTGGTGCTTGAATGCTGGTGCTCTGCACAAACGGCCTCGCTCTATCTCATTTGAGGTCATATTTGATCGCTTTGTTAGCGTTGTTCACCGCCTATGCCCGGGTGGAAAAGGTTTCAGACGACTCCATCACGAACAAGGAGCGTAAAAGCATGCGAACGAAAGTCAATCGTACAAAAGGGATATCACAGAGTGGTAGATTGGTCTTCGAAGGTGAAAACGACATACTGTGTGAAGATTGGTCTCACACACATCCTGTGTGAAGCGTGATTTGATTGGCATTTTCTGATAGGATTCGCAAAGCAGTGGCCTTGAGCCTGCCTGGAGGGTTGAGGCCTTTGCTGAAAAAACGGTGAGGCTAGCTGTAACCGAACAAGAACTCAGATTGCAACCTACCCGTGGCACCACAAGAAGATCAATAAGGAAGGCTTGGAAATATGATGTTGTTGCAAGATCTTACAAGTAAACTATAAGAAACTCAGATTTTTTTTGGATAGCTATTGGAAACCCTTAGGTATCGCTATTGCTTACGCACATGGAATGGGAAGCTTTCGCACATGGAATGCCAAGGTCAAGCTGCGCTCATACCTCTTGAATGCATGTCCTCACGAACAGGCACGTGTAGTTTGCACTTGAGATCACGGCAGAGACAAAAGATAGCACAGACGTCCAGATGGTCAATGTATGTCAATGTTCTTTGCCAGGCATGCAAGGAACTTCTTCATACCGCTTGGCAGAATGGTGGTCTAGGACTTATGTCGACATCGATGCCATGCATAAGAGACAGGCGTTGAACAACCTTTGAAAAGCTCAGGTTGCCCAATCGCGAAACCGCCGCTTTAAATGATCAATCGATCTCAAAAAATATGAATACAGGAGGTAACAAAACTATGGAGCACAAATTTAGAAGCAAAAACAATGAAGATACGATTAATTACCATCTCCATTCAATTCTTTGCTAATATCGGTTTGAGGATTTTGTTGAACTCCTATTACTTACAATAATATAATATAATAATATAGATTATCAATAATATAAACCTATATAATAATAATACTACTAATAATAAAACTAATAATAATAATGATATATATATATACTATTTAAATAATATATATATAGATTATCAATAACATAAACCTAATAATGATAATGATATATATATATTATTTGAATAATATATATATATATTATTTAAATAATATGTATATATATGTATATATATATATATACATATTATATTATATATAATATTTTATAATATATATATATGTTTACATAATATATAATATATATATAAATATTATAATATAAATATTATAATATAAATTATATAGATATTATAATATATTATATTATACTATACTATATTATATTATATTATATTATTTATTATAGATATATTATATTATATTATATTATACTATATTATATTATATTATACTATATTATATTATATTATATTATATTATGTTATGTTATATTATATTATATTATGTATTATTTATATTATAATTTGAATTATTTATATTATATTATATTATATTGTATTATATTAGATTATTTTATATTATAGATTAGCTTATATTATATTATATTATATTATATTGTATTATATTGTATTATATTATATTATGTTGTATTATATTGTATTATATTATATATATACACATTATATTGTATTATATCATATGATGAGATATGATATTAGATGATATGATATTATATTATATGATATTATATGTTATGAAATGAAATGAAATTAAATGATATGATATTATATTGTAGTGTATTGTATTGTATTATATTTTATTATATTATATTATATTTTATTATATTATATTATATTATATATTTTTTTAAATATTATTATATATTGTCGAAGGAAATTTAGAAATTAAATTTCCGACGATATGGTTAGATAAAAAGGAAAGATGGGAAGAGATAGAGAAGAGAAAAGAGAAGAAAGAAAATTACAAGAGCGAAAGTCTTAGAAGAAAAAAGATGTAGGTGCGCGAAAAGGTAGGA